ATATATAAGTAGAAATTAATAATTAAAAACTTTTGCGTTGCTAGTATGTAATAAACATTCTAAGTTGCACATTCAATGTTAAAGATTAGTAAAGATTCTATCGACTTACCTGCATTTTCATTATATTAGAGCACTTATTAGTCAATAAGCAGTATTACTAGGCCGCTATTACACTTAACTGATTGGGTTGACTGAGTTGATAGGACAATCGAATGCCTAGAGGAATGCCTAAAAACTTAGATAAGGACGCTACGTGCTTCCACAAGCCACTAATTGGACTAGGGCAAAAATAGCTTACAGCGATCTCGGCCAAATCTGTTACATTATAATTCAATTTTGTACCTAAAAAATATATCAGCTATTGTTCCCCGTATTGACCTAGTTTCGTTTTTTAGAAATAGGCTGACATAAAAGAGTTATAATTAGACTTATTGATTTATGTGCTACTTTCAGTAATGTCGTATCGGCACGGCTGCTTTTCACTGTTGGTAACTTAGCTCAAAACTATACATACTAAAATTAAGATTGACATGATTTAAATGAGCTTAAAATACTAATGGAATAATTCTAGTAAAAATTACCATTGGAGCCGATGCTTGATTTTGAGCGTCAAATCAAGAAAATATTGAAATAAAAAAACATTTTTAGAGGTAGAATATAAATTACTATAAACAAATATTACAGAAGAAAGAAACTATCGCAAATTTGCATACATAACAGGTACGCAGTAGCACAGTCTTAGGCGTCAGGTTTAATACAAAATACATTCACCAAACGATCAATCTTGTATAATTGCATGATCTCTACTATATCCAACCACGACTCGCTTATGTAATAATAATAATATCCCTCAGCTAGGGATTTTTAAGTACAGGAGCGCGTGGTAAAAACTAACCGTAATAACTTCAGACCCTACTGAATACCATTCTACCGTAGCTTCAATCTTTGTTGCTATCACACTCAACCCAGTGTAAACTACATATAGGTGTACCGAGTGATAGATAGATATTCCGTTGCAGTTATCCTGCTTTAGCTAACCCGTCTTCTTTTAACTGGAACGTTCTTACAACTCTGATGGTTCGCTGCAATTCTTTCATAAACATGTGTTAGTTCTACAATTTTGGGATGAAAAATTGTGAAATCGAGACAGTGGTGGAAAGAATAATCGTTTAGATAACCCAAAGCACCAGAATCTCTAGTTATGCATGTAGGAACCTCGTGGTTTTACGTCTTCTTATAGAAATCACATGGTTTACAAATTAAGAGTTTAACCGTACTGTAAGTTTATGTATCTTTTATGTATCTGAGTTCGCTTTCAACGGCACTTTTGTAATTTGGACGAGCAAAGTATATAAGGAGCGGGAGCTTCATGTTATTTTTATATATCCTACTTACTAACAGAGCGTGACGTTTTACAGGAAATGTCGCCAAAAAGCAAGAAAAGGGGAAACAGTTCAGCACACATAGTGCTTTTAGAACCCACATAAGTTCATGATTGGATTTTGTACAGTGGTGATCAGATATATAGAAAAAAGCCGCTTTTTGAACGTATTGCATCTGGTTTGGCTAAACTAGATAAACTAATAGATAGTTCGGCTTCTTTTATAAATTGGGAAAAATCGACGTCTACTTACGCGCTTTATTCTACCGCTAAAAATACATCTCGAAGTGTGCCTTAGAAAAATGAGAGACTATAATCTGTGTAAAGGAATCGAGTTTTTCGTCATTACTAGAGCACTGAAAATATTCTTTGTCGCAGTAGTCACACTTTTTGTAAGCAATTTTTAATATATCGAATATAATCATAGTAATATAATTGTGGTCTATTGAGAGAATAGTGAAGACGTGCCTAAGGTACTGGCAGCCTATTGTCGAGCGAACAAGTTTGTGTTTTTCTCGACTTACCTCCCCATGTTTCGAGCTTGATGTCCAGTATCGCCTTTTGGCATGCCGTCAGAGACGGCTAGCTCTCGGTTGAATCGAGGTGTGTCTATGGCCGGGTTCGAATCCAGACTACAATGTCTCCATAAGATTAGCAGGCAAATAAGCTATCACGGAAAGTTCGTGGACTTCCCTAAACATAGATGACTAGGGCGAGATCGAATGTGTGGCTGTAAGTGCCAATGACCAATCCATAGTCAGGAAGATTTTACGAGAATCATTTAGCTTCCTTATAAAATAGAAACTGTTCTAATCTTCAGGACTTTCGTCAGATATCGTAAATTTAGGTACCAGAATAATTTAAAGCTCAAATATGAGGTTGTACAAAGAGTGTCCGCCAAACAGTCATAAAAGCTGCTTTTTTTATTGATCTCCTTTCGTTTTTGGCAGATATTAATGTAATTCCAGGCGTTAATTTATAAACTATTCAAAAAGGTTTGTGTGTAACGACAGTTAAAAGAGGAGTTACACGAGTGGCATCTATTCCAAATAAAAATAGTTGAATTAGCGCTCATTGATCGAGTGAACGCTTTCGTGATGAAGTAAACCTTTCTTCCATAAAACACGCTGCCAACGTATTGAAAAAATCGGTGACGGCTATATAAATATACTACCATAATCTTCGTTAGTTTGCGAAAAAATCAGGGAAATTGGAGTAAATAATTGCTTGCATAAAAGGATGTAACAAGTTGCGATAATTTAAATAAAATGTACAATCTTATTTATACGCCACGCATTTTTGAGGAGAACATCAGATTAATATTTATAATAATTCAAGCCATAACTATTTACACGACGGCAATGATATTTGATATTAATATATAATTATTTTTGTAAAATATAGTGGAATTTTCCGAGTTTCGAATTTTTCACATTTGGCTGAATGTCGTCTTACAAATTAGTTTATTGTCATTTAGCTCATTCCAGTTAAGTTCTTCGCTGGATTTTCTTTTATTGTTCGAATGCAATATATGTCTAAAGACATGTTTAATAAAAGACCAAGGCGAGAAAAGCCTTTGCACAGAACTATATTTTAATCCTTATAATTATTTCGGTACTACAACTGACTAAAATAACTTTGAAAGCTATTTCAGAAGTTGTCAAAACGCATACTACTACGATACAATCTACTCTAATCAAAAATTCGCAGTCGAACTTATATACGCAGGCCGTAAAGATGACGCATGAAGTATGTAGCTAACGGTGTTACTCAAGAGCGGTCTAAATTTAATTTTAAACATATAATGGTAACCAACTCTCACATTTTAATCAAAGATTTATTTACACATGGGAACAATTTCATGTATAGATTATCATCGATTCCATATATACACTATCCTGAACTGTAGAAATCCATGCGGGCCTTCACTAAAATACCTCCAAATATATTTTTCCGCGTGGAGTTTGTCGCATGTAGACCTTCCTAGTATTCTTAAAAATTTAAAAATGAAACTTGAAAACATCCTGAGAGCGCTATACTTTATCTGAGCCGGCGGCGAATTAATTTCATGAAAGCAAACTACTAGCCAGAGTTTCATCTAGCAGAAAAGTGTTACCTGACTTTAGGACTGTTACCGTTACGAGCTGGCAGAGTAGAAACGTGTTTACGGCCTCCGCCAAAAACCGATGGTGGAGAGGGCCTCTGCTTTAGGAAAGGACAGCGCTCATTGAAAACAAACAAATGGAATTACACGATCAGTCCATGTGCTTTACGAATGAAAATCACGACAATTCTAAAGTATTTAGTTAAGGAATACTGTGAAAAGCTTCATTTGAAGGTATCGATTTTTCCTATTTAAATTATATTTAGTTGTTAGATTATGTCTAAATTGAGTATTTAAAGAAAGCTTTCTAATTTAAGCAGAATATATCTATCTTTGGTTCTCCGCACCCAATATCAAATCCAGCGTGTTTATGGAAATGCTATATCACTACCCTCAGTGCTTCGATACGACGTGTATTGACCATCTTCAAGGAGAACGAAAATTCAAGTGCCCAAAAAAGAAAATAATATTTTATAAATTTAATTGACAAGTGCAATATCTCATCCAGATTAGGGTAAATCTATACTTGCTAACTAAAATATTTAACTCACATTTAATAGATATGAACCACTTTAATAGATATGAAATGAAGACTCAGATTATTACTTATGCATATATACTCCTTACTTAAATAAGCAAACATATCAAAGATTTATCTCGCAACCTTGAAAATATACAAATTAATGTCGTTACTTAACTCTATCGATTTTTTTTAACTCTTATTGAATGACCTAGAACAAAATATATTTGCATTCAAGAGTTTTTACATTTCTCTTGCAGTTATCTTTGTTCCGCTGTGAGCGGTATCTTTGCTCCTGGTGCTTGGGTAGTAAAACTTCGACATGACTTCTTCAAAACAATTCAGAAGTGACGATACTATTAATGCTACCCTTGAATACTGTTCGGTCGCATGTAATAACACGCCTGGTTGTCTGTGTTGGAGCTATCCGAGTTCAGGGATACGGGATGACTTTGGAGAGGCTACTGTGTTCTACAGTGCGTGTAACGCTCTTATCGAGTATGATTTTGAGGTGAACAATCTTTTGGTCATCATTAGTTCATCAAAACTGAAACAGCATTAATCATGGCTACAATATTCACTTTGTTTAGCACAAAGTTGAATTATGGTAGAGAGGGCCGACAATGTAAACAAAAACATGTTAGGGTATAATATTTTAGAAAATTTAACGTATATCACAAAGCCGACAGCTTACAAAAGTTGCAAAAGACGTCTAGCTATAAATTTATTGGACACATAAAGCTCTATTAAGTTTATATAAGATAATCTAGTTTCACCGATGTCAAGGTGATCCGTAGCGCAACTATAATGAGAAGGTAATTTCAAACATACTGAGATTGGCTCGTAAAGAATACAGTAAATCTGGATTCGTCATCTTCAGTGGTCACTAGGCACTACAAGAACCTCATAGTATAGTAAGGAGTGCAGCCTTTTTAAACTCATAAGATGTTTTTTCTTGTACGACCACATTTGAACAGCCTATTTTCTGAACAACATACTTTTTTTTAACATTAGAATTAAATAGTGAGAATTAAATAGATCTTTTCTTTAACAAAAGATCATTAAGGTAACTTTTTTTTGTAAAAAAAAATATAGAGTTTCAGTTCTGAAAGCTTTCTTCTACATTTTCTATTTATGGTTTAGATGTGATCTTATAAATATGATAGTGATAGATAGGTATAGTCGTGACGCGGCGTTGGAGTTACAGCAGCATGCTTATGTTTTCTACTTTTCCAAAACATAGATAGACAGATGGCTGACTTTTTTGGTATGAACGTTTTTAATAACTTAGGATTTTTGGGGAAGCCCGATGTATCCAACAAAGCCGCATGTCCTTCGCGTCATATTCATGTTAGTTTTTAGAGAGCTCAACAATACTAAAAACGGTTCCAATAACTAGGTGGTATTGTGGAATAGTAGATATATTCCGTATTTTCGTAAAAAAAAAATAATCTTATTGTTTGGAATGTTATGATGTAAGAGAATATTCAGAATTAAACAAAGCAGTAGGACTGATAGCAATAAAAGCACGCGGTGAGAACACGGGGTTTGATGACGAAGGCGCATCTTTTTTAAAACAAGATCGACTTTACGGAATCTGACATATGATAAAAAAAACCCAAGTATTGTATGGTATACACAAGAGGGTCTCGCAATAGGATCAACATAATATCTTTCGCTAATTGTAACCCTTCCGAATTATAAATTCGTGTATGCTTAGATGAGCCTAGAAACGAATGTTTGTGTAGGCACGAAGCAAATGCACGTTTAACGTATATTTATAAACTGTGGCTTGTAGTTTGAAGAAAAAGGACTTATAACTATTCATATGGAAGAAATCTATATGTGTGCAGAAACAGGTTCTAATCTCTCAAAATTAAAAAAAAGATGCTTTACCTATGTTAAATGAAAACATGGGTACTACGTGATGCACGATGAAGACGTTATAATATCTGTATCGGGTTGTATTAATTTATGCTCGCAGGTGAAATGGGTGTATTCATTTGATAATTTTAAACAGTTATACTCATTGTAAGTTTCCTTTTTCAACACGTAAATGCTTCTATGAAATATACTGGGTTGCGCAACGCGCACCACATTGTATATGGTACGTCTTCGAAGCTGGGTATACCATGTTAACGATTACAGTGATGATATTTGCCGCTATATAGACAATAATGACATGATAAATATTCAAGTGAAAATTGTGTTGGGCAAAGTAAATGTTCATACAAGTTAATGGTGTTCACCGGCCGAGAATGGCGAGCAACCTTAGATATGTGATTAACTGTTTATCATAGTTTACAGAAATAATAAGTATTAGGGAACGACCATGGTCGAACGATACTATTATAGTCACTAATATATAGTCAGTAATACATCGTACTAAAGTTCGGAGTTACCCAGACAAATCATTTCAGCAACTAAAAATGGCTATGCACCAAGAAAAAAGAGCTATAAATCTATCAATCCTTCTGGCGTCAGGACCAGCTAAATTTTCTCGTGTTGGGTCACATGAAGGCACAGGCTTCACTTCTGATAGTGCATTTCCGTCAATTAATTTACGTTTCAACCTAGCAACGATACCTCCCCATAACTCTACATTGGTTTTCCGTGGCCTTTCACTTAGTCATATGGCACACGTAAGTAAATTGCTAGTTGGTACGGTTTATAGCTAAAACCAGGATGATATCTGGTCGCCTTCGAACCTCAAACTTGAGCTGTGAAAACATCCTTGGCAAACGCTTTTGCAGTAGCTTTTCTTGCTGTGGTCGTCGTCGGAAGAAAGTCATCTGATCGAATGCCTAACTGCGACACCGAACGTAAAACTCCAAACATAAAGATACTTCAATATTTTTAAATAACTAGATTTTGGATTTAGGTAATCTAGAAGTCCGGTCAGTATTTTTAAAGACTCCATATGTTCCTGTAAGTCATATCCATACCAACTGCGGTGGACTCTAACATTTCATCGAGCCACTTCTATCAATAAAATATGAAACCAGTGCTTTGTTTTTATGAACTCATGTACCGCTCATTATGACTACTACCAGAATAATACGTGGTTTTAGCAAGTCTTGCACACATTTCTGGACTTACAGAGAGCATGAATTTATATTTAGCCACAGCATGCAGCTGGAAAACGGTTCGTTGCGCTGCTATATAGAAGTATATGCTGTTTGAACTGAGGCCAGAGACATTCAGCATGACTTAGGCTAGATCATCTTTTATACAAGCGATAGTGCAGTATGCATATCCCGCAATGCTCTCTGAACTTGTGATCACAGTCCTGTAGAAACGCGAGATCGTGGATCTTCTTTGATTTTTTGCTCAAAATATTTTAACAAAACTGTACAGTCATGGTTGGATTTGTTCTCAAAAATTAGCGAGTATTTGTTGGGCCTGTCGATGCTAAATATAATTAATTCAATGACGCAAGTTGACAGATGTGCTCAGTGGTCCGTTCTTCGTAATCATTTGTGAAGTTGAGGCTCCAGTAGCATTCCTTTCCAAAATCGGTTGCTATATAGTAGCCCCGAAAAGGTTTGTTGATTAATAAAATTATAATAACTGTTGAAATATATGTATTATTGTTTACATTGTTACGTTTATTTTACGTTTTTTTGAAGTTTACAGTGATACGTTATTACTGCTGGTGTCACCTTACAGCACCTACAGTAGTGAAGCAGACATTAGCTTGGGGCTGATTTTTGAGGGCACGCTGCAGAAGGGCTGCGAATTTCACAAATACACGCTTGAAATTAAAAAATATAGGATAGCTCAGACGCAAAGTAAACTACCCGTATTTTGCATACAATCCTTAAGCATCCGACATTATTTTTTTGGCAATAGAGCAATAAACAATTTCGAAGTCCTTGTTCGCTGCGATAGTAAAATATCTGTTAATTAATAATTAATACAATATTCTGAGTTGAACTTTAAGGACGACTCATATGCGATGCGATAGAATGTCACGGTGAACGAAAATGTGTAAGCTGGCAAAAATATGTGACCCTCAAAAATATGGAGTCATATTTTGGGAATATGCATGATACATTAATATACGTGATAAATAAGGAGTATAATTACTACTATCACAAGTATATCTCCTGCTCTTAATCACTGAATTCCTCTAATTTCAGAAAAGTTTTCAATTTATGTAATATTCATCGTTGTTCATTGTACGAATATTCTTTAGTTTGCAGGTGGCCGAGGTTCAACGAAACGTGTCATTTCAGGACACACGGGAAAGATCACCTCCGTCAGCTGTTCTTCAGATAATTGTGTTCTTACATGTTCAAGGTAATAGATTTATGATTAGTCGTAGTAGTAAAGTAGGTAAACATTTATATCAACAAAGGATACACTCATGATACATCAATTAATTGTTTTGTATATACAATGAAGTATCATTGATAGTAGCAACAAATTTACCACAACCCAAATATATATGCTACACACAGTTATAATAAGGGCTTGTCTTGACAGCTTCTAAGCCAAGACTGAAGCAAATATTGTTTTATATTCTAGCTAAATATGCGCTATTTTGATTGATAATTTTCTGTCATTATTAACTGTTATTTTTCTGGTAACAATACAATGATAATACTGAAAACTGAAAAATTTTGATAAATGATTTTTGAATCCCTCATTGAAATTAAATTAAAACCGTTAAAAGGGTTCTGTAGAGAGCGAAACATGTGATAGTCTGATCGTGCAGGCTTCGGGCTATACGGCGATTCTCTATTTCATAATCACAAGAAGCGTCGTTTGTATCAAAATGTCCTGAACAAATCCCTCAGTTTGGGCAGTTTTTTCTTATTGCATATCTTCGCAATAAATAGTACATATTTTTTTCGTGTTCGTAGGTGTTAATTAAATTGTAAAATATTGCGAATACACTTATCTTCAAGGCGCTCTGTTTTTTTTTTGGATGTGAATAAAGGGCACTCCAACAACTTTAGCATGTCTACTACCGTAAAACTCAGCTATCAAACGACGCCAACGCGGCTTATGTTATTAGAGCTATGTAATATTAAAACCATTTAATTAAAAAATAGTGAGTACTTTTTTCAGCAGTTCTCCGATATATGACTATAGATACTTGCTCGTGTACAGTAATATTTCGTGATCGAAAATATAGAAGCATTTCCGTTATACACACACCTTTATCAACAAAGTCGTGTATATATAGAGTAATTGGAATGAATTTGTATTTTTTTTTAATAGCCACACGCTGCTTACGAGGGCATTCAAAACCTGTACTATTAAATCAGAGTTCATTCCAAAAAATATGCAAACAAACGTATAGCCATATCAGAAAGCGGGATTTGACTGAAGATCAGCGCGGGCACCTCTGCAATTACCAAAGATAAAATAGAGGGCGGTGTCGCAAGGAAATACGTGGACGTAGAAGTAAAATCCATTGCTAGTCAACGTCAAAAAGTGCGTGTCTGATAATCTTCATGTCCTGATAACATCTTTATCGAAAAAACGTAGTGACCGGATAACCATTCTATGCGGGTATGGCTATCAACTATTTAGTTGTTCTCGAAATGCGCATCAAATATTATAAAAATCAGATCTCTCTGACACCGCTAGCACCTTAAAATTCGTTTGATCTTGTTTGGTTCTTAATAGTCTTAAGAATTAAGCAGCAGAGGGTATTCGGTTGCCCTCTGACGAGCACTTTATCATCGATCCAACAAGTGATTGCAGAAATGATTGCCAATCTAGCATCCTTAATAGAGAATCGACAATATAGGCCTACTGTAGACAAAATTCCGGCCAATGTTCATGCGTAAGTTTAAGGTCCTGTAAAGAAGTGATGCCACCATACTTTTTCAGGAAACACGAATGAATTGCTAAAGAAGGTTATTTAAATATTCTGCAAACCGTTGTGCAATCGTTAACAGCTGAAACGTCGATATGAAGGCCATACACGTTTGAACAGGATGATGCATGATTCTGGTGCAGGACAGGCTGGATTAGTGCAGGACTAATTGATTCAAGATCTGAGTGTACTTTGGAATAGGCACAAATGGCTCCAAGTAGCTTAGACTTAAGCCCGCTGAATTACTACGTAAGAAGTGTTATTCAGCCAGAGTCCGACGAATCTCGACACGACAACGCTAACCCCCTTATTAAAAAAGCGTTCCTGAAATAAGGCCGCAATCAAAATGAACGGAGGTTTTATCATATACACATGAATATTATGACTGATACATCAGTACATGAAAGAACGAAGTATCCATTTTCTTCGGATGCAGTCGTAGAAACAAACTGCAAATAACACTCCGATTAAACCCTGGCCTCCCTCTGCATATATGAGGATAGATTCGAAATCTTGATCAGCGATATTTCGGCCGATTTGTTTGCCTACAATGTGCATAAATAAATTCATAATTTGGAAATTTTCGCATTATATTGTTTCAATTATTAACCTCTAGGGATGGATCGTGTAGACTGTGGAAACATGGGTCGTTAGTAGCCAAGATGAAAGCGGACTCGGCACTTATGTGTGGTGATGTCGCTTTCCGAAAGAATGGTTCACATTGGGTCGCGGCGGGCTCTACCGACGACACTGTACGTGTCTGGAACATTGGAACTGGTACGTGCTCTCAGTAATCCTTGTTTAGGGTATTTTTGTAACCCTTCAATAGTTCATTTAAGTTGGACCAATCCAAGGCCAGACATTATCAATGCAATGGCTTATGGCAGGTAACTGCATTGATTCTCAGATCTTCTTATAACGTTGTAGTAGTCATATTAATGATAATAGGTATAATTGCTTAATAATGAATATTTGCCAATGGAAATTAGATAGAAGTAGCTCTCCTTATTTTGAAAGGAAGACCTATCTCTGTAAGTTAACCCATTTCTTGATGTTCAAAGTTTGGGAAAGGTTTCCTTTGATGCTTACGTAGCATAGATTGCAACTGATGGATGATGCTTAAGATCAAACCTTGAAATTTTGTCGCTAGAGAAAGACTTAATAAATAAATAATAAAAGACTTAAAATCCTCTTTTCATCACTAAGTACCTTCCGATATGAAGGGTACAGAAGAATATGCACATTAATTTTAAACCAAAATAAGTTTTTCAGTGATTCGATGCAATTAATAATAGTTTTTGCAGGATCTTATTGTTGAAATGTACCAGTTGTGTCCAGTAAAATATAGAGCCTACTATTTTCATAGTTTTTAGGTTTATTGTATATATGTTAATTAACAAATAATCGGGCCTTCGGGAGTTTCCTACTAAAAAGTTTGTAGGATCTTTAAAAAATGGTGATCTATGAGAGCAATGTCTGACAGGTATAACGAATAGCAGAGAGCCTTCAACTGTAACTTTTGGATTTTTGTTGTATGGAGTCCATCATTGTCGTGGGGTAGGAATGGTTTACCTCAGTTCACAGGGCACGACTGCTTAATGCGGGGTTTTTCATCACCCTCTCCAATTATCGACAGTACACTTCAGTCGCGGTCGACAGTCCAGGACTTATAAAACCCGCTAAACAAACACTATAGTTGTATCCACGTTGTGATGTACCCGTCTGCAATAACTTTAGAAGACCCATCTTTGATCATGGGCACAGTTCGGTGCAAGAATCGGTCAGCAAAGGGAAGCAAGCTTCTCTATCTCTTCGTTTTTGACCGCCGCTCTTATTCTGCGGCACTCATCTAATAATTTTTCACGCTATTCATTTGATCGAAACAAGGAGATGTGACAAGCACCAAATGTCAGTGCTAACACCTGTGTACTTCAAGACGGGGACTTTAGCTCTCAACTTTTCGCTACCTACCTTCGCAGAGACGTTTTTTATATATTCACATTTAGGTTAAAAATTTCCCTTCTGGAATTTTGAGAGCAGTAGCACACGGTGTTCCTAGCAATAGAAGCTTTTCCGAATACAAAGTTTATACGGCAGATTGTTTCCACCGATGTAGTTTTACGATAGAATCCGTATTTATAAGCCATTCAAATATTTTCCGCAACTCACTACGATTCACGTGCTAAAAGCTCGGACGAGAATATCTGAATGAACGGTTTCAAAAAATATAAACGTAACTCGAATACAAAAAGAATGCCGCAGAATACCACACCATTATGAAATAGCATCTGTAGTATTTGTACAATCCCATCCCCGATGGGCTTTTTTTAGGATACGGGCTTTCCCTACAACACGCTTCTTCTAAACCCTAAGATATTTATTACGTTCTAGGACAAGAATGAGCCTCAATTCGCCCTCCAGAAAACACTGATCCAATTCGAAGCCTACAGACAACTAATATCCCTAAAGTTAAACATTTTTACCGCACTATTTTACATATTAGGGGTGGTGTGTATTGTGTTGCGGTTAAGCTGGTCCGAGGTAATGAGAAAGTGGATTTCGCTTGATATCGGGAAGAAGTAAGCTCACAATTACACTAAAGTTTCGGCGGAGTAGCTCTCGAACACTGGGATTGGTGCCTCATTCATTACTAAACATTCAAAATGACGACGCAGACAAGGATTTTGTTCTGTTATTTAAGCAATTTCTTTTCAATCGCATTCAACACGTCAAATATGCTTAAACAAATTAAATTAAGGAGTTAAAAAAGTTATAGGGAATCATAATCTCTTTTTCGTGAGTTGTGATATGTTGTTCCAGATAGATGTACGCCTAGGACAACGTTCAGGCGCGTCATGACTTTGGTCTTGCACTGCTTCGCTTTTTTGAGCTGATTGTGATCTATAATTACGATCTAAAAACCGAGCCGACGATTGATTTTTTTGTCCGGAAGTTCTAGTGACATAACTTCCGACAAGTAGCTATCAACTAATGACCAAACAAATCCTTTGATTCCGAACGTGTCTGCTATTTTTCAACGTTAACGGCATTTCAGTTCGGGGAGGGAGATTTCGGGGTCGGAATGTACAAATCAGCCGGTCAGATGAATGGATTCGAACGGGGATGCAATAGAAGCGTAGAAAGATAAAACTACATGTCGAGTTCGACAAGGTAACTTAATAGGTTGCATGTATATGTATAAAACAAAAATGAATGGTTCATGACTTCAAGGCTCATAGGTTAGAATGAGTGGATGATGTATATAAGTATAGCTCGGCCTGTTACCCGGAAAGTTGAGTAACAGAAGCCATTTGGCCCTGATATTGGTAATAATAATGACTGCTATTACAATCATGAAAATTATCTATCGCTCATCTCTAGAATTCCGTCTGTGCCGATCGAAACATTGTCCCGGTATACGGATGTTTCAAATGAATTAAAGATGAATGCACGGATCCGAAGAGAACGGACCGTAACAGCAGCTTTGGCGTGCGTTTTTTAGACAGAGCTATCGTTATCGCACCCTCGTAGCATTCATACTCATATTGGCGTTTCTATTAAAAAAACATAGTATAGAAAGTAAGCCAAACAAAGTAAAGTACGTTTTGCTCTGACTTTATGTATTAACTTAATATCTCACATTAAATCTGTTGTAATTAGTGATGTGAAGTTATGCTTCTTATGTTGGCTAAATTTTTCTATAATTACATAGTGTGTTTATTTTTAATTATTATCAGGATCACTTCCTCGTCAGATATGCAGTGTACGACGTGGTCGGGACACCCCCCTTTGTGTTCGCCTTCATGCCGGTCCAGTTCGTGATACTCTTTTACTTTTCGTAGCATGGACGTCTTGTGAGTTGCAAGTCCTTGAACTAGTGGAAGCAAGTGGAGATCAAAGCGAATATTTCAGTGAGGTGTGTGTCCTTACTGGGCACGAGGACTGGATACGGGGCATTGATGTGCGTCCAGTTATCCGAGAGCGGCACACACAGAGTACTATTGGTAAGTGTAACCACAAGTCGATTTCTAGTTTTCTGTCACGATGGTACAGTATGTTGTCTTTTACACTTGCAGCCATGAGACGCGGAGTTCTGTTTTCAGTTGAATGCCAGTACTTTTTAAAATTCATTTGAGTTTTTGTTAATATCTAAGGGTGCAATTGTGGATGACCAACGTGGTTATGATTATACTTTCAAGCCTTTATGTACCCTAAATAGGTTCTCACTGTACTACAGGCAGCGTTTCTTGTTGTTAGGATAATACAGAATCTAAGCTTTTCAAGAAAAATTATTACAGCCATTTTTTGTTGCTGCTATAGTTGTTTAGAATTATATTGATGGTTGCAAAGTTATGCTTCGCACCAAAAAACGTTGTTGTTAATGAGCCGAGTTAGGCACTGGAACATGGCTTAGCAATGCAAAATTTAAAATGATTATATTTTTATAAATTTATTCTTAAAAACGAAACGTTCAAGTAGCATTACACAAGATAAGCATATGCAAATATTTTTATATTTGCTTTAAATATTATTGGTACTGATCTTACCACCGTACATTTTTTTAATCAGTCTGACCCGACCGTATGCCTTGTATGGTGCTGTTGAATATTTTCGAAAATTTATCCTCGGAGATAGCTTAGACGGAAAAATATAAGCGATATCCAATAAAAAAAAGCTACATAAATAGGTCATATCTCGCTCCTAGGTCTACTGATTACGCTACTGATTAAGAATACCATACTTGAATAATGATTCGAAATGTGCTTTATTTGAAGACAATGTATTTCAGATAAAGGGCAACAGGTCTTCTAAATAACCATTAATTTAGGTCTCTATCATTGAAAGCCCTCAACAAAGAATATCATCATCTGCATTTTCCTGCAAGTATCTTATCCGCCCGCAATTTAACGTAAAAAAACAACGCATTTCAGACGAACTTCTCGTAGCTTCGTGCGGGCAAGACTCGCTTATTCGAGTATGGAGACTTGGGCCTTTCCGAGATCTTGAAGACGAAGAAACGACCGTGCCAAGGGCTGAATTCAAAACTAATGGTGAGGACGCATAAAGTGACTTTGTTAATAGCTCAGTTAACTTCCAAAGTTTGACAAATTTCAAGAAATTACCAAGCTTTAATGTGTCGAAGCATTCTCAGCTTATTGTTAATAATCCGATACGGTGATATGCATTAATGTAATAGTAATACCCGAACCATACAAGAGCCTGCTATTCGTGTGATATAAAGCATATAAAACTTTTAACTAAAGTATGTAAGTATGAAATAAATAAAACTCAAACTGTCTCTGAGAAAGGAACAGCTTTCTCTAGCGACACGGTAGTAACTGCTCTACGTAATAATACTATTAATAACGGCTATTTAAGCAAGTTGGCTAGAATGTCCAATCTCATTCTTTATAATGGTTCTCAAAGTTGAAATCCAACCGGTGACCATTGTTGATCGGTAAACCCCACTGATGAGAATTAAATAACCGAATACACTTATTTAATGGGTAGCGATTCTCGATTTTCCGTATCTCATCGGACTCACAAGGGTTACTCTACTTGCTTGTCAAGCACACTTCAACGGCATTTTCGTAAATTTCCATCGTTTCGAACAATTTTTCCGGAATCTCGAGGCAGCAATACTTGATCTTCGAGTAGCTTGTTGTCTACATGATAATCCATTTTCAAATATATTAACCTACAAGCAGAACATAATTTGCCTCGCCAAACACCTTGAAAACAATTTAGATACAGTTAAAGTTCCTTAACTCTGTCTCTCCCCATTTTTTCTCAGCTTTTTTTTTTTTTAATATATAGAGTCCAGTCATAGATCAGTCTTAGTGAGTTGCACTATTGTATTGTAAATTTGTTAAACTTTGGTGATACACGTCAAGTTTGCCCTTTAATGAAAAAAAAAAAACTAAATAAGTGGTTCTTCAAATATAATAGAAACTACACATATATTTACGACGCAGCAATAGTTGCCCATGCTGCACTTTAAACGTCTTTTACTTCTGTTATAGTAAACTATCAAAAGAGCTCAGGAACAGCTCCATACTCACAAATATATATGATACATAAGGCTTCTACTCTGACCGGTGCAAAATTTCCATAAAGCAATGAGAAACTAAGTTCAGCTGTTAAACTATATCTAGTAGGTATTTGCCTAATCTCTTAATAATAAACCTTATCTGTCAAATTGGTAAAGGAGAGCATTTGGTAAAATGTGGTAAAGTTTTAAAACACTTACACACATGAAAAGAGGTTTCTAACAAGTGAGAGGTTTCTAAATCCTCAAAGACAATATTATTGTTCTCTTTTTTTTTAAACTCTTTTTTTTTTCACTTTACCTAAAAGATGCTTATTTGTATATTGACGAACGAATTTCGTGCCTTAAAGGTTAAGACAAGATACTTTTAAAAATCTTTCTTATATCTTTTTGAGCAGAGAGCTATGATCTTCTATTAAATTCTTACGCTTACCTCTAATACTTACCATTTGTTTACACTTGTGTACTTTTATCGGCTAAAAAAAGGGGTTCCCTTTATTATATAACTAGATTAATAATAATACTCATCCAGAACTCACATCGCTTATTCTGCGCAGGCGAACGGTAGTTATACGTTTTGCTTTGTTTTTGTAGGTGTGCGTCTGCAAGCGGAATTAGAAACTGTCCTTGAAGGTCACAGTGGTTGGGTATACTCTGTACGTTGGGGACCTGGCCAAGACCTGCGTCTTCTATCTGCGTCCATTGACAAATCTTTGATAGTGTGGTCTCCGGCTGAAGCAGAAAACTGTGACGTTTGGATAGAACGCTTGCGAGTTGGTGGAGTAGGTGGAAATAACCTAGGATTTATAGGCGCCGTTTGGGACCACACCGGAGACAGAATCCTTGGGCATGGGTTCCATGGAAGCCTGCATTTGTGGCACAAAATTGGGGATCGTGTAAGTAAATTATGTTTCACGCATGTGTTTAATATTATAAGGCTGGAGTAATTATATTTAATCGATCGGAGGTATTTCATCATTTATCATTGATAAATTTCAGCGTTGTCCTACAGTGGTTACGGTTTTACTTGTTTGTCCTATTTCGGTGCCTTCATTGATTTAGATCAGAGCTAAGCAGCAGTCAATAGAATATTTCGACCTAAAAATCTAATGCCATTAATGAGCTTACCATGTCTCACGCACGTACTGTTTACAAATCTGGTCTGAAAAAAATTGGTGCGCTGCTTCTCTGAACTGTTCTCAACTCAATGTAACTAAAGCGACGCTCTAAGGAAGCAAAGCCGATATTTCTTTATAAAGACAATAAGTTCTTCTAAACTTGTAATCGGATTTTGATGGAGTTTATTTAGAATATTACCGAGTGAAAATACTTTTGTGGGTGCCAGAAAACATTAATTGCGATAAAAAAGATGTTTCGGGAAAATGAAATCTAACGACGGTTACAAGTTGCAACGTAATAACCATGCTGAATCATATGCTGGATAGCCTCATGATTTTTAGCAGATCTTGCGCTCTTTAACCGGAAACTTGTGGGATCAAATCAATTATTAGATTATTTCGCGTCTTTTTATCTTATTTATACGTTGACTTTGTTCTATAGTAATGATTTTGTGCGTGATAAAATCATGGGGACTGAAAACCCATACCTGGAGCACTGCCTTTTTCGCTGCCTTCGTGATGCAGCTAAGGCGACAAGTGTTGTGTGCGATATGAAACGTGAACGCGTAATATTTGATGCCATGTTCCAGGGCTGATTTTAGTGCTTCAGCTTGCTAGCAATAAGCTGCGCTACGAACCTACCTAAAACAGAGACTGTTTATAGACTGCATTCTACTGGCTTGATCAACTTAAACCTGACATCTAACTTCCTCACAGGACCAGTGGAAACCATGCGTTGTCCCGGGTGGACATTTTCGAGCAGTAACAGGGCTCACGTGGTCTCCTGGCGGTTCATATCTGCTGTCCTGCTCAACTGATCAGACGACAAGGGTACATGGAAAGTGGCGCAAGCCTGAGGACAAGACGACAGTGTGGCGCGAATTGGCTAGACCTCAAGTACACGGCCATGATCTGTTTTGTATCGCGGCGCTCTCAGAAACTGCTTTTGTGTCCGGTCGGTTACACAGTAGTTTGTTTTGTGACAATCAAAACGAGGTCTCCATATTTTTCTGTATTTCCTGTAACTAGCCATCCGCCTTTTTACATTGCGGATGGGAAAATTCATTAAAGATATTTACGACACATGTACAAATTTATTAATACGAAGATTTGCATGTGGCTTTGTGTCTCCCGACCTATACAGTTTTTTTTTTAAATTCTGTGAGATTAACCTGCTGAAGTGGTGAATCGTCAAACCACTACAAATGTATTGATCAATTACCAACAACTTATCGCCTTCTAGTTTAACGTAGGGCCTAGCAACGCTAGAAAAAGATACAAAGCTTCAATATATACACTGCCTTGTAAGACTACTGATTTTTAACTGAATCATTTGTATTATAGGCTACGTAGTGTGAATGAAACTGATTTTGTGCATAAAACGGGTTTCAGGAGCGGAAGAGAAAGTGCTACGATCTTTCAACGCAACCCGAAATTTTGTTGCCAATATTAACAGAATCTCTGGTGAGACTTTGGTAAATGATGTTGACGTAAAGCTGCTGCCGGAAGGAGCGTCTGTTGCTGCTCTTGGTCTTTCGAACAAAGCCCTTTACGAATCGGATATTAAGGTATGATTAGTGAGTTAAAATGGTGGTTGAAGGCAAACAGTTTTTGCCGATTTTAAGTATCTAATTGGCATTTTCTGTTAAAAATATTCTGATACCACAACTTATTTAGGAAAAAACTAATATAAATGATACGCTTTTTTCCCCATTTTATATTCATATTATAATGTTCTTGGAAAAATCTTGCCGGTTTTCTTAATTTCTTTCACTGAATTGCCAAGTACCATGTACCATTGTAAAACTTTTTCTTACTCTAAAAGCATGTCCTTATAATGTATTCTCGAGTTGTCAGATTAAGAGGACATAATATGAATTTAGAAATAAAACTACTTCGCCGTTTCCTAAAATGATACACATACTTAAAGCAATTGAAAGCTTAATGTAACGAAAAACAAGTGGCAAATTAAAACTATAGGGTAGGAAGTTATAAAAATGTATAAGAAAACCAATAAAAGTTAATCTTGGAAAAACTAACAAAATTTATTGGAAGAACAGAAAAAAACTTGTGCAAGAAATAATGAACAAAATACAAATATTTAGAAAATCATGAAACAAACAAAAGTAACGAATCTAAATGATATTCGTTACCTTTTACTGCATGTTTCGGTTTTCCTCAAACGGCTTTTTGTTGCGCACTGCGTTATTTTTGTGCAAAATTACATGTAACTATAAGTTTGTTGTTTTAGCAGGAATGTTCTGTATAGCAAACGTCAAGTTTTCATAAGCTACAGATCTACGTACATATGTCTACGCAAAAACTCCAATAAAAATGATAATATTGCAAAGTTGATCTCTCATGCAGCTAGAATCAAGAGTATAATTTTAAAAAGGTATTTTTTCTTAATTATTATCACTACTCTACAGTTTCCCGACTTAGGTCGATGGAACTGATTAACTGCCGTCAGTCAGAATTGACCGTAAGCGAGCACGTTATTATTTGATGATTGATTTTGACCTGGTTTTTTGATAAACTCAAACTTGGGAGGCATACTTGGTTGTTTCGAAGAGATTTTTCCGAAACTTCTAGTGGTAAACAATTGTCTAGAATACAGTGCTCAACAGTGCGTTTTGCGGTATGATATTTTATTGACTGCCGATAAATCAATCTTGACAAAGTTGTATCACTATGCTATCTCGACTATTCTGACCTTCTTGATTGAACAAACAATAAAGGTTTCTCTATCTAATTTTTTTTATCAATCTGGATGCATCTCCCATGAAGCAAAGTGCGAGGACGTAGGTGCAAAAATTATCTAGTGTTTTATGCTGCTTAGTGTTCTAAGAAAAGCTTCATTGTTAAATCCAATATTAAATGCTTCGCGAAAATAATATTAAGCATAGTTATGTATATGGCCAAAACAGTTTCAGGTCACTAACGAGGGCCAAAATGATGATCTTAAATACAATCAAGAGGATTTTTATTTCCGAACAATAGAGTTAACCGCACCGCCGCACGAAGAAGATCTCGCCCAAAACACACTATGGCATGAGGTTCGCAAACTCTATGGACATGGGTAAGCCATTACTCGATTCTTAAGCAATATTAAAATGAACAACAACAAATGATTCTACAATGCTATGCATTTGTGCCAGCTCTTTGTTGTGTTATAGACTGTCTGCGACCATTAATACGATAAAATACGGCATCCAAGGCAATCAAAGTTTGGTCACATCCCATCACTCTAAAAAGACCCTATCTGTTCTATTTTTGAAACGTTAGGATTTACAAACATTAAAACGGCGATAAATCTACGTAGAGTCCAGTGCCGTTTAGGGCTGCTGTTGCGTATGTATGTTCAAGATGATGACTAGTTGGTTTAACAAACCAATTCCTGTGAACTTGATTCTACTAAGTACTCGCTTGTGTTAAATTTGATTACTAATTTTTATTAGTATGTTCAGTAAAATAATTCAGAAGGCTGTTTTGAGACTGATTCCGTATCCTTTTGCGCCCGGAACACTTGAGCGATGAACTAAAATAATGTTGCCTTTCAAAATAGTCAACAATGTTTCACAGACTCTCAGTTTTTGTTGCTTACCTTAATGTACCAGCGTAGCGTACCAGTTTAGATATATGCACAACAGGCCTACTATACCTTTGAACATTGTTTTTTGCATTGAAATCGAAGAAGAAAATTGCAGTGTGGATGGAGAAATTTTATTGACCAGAATTAACATTTCCCAATCAGAAACTTGTTACAACGGAAGACCAAAAAGGTAATCAAAGCCAGCTTTAAATATTTTGGTATGCACTCGTTCCGCTATACGCTTGTTTTTAGGCGTAAACGGATTGTTTTGTCATTTACTAACATTATTAGATGCATTATAAGAAGTAGCAAAAAAAGTTAGCCACAAGTTGCCCAGATTTTTTTGTACGGTCACACAGGTACGAAGTCTTTACATGTGCAGCATCGGCGGACGGGTTGCTTGTGGCTTCGTCGTGTAAAGCTCAGTCGGTCAAACATGCTGCTGTGCTACTCTGGGATACTAGATCATGGAAGGTTGGTTTTTCCGCATCGATTCTTGTTCGATGTTATCGACACTAAGGGTCATTAGAATAACTCGGCATACTCTACCGATGTCGGATTACTAAGGTCTCCTCTTTGCGACGGGTGTAGCTTTCATGAAATGCACAATTTCTCATCGTACTATGGTTGTTTGTGAAGAATTGATAAAAATTCTGTTCAAGTTTCGCCTGATAAACTTTCTAGGCATTTCGAGTGATTTATACGAATTTACTTCACCCGAAAATTATCTGAGTAAACTAGATTTTCAACTGATATCAATCGTAGAACATTGTTTGACTTTGGCATTGTCTATTACTCTAATTAGCGGGTATCCCCTAAAGTATGCCACTTGAATCTTTAACAATTTGGAACAACATGCCATCAAGACCCGGTCAAGTTTATGCTATGGTCAAGATAATTAGCTATGCTAACATTGATTTTTATAAAATAATGCTTGTATGCGATGCTTAGGTATGTAACGCCAGTCAGTTCTATAGTAACCTTTATAGTCATTTTCACAAACAAATTCATTTTAGGTGATTCAGCGTTTAGAACACCACCAGCTTACTGTTACTTGCGTGGCGTTTAGTGATGATGGCCAACGAATACTAACGGTTTCTCGGGATCGCACTTGGGTTTTATGGGAAAAACCTTTTCAGGGAACCGATCGTGAGATTAACTATGTTAAGGTAACATCGACGTAACTACGTATGACACCTGAAAAGGTGTCTCATTAGTTGGATAGCTAATATTATTTGATCTTAACCGGAACAGTACTTAGCACTCCTTGATTCAACTCCATTATATTGTGACTCAGTATAAAACCCTTATATATCGTCAGCTCAGCCTGGAATTAGAATAATACAGGAGTATTTTAGAACACTGCCAAGCTTGCATACCCCCCCCCGCCCCCCAATGAAAATATACTGTTTTTTTTCAGGTTGCCTATGTGGATAAAAGCTGCAATATTCACCAACGTGTTATTTGGGCATGCGCTTTTGCTCCCAAAGAGTTCAGTTGTACTGAAAACGGCAAGGGGGGTCTATTTGGAACCTGCTCAAGAGATAAAAAAGTGGTTATTTGGAAACGCGATCGGGAATCGGGTGACTATGCTCAAAAGGACAAAGGAGACATTAAGGACTGCTTAGCCGACCTTACAGGAGGTTGGCGGCCTTGCCTCATTTTCTGCGCTGAGGACTCTGCCCGATCTCTTGCCTTCTCCTCAGCCGCGATTACAAGCAACGGCATCAAAAGATCGTAAGTGTTGATCTATACTTAGTCAATGAATAACTCAGCAACAACTATAAATTATCTGAAACCTAAATGAGCTAAGCCAAATTGAGATTTTAGTATTTAAGCGATTTAGCGATTAATAGTTGAACTACTTATTTTCAGCTAATCTATACGAGGTATTAAGGTATTTTAGCTGAATTAAATAAAAATGAGACTATATTTACACAAAAGCAATAAATATATATCACAGTTGTAACATTATACCATACAACACTCATAGGGAATTAGTTTATCCGTAGCTATACACCAAGAAGAACTAAAAAAATCGTGCTCGTCTGGTCATTTTCTTTGTATAGTTACTATCGATAAGTTCAAGAAGGCTCATAATAGTTTTGGTAACGACAGGTAATCTACTGCTCAAAATATTGAGTATGAAATGAAAAGTAATAAGCGTGGTTTTTGGCCATTGACTCATAGCACAACAATCAGAGCTATTCAAGTTTGGTCTTTGCCCTTTCTGAATAATATATATACCTTCGTCAACAATGCTCCCCGCAGAGGAACAGTAGTTACTAGTAAGTAAAACAAGCAATTTGTACGGACGTGTAAGATAAAGCGTGCAAGAACCGTATTGACGACTTTAATCGTCGATTTGACTAGACATTTTTTCTGCGAAAGTACATATTTTGCTACAGTCCATATGAATGAACAAGTGCCTATGTCTATTTTATTTCGAAATAATAAATTGATAATGGCGAGATCCGACGGATAGCAAAACATTTAGGTGGAGGCCGGCAGACCTTAGTTATTTCGCACTTTAAAGCCTTCTTGGTGTCTTCAGAAATTCCCAATGCCGACCGGCATCGGGTACGTGAGACAACATAATTGCTACCGGACATGAAACCGGTGACGGTTATGCTCAATACAGCGCTAACCACTCTGGCCTTCTTAGCTACCAAAGTTGCTTCTAGTGCGCGCGTTAATCAATGACAGCAGTCGAAATCGAGCTAACTCAAACGAGAAGTGTTAGCCGGCACGATAGTCGGGGGGCATATTGGGACGGCAAACATAGACGATAAATGCATGGGTAAGACACTCGTAGCCAAGCCAAACATGTACCTGTTTTTTGCATTGCGCGGGCTGCAATCCACTATACAGAGGTGACGGTGGCGCTAATGAAACCTGAGTCAAATTAGCGCTTGCTTTCTCCACATGGAGGTCCTACTCGCAGTGCGGTACATATTTATCGTTTTGTGGGTTCGATTCGAGAACCTTATTCAAAGAAGTCTCCAAATTTCATCAAGGAAGCTTAGTTCCCGTTGTTAAAGAAATGTTGTTGGCGATTCTCTTTGGATACGGATAATATTGTGCTCTTTGCTGTATCATCAATATCAATTAGAGCGAACAATCCTTATAAAAAGCAATGTACTATCGTTTACTAGCGCTTGGAAAGGTCGGCTCGTATGTATTATTATACTTAAATAATATGTATGCTTGTAATGAGGAGGTGATATCTAATGCTTCTGTTGAGTTCAGGTATTCTTTTTCTTTGTTTAGCTATAATTCAAATGAAACGTTTGGCACATCTTCGAGCTGCCCATGTATATAGCCCATCTACACAGTGTAGATGAAAACAGACTAATTAATTAATAACAAATGACATTATTAGGGAAACATTGTCTGTTAAAAACCATGTTAAAAAATATAGTAAAAACCAGTTATGCTTTTTTGTGATTTCAGACTGTTTCTGGCTATTGGTCTAGATAATGGGTTTATTGAGCTGAGACAACTCGTATTTAACACGATATCCGGCGACCTTGAGATTGTGCGTACCCTTCACTTAGCCGCTCACGACCTTACAGTAAATCAACTATGTTTTCAGCCAAAAGTTTACTCTGCTACACAGGAGGCCGCCAGTATTCAGGCAGATGAGCAAGACAGTCTGGTCGAGTTGCTGGCCTCGTGCTCTGACGATCACACAGTTAAGCTTCATCGGGTATTTGCAATAAAGGATTAAACAAATATGCGTTGATGATTTCCAATTATTAAGACGAATAAGCGTGGCTGTGCGGCTATCTTCGCAAAACTTCAATAATTCAGACGCATTTAGCACACTGGAAATTATGATGTCGTAGACAGGCATGTACCGACTAGGAAATCTATTTTGTGATGGATAACTCAAATCTCACCTCTCAGGTTATTATTGCCTAGTTGTGATCCTTCTAAAGTTATTGTTAGAACCGTGACCGCCTTTTTAATTCTCAAAAACTGCTAATTTGATATATAGAAGTCATTGCTCCAGAATTACAAAAAGAGCTTCTGACAATACGCAGTGGATAAAAAACAACTGTATTCAAAGCTCGATTTCGTGGTTACTGCAAGTTGTACTAGACGTAATGTAGGCGGTAGTCATATTAGGTAAGTATCATTATTCAGAGTTGCTATAATAAACTTATAATCCAGTTTCAATATTGTTTTTTAAAAGCAGGCGGACGATCAAGCATATATTGAAGCCTGAAGGGAACAATAATTGAATTTATTGTTATTATATTGAATTTTTATGCATGTGAGGGATCTTTTAAAGCATGTTCAAGCAACGTCTTCATTATGCTTCCATCGCTATATATAAGCTTACCAATATAACTTGACTTCACTTACAACTCTGCATATATCTTCCCGAAGCCTAGCAAAATTAAAAGAAGCGTAACGCATTTGACGCGCCTGTTTGCGACAATAGTGCAAAATCTGTGAAACCAATTAATTTCCGCTAGCAGTAATAATAACATTAATAATGTCAATCATTTCCGCCGAAACGAAGGAGTGCCCTTCATGCAGCAGCGTTCAGGACTGGTTTCTTATATTAAAAGAATAAATGCCATGTATTCACGTATATAGCGTCTGAGAGCGCATAGGGCTTTGCCTCTTCTGCAGAATTTACAGATTTAGTTATTAAGATAATATGTACTTAGCCGATACGACGTCGTCCTTGTTAAAGACGTTTTGAACCCTGTCTGAAGTAGCGCATAGCTAAACATCATTACTAGCCACTTCTGGCGGTTCAAATACTTTTGACTCAGTTGAGCATACCGTTCTACCTCACACAGCCCCATTACTCTGGTTTAGTAAAAGAGCTATTTTTGGATTTTAACAATCCCTTCCGCTAGCAAAGAGGCATATTACTACGTGACACTATCAATAATGCTATAGATCGTGTCAAACGTGATCACCTTACGTTTAATTGGAACACTTTTAAACAATAATGTGTTGACCCCCGTTCGGGCAGAAGCTGCAGAAGAACGTAGCGAGGGGCTCTAAACATTTCCAAACAAACGACATTTTTTCTGGGCTTTCACATGTTCCTGAATTCCTTGCTTTGAAAATTTTTTTTTTCCAATGTTTTCATTCACCAACAAAGCCATTTTGATTTTGCTCCTAATAGCCTTCCTCATTAACAGTAGCACATATGACTCTAGCTATTGACGAGTGCTCTAGAAAACACAACTTATCCTGTAATCGAGTTATATCTCTGTTTTATCACAATGTTATAGAAACGATAACATTACGTTCTGCCGATTTCCTTTAGAACGGTGCAATATCTGAGAATTTTAGGGTCTAATGTAGATAATTGTAAACCAGTGGCCAAACAGTACGCTACATGTATCATTTCCGAGAGGCTTATAGCCTTTTTGCTTATTACATCTTTGGCTTCTTGTGTTCTCAAGGACTACTGAGTACTGATCAACATAACTTTGTTAAAAGGAAGTTAACTATTATATACAACTGGTATGGTCTCTGATTGAGCTATTCATATGAACGCTACTCACTGTGTGTAGTTCGAGTTGTCCGTGGCAAAACAGGCTCGCTCTATCGTCCAGTGATGACACAATTAGATAAGCAGCGCCAGTAATAGGTGGCTCTCGCAGCGGATCAGTATTTAAGAACGCAAATTGGCGACTGGCAACTCGAGTTCTGATTGTCAGAAGGCGAAGTACTCGAACGAGTTTTGAGCACAGTTTTATTTGACTATTTAAGACTTCTGACCAAGAAATTACTTGATTCTTATTCGAAGTGAACCATCTACAAATTCACTTACAGTGCGAGACATTCGTGTAAGTACTTCTGGTCTGTGCTAGACGATCAATGATAGCTTCTGAGCTTCTAATACAAGTATAGCAGTTATTCTTTAGGTATTCCATAACGTGGTAGTTTTTCAAGGGTTTATCCTATTCTGTGTTTTGAATTTATATGATGTGTTAGGGCAATTCATAATTCAATAAGTGTAACTTTAGGCAGACTTTTCAGCCTTTCAGAAGGGTAACTAGAGTAGCAAGCAGTAAACTATCTCTCTAAGTGATGTAAAGAAAACAGCAAGCTTATAAGCATTCCTAAACGATGCTATGTATGATTTGTCTCGAAAGCTCTTACGAGTACTTTTTTTCTTACTTAACTAGAAATTGTAACAACGGAACTTGACTACGTTTTTTTCAGGTAATTCAAGTTGTTCAGTCAGTCGTGCTAATCTGTAATACGTTTGATCGTTGTCTTGGGGTGAAGACATCGGAATTTTGCGTAACACTTTGTAGAGGTTCAATTGTCCTCAAATGTATTATTTGTTAAATTATGCGAGTATGATGAGAAAACCCGTTAAAAAAATATAGCCCCCGCGATGCCCCCAGCGGGTGCGAAGTCGGATGTGCAGTGATAAGTCTAATTTCCTCTCCAAATCTCTATGAGGTCCATATTAAACTATGCAACAAATCCCCAAATCAGGTAAATGCTTTGGCATTTTCATTAGTAAATTTGGCCGACACAATAATCTTGTAAATTTTTAGTACTATCTGCAGAAAATAACACATCTTCTTTTCGCGTGTATTTAAGCATTTAAATTATTAAATATTTAAATAATCTATCTTGTTATTGGGCGTACTTATGTTGTGTCACAGCAAGTCAATTGTAGCAACTTAAATATATGCTGTACTAATCGACATGGGCAGCGGTAATTGAACAATAGTTGTACACTATTTAGTAAGATTCTACCCTTTATCAGACATGCATTTAAATAAAGGGAAACTGGATGATAAAAATACCGATTTTCCTTAATATCTCAGTTTGGTGAAAGTATGAAAATATGATCCCAGTTGACGGTACACGGTGTGGTTATATGCTAGCGTCGGAAGACCGCGCCAGACCGCTAAAATTTTGGGCAAAATAAGAAATCACGATAGATTTACTGATAACTTCAAACTCTACATTCAACGGATATAGGTTCACGCAATTCTAATGGCTCGTACAAATTAGAAAGGCCGGCTCTGCAGCCAAAGCAAATGATAGGAAAAAATACCTTTTATAGATACCATGGTATATATGGTGCTACAAATATAAGTAGATTGAAATATATACTTGTTCGCGGCACGCGGTATCATGACATGCAGCTTTGTTCTGCATCAATAGAATGGCGACTTGGCTTAGTTCCATTGTTGTTATTGCATTCTCTCTTTTCTCCGATCATAAGCCCATGCGTTTACTCTGGCTTACTAACAGACTCGTCTGTTTCAGTTTGTGCAGACCATTTCTTAACGGCTGCAACAAAAAGCACATGATGCGTTTCAGATCCAAGTTTGACTTGCAAACAATTGTGCCCAGCCACATACGGTATGGTCTAATTAATGCTTTGTAAGAAAAAGTCATAATTTCTTAAACCTTTATTTTATCTCGGAAGCATGTGCTACGCTGCTATTCAGCACCAGGCGAATAGTTTAACATTTATATATCAGTCCTAAACGTAGGCATATCCAAAGCGCCTAAGTAAATCATAGTCGAGTTGAAACGCCCTTTTCGTTCAGCATTGTCATAGAAAACAGGCACCTTCGAGATTTACTGCATGTTATTCATCAGCATGATAGATCTCACTTATGCAGTCTGGAATATCATCTGCTTGAGCACGAGGCTTTGTGCGATATGTAATGAAGCTAATGTATAATGGATCTTTAAAAGTCGCTTTTATTCTTGTCTTCAAATTATTGCTGCTAATTGATACTGCACATAGACACCCGTGTGCCCTCGCCTATAAATAAATTCTCTATAGGGCCTAAATTGCTTGAATATAGACAACTCCACGATGGAATATTCTTTGTTGCCTTTTTAATACTGAGCTCACTTTGCGCTTCTATCGATGCATGATGTAGAAATTCGCCAAATTAGTATTTGCAAAGGATCAATTTATTTGTTTCGTATGCATGAAACAATTATAACTTGATATCTTCATCATCGCTAAGCTGTTTAGCTTTTAATTCTTCAATCACTTCCCTCATTTCACGCTCGTATTGTGACCATGTTGTTTCGCTTGCGCCAGTCGCCATAGAAGCGTCCATCGGTGCCTCGCTGTTTTTATCCGTAGCGGTCGCTAATTCCGACACGCAATCCCAGCCGTTCTCCTCTTTCCGGCCAACTTTTGACAGTTCAAGTTCAAAGTACATATCGCCCTGATCTTCAGCAGCGGACGTTGACGGCAAGACCATGTTCCTGCTACGAAATATTCCCAGCGGTGTAGAATGCTGCATTACTGCAAGTATATAAATACATTTTAGGCAAATATTTCGAGAATCAAGAAGTGGTGTCGTTGAAACATTATATCCTATGCATAACCAAGTAGTTTTGAGTACGCTAGCCGTTAATATCCGGTCGTCATTATTCTTATCATAGTAAATTGAAATAGATGAATTGAGAACATAAAAGGTATCTAAAGTTTGCCATCATTCGCAATGCGCTTATCTTCAATATACTTGTATTTCCGTTTATAAGTAAGTCAATTTTTGATGGAGCATAGATTGCGTAAATATAAACAGTTTTACGATGGAATATTGCTTACTAACTTATTGTTTTAAGTTCAGTTTTATGCTTTGTTGTAAAAAAAATACATTGCTAACTTAAATATATTTTATTAAATACAGGACACCAATCTGTGGCAGGTATGCAGATGGTCTATTTCTTAATAAAACTTTCAAGCAATAATAAAAAATCGTCTAGACAAATAAGCGGTTTGTGATCGAAACTTTCATTAGAACTAAACCTCCCATCTGCCTAAGCAGTTCTTTTATACAGTCTATACCACATCTTTATGTGGAAGACTTAGTTCGTCCTACCCGTGCAACTTGCAATTTCTCGGTATCATGAACGTAACTGTCACAGCAGAACGCTTACCGAGATGCACGGTAGCTTCCACAGTTAAACTGAAAAAAACTTCTACGAGTTATTCACTTAAGTTTTTTTTCAAGCAGTCATGCTCTATGAACTAGCAACACATAATCAAATATTTCGATTTGTGATCACAACAATTAACTTCGACTCTAAAATAACTTGTGTGCCGGAAGACCGATACTAAAATGCAATGTTTGCTTCTCGTCATCCCCTCTCAACTGCCTACAGAACTGAATAAATCCTCTTAACGGCACTGCTTAGCAGAGTGCTTATGCCATATATAATTGAATTAAGTATCGATTTGTTGATTATTTTCTATTATCGTTAGTTTCCCCAAAAAGTGCCTCACTATCCTTCTACAACAGCCTTAAACTCGCTCGTTTTATCATTTTCGATGCCATCTTTCGGTACTATTTACGAACTTCATAAATTAACCTGCTTCATATTTATCATAACAATATAATAATACTATGTAACGACTTTTCCACTCTTTTATAATACATCAATAATTTCTTTGTAGTATTATATAATACTATCCCTGTATTTTGCATAAGTAGAGCAAATCTAAATACATCGGTTGCAATAATTACCTGCAGCAGAATCGACTGACGTACTTCGTGACGACGGTGAAGCAGAATGATTTGCTGATTCTGATGAGTGTATCGATGAAGGATACGAAAGCGGTGTGACTGGACAGGATGTTTGCCGACTCGTATTTTTGTCGCTCTTGACACGTTCTAGCAACTCCCTGTACACCTCCCACCTGTATGTAATGTAGTGGAAAATGTAAGCATTTAGCTCACTGTATTTCATTATGAGCTGAAATTATGCTTAAAAATATATGAAGAGATACGGGTTCACGTAGAGACTATTTGTCAATCTTCTCCATTACGGATCAATTTAGATTTAGAGATTACGATATAAAAAAGGATACGCAAATTGTTTAAGATGAAATCCAGATGCTAGAACAAACGGATTAAATGTGCATATGATGCGGTGCCATTGTTTAGTACCCGCCAGGTCCTACAGAGCGTGCAATACTCACAAAAATGCACACGACGGTGTGAAATATACATTCGAAAAGTGTACAAGCACAAGAAACAATGCAGAACAGAATGGGGGTTAGGGGTAAATAAAAGACAACGTTAGTTTGAAATATAATCATCGTAAGCGGAATTCCTCATACAGATTGACTAAAGAATATCTACAATAAGGGGCGAAGTTCGCATACCTGCGTTGATAGACCTAATTCAGAATCGCATATTGCAGCTGTCAACTCGTCATTGCAATCGTAACGATTTGACCGGTTTGCTTAACGACGGACGCTCTGAGGTAAGAACAAGTGCGAAACGTTACGCTACGACCCAAAGAAGGTAAACGCAAGCCGTCACTCGAGCAACCTTAAGAAAGTAGCGTGCTTTGAGGATGTGTCGTTTGAACTAGGAATATACCCTTCAGCAAAGTAAACAAAACAGTAGTCAACTGTTTTAAGGACAATGATCTAGGAATAGCTGTTATAACTTGTAGCTCGAGTGTACGGAGAAAGGGGAATCTGATCAAAGTGGCCCTCACCAATTGTTCCAATGGCCCATATATTCTTCTTCCTAAATTCCCATATAATTCCCTCTAACTGTTTTGAGTTATACGTTCGGTACCGCCGTTAAGCGTTTCATCAAACGCTGGCTTCCCGCACGGAACGAAGCGTGTCCGTGTCTAAATTCAAACCTAGACCTTCACGTGTTCTTAAGATTAGCAGGCAAACTGCTAGAGGACTGTGCTATTTCCTCCTATCAGTCTGGTGCTGTTAAATGAAGATCTAGGGAGAGTGAAATAAGTAAGAAGGATTGAGGTCAATAAATGGCAGAAGCAAGCGTCATCTTCAGCACCGAGACTCTCACAATTAGCTCATCAAAAATTAGATTCGGGTGTCCAACTAATACGCAATTATATTTCTCAAATTTTCTCTAAAAGATTTTCTCTAAAAAAGAATATCAAGTATTATTGCTTGATGGTGTTAAGTAGTTATCGATTCATATTTTTGGCTATAATTTTTTTTGCAGAAGGTTGTTGACAAAAGTGATTGTCGAAAAATGGTAAGCGGAATTCCGTGATTGGATTAAGAAAAAAATCTGTACGTACAGTTGGTCTATAAAGTAATTGACCTGCGATGACCTATTTTGGCCGAAACACTTTAGCTGTGTCAGTTTTTGATACGATAACAGAATTTTAATATTTTACGCACAATCAATCAGAAAGTCGAAGTTTTTTTAGGTGCGCATCCTTTTTTACTTGGTGTGACAACAATAAACAACAGAGGGAAATCGTAATAGATATCACGCTGCTAAATGCTCAATGGTACCATTTCTAAAGGTATCTGGCAAATCAAACTAATTTGGTAAACTCAACAAGATTCGCTACATATATGGCGCAAGCAGCTTTTAAATAGGCATATATATCCTCTTTGATATCGGGATATTGTTGTTGTGTGAGATAGTGTTGTTGACCTGTATTTTGAAAATTGTGTGTGGAGCTTTCGATTACTACTAGCGATAAATAGCTAGCGGGTGCATAAGTAAAAGTTTCATTGCCGCCATACCTACGATAAGAGTGCTCCTGGATGACACAGTGTAATGCGATATGGCAGAGCTAACTCTTAAATGCTTATATTATTTTGGGGGGCCCGTAGGTCAACGACGGTACTTTACATATATATATGTATAGTTAAAAAATGCTATGTAAATTATGTTCATTGAAAACTTGCAGTAGACACAATGTTGTACATTCCATTAGCAGTATTTGTACTGCTCTGTAATGATTCTTTATCTAGTATATGTAACTTTGAAAAATAATGACGACATAACATCTACACACCTTGTGGCATGATCGACGGCAGCCCAGTCAGCGAGTGCTTCGACGACTTGCAGAAGCAAGGCACGCTTAGAAAAACTGTTTGCTATGAGTATATCACCGATGGCATTCTTCATTAGGTTTGGTGGTACTTTTAGGAGCATCGAGCTCTCGATGAACGGCCGCGTATTCTCCTGGGCCACTCGCTTGATATAATGAGAGATCGCCCCTTCAAGCGGTGTTACCATCAGTGACACGGATGCATCCAGTAGTTCAATGCAGTTATTTTCCTCGATGCGAACAGATCCTGTGTAAAAGTAATCAAGGATAAGTTCGAGTACCTCGGCTGCTATGTCCGTTTGTATTTTATTTGATTTCATTGCTTTGTCACGGAGCAACGTCGAGTTTGCCGCCAATACAGCTTTATGGCAAGGATATTTGCGACGATCCGACGAAAGAACCACTACGTCACAGAGCTTTGTCGCTCGCTGTTCCTCTAATCTTTGTAAAATTATTTGACCATGATTTTCTGTAGAAAGGTTGGCGCTGAAGTCTTCGAGTGACGGGTCCATTATAATTATATCCGTAGTATACTTTAGAACTAGGTTGTTGCACAAGGTAGGAAGCTGCACACGTTAGGAACCATTCACTATTCTAGATAATAATATCCAGAAGCACTCTGTATCATACTTGAAACTGAACGAAATGCAGTTCACTTCATCGCGACGGCTTACAAAGACATGGGCACAAAAGCCGACTCTGTCCACTTTAATTTTCCCATTCGAGCCTTAGCGTGTTTGTGCTATCTTGAGTACTTTCACAAGCACCGTCTTTTGCCGTTGATGAGCTAGCCAAAAGCCGAGCCTTCTCCATATCCCAACAGTGTGTAAATAGGGGAGAAGCCCATGTCAATATTACTGACCTGTGAATGACATAGAGCTTTTACCAATGAAGTATTAGACGAACCAGTTTCAAGTGTAAATATCATCTATAACCGTACGCTAGGATCCAATGTAAATTTGAACGACTAGTCAAATAGTATGGTGATAATATGAAGCCATTTATTTATAAATGCCAAATTACTATTTATGGGATAACGTAAGCTTCATAAAATATTATAACAGTTAACTCATTTTCGTCATGTCAAACTCTTTGACTCACGTTGTGTTGAGTCATTCAAAATAAATACTTTCTACCTAGATTGGTGTTCATACTAGGTACTTCATACTGGTATTAGCTTTTCGGCCATTATTTCTATAAAGACTTTTCATTATTTTTGCGACAGATAAACACAATATTTACGCATGATTTTCTTCCGTTTCTATACCATATATACGCGCCGCCCGTTTGTATTTGGTTTTTTTCGGTGGTATTTATCAGACGTTATAATTTGGCAAATATCATGATGTGCACGAACGGATTTCACTGCGACATCCTTGCTAGTAAACTCATACCGTAAGAATCAATACTTTGCTAAACACCATCGAGGCCTTAATTTCATGTTAAAGTTATATCGTACATAAGTTGTTAATAGCGGAACAGCTCAGCTATTACAAAATGTCTCATCAATCATACAAAAAAAATAAGCAAAACATCACAGTATAACCCCACGTCTGCAGCCAGAGTCGCGTGTGCAATACCTTACTCAAAATCCGGTACCACCCCCTAAGTGTACACCTGCTTTAATCAATTATAGATGAAACCTTGCGAAAACTTAAAGAAAATGCTTACGCCTCAGAAAGTGTACTCTTAGGAAGCGTCACAATATACGGAGAATACAGATTTTTACAATTTATTTCGAAAATACTAGGTATTTCTGCTTGTTTAGGAAAGAATTTTACGAGGGAGCATGGCGATAACTGTGGGTGAATTCTATGTTGTGGGCATCGGTCGTATTTTTCTGGGCTCGTTTTACATGTGGTTCGAGACTCGCCTTCTTTGATAATATTCCTGAGCGAAATTTATCAATGAGATCAAACATGATAACTCAACTTCTTTGACGAGTTAGATGATTTTCTAGCTATTTTTGGATACGAACGAAGCAGGAGGTGATCTGCACGGTGAACTATATGATGAGAAAACTAAGAACAATATTACTTTTGCTAGCAATGGTTTTGCTTGCGTCAGGTCTTGATAGAACAAAAGGGTAAGACGATTTCTTGCATTGATCCACTAGTTCAATCCCCTTTCATAACACATGGCGCCAACTGAAGTTGATACAAAAAAAACTAATCATTGAATTTACACAACGGAAAGAATGTAGGGTACGGAAAGGCAAAAAACTAATGTATGCAGAGCTGTGTATGTGTATATAGATACAGTAGAACCATGTGCGTCGTAAGTTTCAGCGCGGCAAAGAATAGCAAGATATTAATTCTAGTAAATATTTCTCACGCTTGCTACAAGCGCAAAGAAATTCATTTAATATATTTATCACCACAGCCTTTGCTTACAGTAATTAAAATAGCCATTGCAAGGGTGATGTCTTATTCCCTCTCGCTCGAGTTTTCGAATTGTTGTTTTCGGGCATTTATACACTGAACCACTTATCGACTCTACACCCAAAAAGTTTGTTTGCTTCCGTTTTGGCATTGTAATATCCTCCATGGAAGAATAACAGGAGTAATTACAGCTACCAAAGTCGAGTCGGGATTGTAATACTAACTGGAAAACCAATTGGTCAGGGTTTACTGGTTGGATTCAATTGCACGGCATATCAGATTTAAAATGTGATATGTTATAAAGCAATAGTGAAGGATTCTGCATTGCTATTCCCCTGACGCTCTTCTCGTAGCTCGCGCGCAGTAAAATGGACTCCAAATGTTTGCCCGACACGATGACGCGTTTGTTTTCAGTGATACAGTAACCCAAGCTAAAGACTGAATCTTTTTGCCTGACTTCTACTGCAGGTGCATATAGAATATCCCAGTGAGGCTTTCTGAGATCTCGACAACGTACTTTAGATTTAACAAGTTTGCTGATCTCGTGCGCAACTGCTTAGATCATTTCGAAAGAAGCTGTAACTAACTGAAAACTGAAAAGTTGTCAGCGTTCGAAGCTCAGTTGAAGAGCATGGAGCTACCTACGCTAAGAGGTAGCCGAAATGCCGGCATCAAAATCGTTTGACCCAAGGGACTTATAGAAACAATCCAAAGACTTGCTAAAGACAAAAATACACTAAGCCAGCCACATCATTTAATATTCTCTAATTTTAGCGTCTACGTTACTATGTTAGGGACATTGGTAAGTACGAGTTTACAACCAGAAATCCTAGTGAACTCTCAGCATAGGTAACAATTATATATGCCTATATGAGAACAGACTATTAAAATAAGGATAGTAGCATTGCAGTATAAGAATCGAGTAGTCGTCAAAGCGGAAGTATTTCGAATAGGAACCTCGTTGTGTGTTGATAGTTTATATTAGGTTAAATGTATTAAGAAATCATATTAGAGAAAATATGTAGGGCGCAGGACGAAGCCAACCGGTCCGCCTAATATAGGTGACGCAAAATTGTCTCGGAAGTAATGTTACGTTTGCAAAATGGTAGTCACTGCACGCAAGTATTGATAATTCCATCATTAAGTAATTCTCTCCAACACAACGTAACGTGGATTGGAACAATTCTGTCGTTCGAGAAAGTTCAGTGTATATAGGCTGCGTTTACTGGAGAGTTAGGTTCTCAAGTTCCATTGAACAGAAACAAAATTGTAATTGGAAGGTAGAGCTTTTTGCAATTTTGCTGTTACAAAGTAGATAAAATGGTGGTCTTGGAAAGGCGTATCGACATGTATGCTGCATATTTTTTAAATTATTGTACAGGCCTGAAAATGTCTAGCGAGCTGCATAGACATTGTAAATATCATAAACAGATAGAAACGACGCTTTTTAAAAAGGGATTGTTTTACATAGAAGGAAAGTAGATTAGAGAGCCAAACTTCGTTTGTAAATTGCGGAGTTTTTTACGCATTTTAGGAGCCGTATAAGTAAAGATTTCTCGCGCATCGCACGGTACGTTATAAAAATGTCTTTTATTTATTAATATTAGAAATATTAAGAAAAAAAGAAACTATTGATTTCATTTCAAAAACGCACGCGGTAGTTCTTGACGGCATTAATTACCCAGAGTACCTATCAGAGGTGCTTTGTAGAAGACTGTGGAAAATTACACATTTTTTTAAAGACCTACAGTCTTTACAATCGTATGTTCAAGGAATTTTCATAAACTTCTACTCGCAGCTAAGCGAGCGATGCCGATATCAGGCACAGCTGTATCGAAGGGTTATCCCGATAGAGGCATCACAGGTATACAATGCAGCCACCAACAAGTTACTCACGGCTACTATTCCTAGTTTGTATAAAACATTGAGAAAATCATTTAAAAATTGCTAATAGTGAAATTGCAAAGCGGATTCTGGATGTAATTAAAATTTGTAATGAGCGATTCTCTGAAAATCTTTACCAAAGGACGCCGTGCAGTTTCATATATAGAATTGATAATCTGGAAATATTTCTGGAGATTATTTCTTAACCCAGCGTTAACTTCGCATCAAGCGAAAGATGAACATAGTTTTAGACAATAACCTTGTTGACGCAACAATTACCAATGGTACATTCTCTTGATCATTCAGAAAGAAAAAATCTAGTTGACGTGAGAATACAGCTGCGTTGGTATTATGAAGACGTCCTCATTCATCTCTAAGAACCTCGATTTAATGACCATCACCTCTACCGTGTGAAATTCCGAAACTTCAAAACATTTCTCACAGGAAGAAGCTGTTTATAACGTTGGAAGTCTTACCAGAGAGATAAAATAAGAATTTGTATTTGGATCAGTGAGCCTACGTGAGTTCATGTACGGATAAAACTAGTAACCTAATCTCCAACGTAGCCATTAGAAAAAAATGTCATCAAGCAGAAATACGACAGGGTGAAACTCACAGCGTTCAATTTTCTTGAGAAAACTTACGAGCAATGAAAATAATTAAATTATAGCTCAATTTTAAGGTACATATATATATATATATATATATATATATATATATAAAAAAAGCTCATGATATGTATATATATCATGAGTTTCGTCCCGGTATATTATACATGCCCGGCGGTTGTCAAACTAATTGTAAACAAATAAAAATTGTTGACGCATAAAAATCACTTCTGCGTCAGAGCAACCAATCGTCCAAAAGGAATATAGTCCATATTCTTTGATGACTCGTAAAGTGTAAGATTAAGTCGAGTAAGTGGAGTTGACGCCTCGTAAACGATTCCAACATCTATTCATAATTTAAGGAGAGTTAGGGTCTAGAAAACAAGCACGGAATTCTTACAACTTAAGACAACGTATCATTGCAACAAGATATCAAAATCTTGTTGTAGTGGTACGGTTAATCCTATGTGACCTAGAGAACGTATGAGCCAGATTGGACTATGAAGATAGGGTAATACGATAATTGTAGTATTGTCATGAAATTTCAGAAACGAGGTAACATTCAGGTAAAGGTCGAGGTAAGATTCAACAAAAAAAAAAAAAAAATGTGGTTGGATAGCTGTGGCGGTATATTTGAATGGAAAGGAGGCTGAGGTAGGAGCAGAGTGCCTATAACAGGATAATTGTTGGTGTATATAGTAGGAACTAAAGCATACGTCAAGATTGAGGAAGTCGGCGTGGATGTCCTATAATTAGTAGTAGTAGTAGTAGTAGTAGTAACCTAATAATTACCTAAAAATATGTAGTCTCTTGAATAGGTCTGTACGAATTTTAAGAACGTCAAGTAATTGCTAAGGTGTCGTGAATTTTCAGAAACCGAGGTAACAACACGGACGAAGAGGAAGGAACAATCGCTCTTAATCCAAGGGCGCGTGAGTTGCTTGCACGGCCTTTAAACCAGAAGCTTCAACGAAATTTCCGTCGAATTCGTAATAGCCTTCTGCCGGAGGTGCACCCGTTTTTCAAAGATGAATCATCTTCAGCTTAAGAATTGAAGTTTTCCAAAATTGGTGGTAATGCTGCTGCGTGCGCACATTGCTTTTCAAATAAAAAGGATCGTTCAAGCTAGCTGCACCAAATAAATTTGGAGGCTTGCCATAATAATTTGATCGCAGTGCTGATTCTTTTAATTTTTTGTGTTTGCCACAAGTCAATAAAATTCTCAGGGTTTGTCCATTTTGCTAATGTTTTGAAAACTATATATACAATCCGATGCAGAATATCAGGAAAAAGACAATTCCATAAATTGCAGTTATAACAACCAAGAATTAGGCGTTCTCGCCGAATATGCCCATTCGAAGTAAATGAGTCGTATGAATTATTAGTAGAAAATTTTGAAAAACTGTATCTCGGATTTCAAATAATAAAAGTACAAGTCATATGCTACAGATTTACATCTTAGGATTGGAACTTCAGTCCGAAATAAGCATTAGTCATCAAAAAGCCATTGGCAATATAGCTATATAGTGCTAAGGTAATTTTTTTGCTTATATCTGTTAGGAAGTGAGTGACTTCTTTCTGTTCTAGTCTTTATGGACGTACACATACTACGGTAAAAACGTACATGTAACTACAGTACAATAGTCAACAAACAACTGCGACACACTCACGCATCGATTGGAATCATCCTAGTTTGATGTAACACAATTTCTAATTAAATAACTTCAATGTTATTTACCCAAACACAAGCCTTGCGAAATCTGCCGTCTTTATCTAGTGAGACATCCTTTGTCGCCAGAAACAATTTAAAATTTCTACAGAGATGGCTTAAAGTGCAATAATAACCCGAGTGCCATCATTAAGCATCTATAATCACATGACGCCATCGAGCAGATTTTCAAATGTTGAAGACATATTTTCAACATGATCAATTATACAATTACTGCGTGCACAAAAATGGTGTTCGAAGCGATAAATACATCCAGACACTGAAGACTGCAAAAGCAGATAGGTTAGAAGGGTAGATGGGGGCATAATATTGAACCTGTGCATATGCATGCACGGACGCAACTAAATTAGTAACGTTTATTATGACATTAGCTCATAAAATTCTGGCCATTTGTTAACTACAATCTGATTGGAAACGTGGTGCTGTTTTATCGATTGGATAATGTTAAGATGAACATGGTATATTTCATTAAAAGAACAAATTTAATATGCGAGATTTGCGAGATCAATGTGTAGCTGGTATCTGAAATTCCATAAAGGTCAGTGCTGCAGTCGTCTTACAATAGGAATATAACCATTTGCTGACAGATCATAGGTTTTAGGTAGGCTTACCTATACTAAAAGCTTTATAAAAGCTAAAAGAATTATAAATACTATTACTGTTATCCCACGCGGTTTCCCTTATCGTTCTAGTTATAGCTTCCCCATCATCTGGTTTCAGGAACTGTTGTTCAAACAATCCTGCTACTCGTTCCGTCCCATCACTTTGCTTTAAGAATTCTAGACAGTTTGTGCCAAAGATTTTGTTATCTTGCTTCGATTTTTCGGTCCTCCTGATTAGATATTTGGCTAGCGTGCTTCATCGTAGAAACATTTCTTAGAAAAAAAACCACCTGCGGAAGATCTGTATTTATAAATCCTCAACCGTTGTTAAGAGAACCATACAAAAAACATTGCCAATTCATTATTGGAATCTGTGAGGAAGTCGTGTAGCTTACAGCACTGAATCAATTTTCGTTAGAGATACTGTTTGCTTATTAAAACAAACCTATATGCGAAAAAGCACAAAAACAGTTATGGCCGCCCTCGACACAGTTCGGACATACTCGCAAAACTATGACCTTCCAAGTGTAGAAGTATCCCTATACGGTTTGCACTTGGCACCGTCAGAATCAAAATTCATAACCCGACATACCATTTAGAACAATATTAACGTGACCTCAAAATGCGACAGTTGTATGTAGTTAGTCATTTCCTTGTTGATCGGCTTTCAAAAATCAATATGTCCTACAACGCAGCGCTTCTCGACGATACTTCGTCAATTTACAAGACACATAAAAGAACAGTACGTAAAAAAACTGACACAATCAGAATGGGGTATTTATTTCGTTCATTAGCAAGTTGTATTGAAATGAATCAGTGTATTTTTAGAACAGCGCTGCTTCGGAGTGACTAAGAAAACAGATAGTTTTATTACAATTGACAAAGCGAGAAATATAGCGCCATAGTAAGGTATTATCTTATAATTTTTCGACCACGTGCATATTTCCCAAATAGTACGAAAATATTTTGACATTCCCTTAAACTACATAGTATATCCAAGCCTCAGTCAAATAAATAATAATCTAGTTAAGTTTTTACGGGTTGCTGTCTCAGTTTATGTAGCTGTCAATATCGACTTTGGTCCGCCTTTTTATAGACTCCCAGATCCAGTCAATGCAAACTGTTCCTTTCTTTGTACCGATTTCATGGGTGACACCCTTCTTACTTATTTTTCCGTCGTAAGCAATAAAATACCTTGAAAGGTCTTGATAGTATCTAAAATCGGTTGGTAATGTTTCTACAACTATACCAGTAAACAATCTGGGTAAATCACATTCGGGAAGTCGACGACGTGCTCTATTCACTCCTTCTGCTTTTTCTCCGTCTTCACCTGTGCATGCAGAAGAATCGACAGTGAACAGTGAACTCTCATCTTTTTTAAATGTAATTTTTTTTTCAGTGTTGTTCTTTACTGTCCGGCTATTGGCTTTTCTAGAGGGCGATGACGTTAGTATCTTCGCAGGTGAAATAGACTCTTTCTTGCCCTTCTTCGGTGATTTATCGCAGGACTCATTACCAGCACTATCGAAACGATCTCTGGCATTTTTCTTGTTTTTTTCCGGCGTACTTGTGTTAAATTTATTTCCGTCTCGCGTCTCACCAGGTAGTAATTCATCATTACTACGGGTGATATGGTTTCCTACTTCGTCATCTAATTTTAGGACCTGCCTTTTCGACAGATTGAAAAGTCGAATGAGTTCTTCCAGTGACGTAGCATCTTCCGCGGATTTATCATTTCGAATACGGGAAACTCGCGGAAATCTGTAAATGCAAGCAATGGACTAAGAACCGAAAATTGTCTCCAAAGCTAGGTTATTTCATGAACTTTGATTACATCCCAAACTACCAGGTTATATCAGCTAACAGACAATTTTGAAAGATCTGTTATACCGCATACATCGCAGTATTCATACCGAATCGATATTCCATTGGCAGTGTGGGCTTCGGCTTTACTAAATTCAGCTCCTGTGATTTCCCACACCTGAAACGACAAACATGGTAAATTTAAATACATGCATTACAACACTGTATATACAGCTCATGTTAGGTGAAACATTCCCCCACTAAATATTCCTCGTTTTGGATACTACGTCAAGACATAATGGCAAAAGAGTTAATTAATTATGTATTCAACTCGTTCACAATCAAGCGCTCGGAGACGACTTGATTTGTCTCGAGGACAAAGACAAAAAATAATTCAGTTTATCGCTGACTTTATTATGGACTTAGCACGGATATAGACATTATTGAAAATAAAAAAAAAAATTATATCTAATCCACCATACCTTAGCGAAATATCTACGGATTCCTTTAAAACTACCGATATCACGCGGACACGTTTACTCGTATTCTTGACCCACACAACCAGGCGAAACATCAGTGACAAGACTGTTTAACGAAAGTGGACGATTACTGCTGACCTACTATATCCACGCATCGTTAATCGTAAAGCAGACTGAAATTAGGTTTCCCTTGTCTGAAGCGAGAACTGGAACTCCAAAGCATTTCTTAATTTTTCCAACAATGTTTTAAGAGGAAAAATTGGTTCATATTAATGTCTTTCCAGGGATGCCGGTCTCTGCTTCTAGAAACGCTCACTGCATATCGCTTGATCGCTCATTGAAGATTTAATAATCCACCTTGCTAAAATTATTTTTGTCTCTTCGTTCCTCATTTTGACCAGTTCGCTAAAGGTGACACGATCCGCAAAGCAAGCAATCTATTAATCCATATCGAATTAAAGATCCAAATATAGCGTAAGAAATATACCACTGATTTTTATTGAAAGCCGTATGCTTTTTTTTCGCTGGCTCCCTCAAACTTGTGTTCAAGTTATCGTACTATGAGGGAACTGCAGCTGGTCTGTTCAAACAAAGCCGCGTAGCCGCGTAGAACCCGAACGTTAAGCGAAAAAGTTATCGCAAAACAGTATTCTTTGTCGAGAACGCTAAGAATTTGTGACTCATCGATCAACCTAGAGCCAACAGCGGATGATGTAAGAATTGGCCACGCATATAACGTATAAGATCGTCCACAGCATATACAATCATTACGAGAGTGTTTTTAGCAGAATGGATTACACATTGTTGGTTGACAAAATGAGTCATAAGTCATTTTGATATTTATACTGGATTGAACCAAGTTTTACTTTCCATATTGAACTCGAAGCGAAATCAGCGTAAAACCTGTCATTTCCAGCGCTTCCCAGAGAAGCCCTGCCTCTGTATTATACGACACTTGTTTTTAAAAGACACATATAGATAGAAATATTTTAAGCAGAAAAATAATGAAAAGATACGTGGTTTAGTTTTCTTTACGGTTTCACACAACTCTCCAAAAAAAAAACTATCAATGGTCTCGCTTGCTATTATGTCACTATTAATGCATCAACATACAAGAAACGAAACCTAACGCATAAATAAAAATGAGAATAATTTGAATTGAGTAATGACTTGCCACATCTACCGTTACAATGAATCTCGGCGTCAACATACCCGCTCCCTTCGATTTCCACTCACGTGTAATTTACCTAGCCAAAACTATCCCATTGTTACTTCCAGCAGGGAATCACACATCAAAAGTTATATATGGTCAAAATTCTTAGGCAGACTTTATTGGAGATTATTATATGAGCATCTAACCGCAACTCCTTTCTCAATGATACTCCTGCTTGAAACGAAAAATATCCATAGGTTTAGACTCGTTTCTGCGCGTATCCACTACAGGAAATCAGTCTGCCAGAACGTGTCTTCAGTATTAAGTGTAATAAGCTAAGGGGTCAATGGTCTTCACGCTTCAAAGCAATAATACGCAGGAAAGTTACGTTTTCGTTTGGCTCATATACAACGGGGCCTATTAAAGTTCAAAGATACTTATTATTCACTCCTAACAGCTAACCTAAAACCTTAATATTCTGCCCCTTTCTCTGACATAATATAGAATATATAAGCACGTAATAAAATATGTGTATATACTACATCCTTTAGTTAACTGGAATAGAGCAACTAGGTAAATTTAAAAAGTGAGATGTTCATTCTTATAAATGCTCATAGGTTTGTGGAAGTTGTATGATTGCTTCGACATTTTGGACGACGCGCGTTTAACAAAGTGCAACGTTTTATAACCGATAGACGTGCAATGTTCTTTAATAGTTTCTTCAGTTTGCATTTGGTATTAGATGCTTGTCGAGAATTTACTTCTATAACTCAATTTTTGAATGCTTACTAATTTCTGATTTAAGATTTATCCAAGATAGACTTCGGGATGATCAAAAATTACTTCTTTTTTTATCTTCCTATTATTCATTATTTCTTTTTTGGTCCTTTAGGTCCGTTTAATATTGTGAATCTTTCGCGTTAACTGACGGAAATTTTATTTAAGCGTTTAGGAACATCTCTAGGAAAGCTCTTCCGCATTCAGCGTATGAATATGATTTTTATATGAGGTATAAGGTGTGGAATACTTGCGTCTATCGCCTATTTGAATTTACTTACTTCACGCTAGGCCCTCTAACCCTTCGCTTTTGACATGAGCAGCTGCCGAATAGTTTGTTTCAAATTTACGTATCCACGTTGGTGTGTACATTCACGCCAAAAAAAAACAAACACTATGTTTCCCTGATGTGAAATTCATGTTATTCTATTTTTCTCCTGACAAAAAGAGACCATATATTTAATAGAACACGGTGAATATGGAAATTAAAATTATTTCAGTTGAAAATCTATATATAGATATATAGGTATAATAATATTTATTTTAAAGGAAGCATACTTGATAGTAGGATCTTTTTTAATGAGCCAGAGGCGTCGCGTTTTGGGTATAGGTTTCTACTCAACTAAGAACATCTAGATTAGTGACTCGGAACTGACGGTCTAGGTTATTGTTAGTCACTGTGCGCTTCTGAAATATTTGAGAAAAGTTCCTTATACGCCAATGCGGAAGCCCTAAGAAAGGTAGAAATAACAGCGTATAAAGGGTACGAAGTTGACTACTTGACCATGATTATCTCTATCAGTTGCTTTTTAAGAGACTAAGACTAATGAGAATAATTTGCCATTGACAACAAACGAGAATCGATGTTGATGTAAAACTCCATTCGAGAAACCACCGTAAGTTTGATTTCAAGTCCTTAATGCACAATATGAATTCCTCGTGCTAGTGCACTAACCTGGCTGGTGAGAGGATCTACTGTAACAAAGTCCGGCACCAACTGCTGTTTTACGTCCATCCAGGACGGCACAAGGTTTGGATTTTTTGAAATTTTCTTCATCTGAAGCTCCTTCTGCAATCTCTGAAGCGTCGCATCATCGTGACCTCCGTGCACCTTGGTCACGGTGACCCATCTATAAACATTGGTAACCAAGATATAAGCGAACTACGATTTATTCAGCGTTAAGCAATCCCTTTTACACAAATATGAACTTACCTAAGAATTATGATATTATAAATAGTCGCGACGCGCATTTCTACATTCGGCCGCGCTACCGGGGGATATTTCTTAGCATACCGCTATATATCCTTCGCGTTCACGGTCAGCTGCTGGTCGCAGGTTGTCGCGGCTCAATAGCTGTATGGGACCGCCTGACATACAACAGTAGGTGGTGCGTAGTAACGCAGTTGCAATGTAAAAGGCCCATCGTTATACTTTCAACCTTTTTCAGTCCCTTTGTGCCGTCCTATAGCTTTCTCGGCATAGATTTTTTTCGTCTAAATCGCACTTTCATGCGTCGTTGTCGATTACAGAGCAGTCGGTGAGCAATTTGGCGTAACTTTGCAGTAAGGCAGTTGGCGAAATTATTACCCTTGCACGAATTTTTTAGGTCTTTTAGGCCTCGAAGGCGTATGGTAGCTCAAGTCGGTTTATTGGGAAGCGATTCCCTTGACGCTTCCTGCGACCATAGTGTTCTCGATGCACTGGAGAGCATTTCTTCTAATGTCTAAAATAGCTTCACCTTGGACCGTGCCCATGCTGCCGGGGTCGCCTCGATCGCTGCCTGCCCCATGACCGCTCCAGCCACGCTCTTGTCGATTTCCGGCAGCAATCTGAAGGCCATTCTTACGAACTGCTATGGACGTCAGCTATAGGCAGAGACAGTGGATTTCACCTGTACAGTCAATCTGCCGGGCGCTGTGTACTCTACCAACGACAGATCGGGTGGAGAAAACCGCGGTGGAGCAATCTTGATGATGTGACAGGCATGCGATCAAAGCTTCAAGGAATGCCTTCAATGAGTTCTTATCGTTTGCGTCCAGGTGCCTGCCGCGAACCAATCGGCGCTCTAACCCTGTTCGTAGTCGACGCCCAACATGTCATCCCTGTAACCTAGCTTGTAAGCTGGGATTCGATCCGCTGCCGCTGCCGTTGCCGTTGCCATTAAGGTTTCTGCGAATAAGCGACAAGCTCTATTGGAGCACCGCGACTTACTTGACCTATGGCAGCCCTTCACGTACAGATCTAAGCCGCATTTACCTAGAAATTATGATATCAGTAATGTTTGTAATGTAATAAAGTGTGATGACAAATATCGATTTGTCGTTTTTCTGGCTAACTTGTTTTGAAGTCACGTGTTTCAGGTAACGTGTGTCGCGTCGTGTAAGCGACATCTACAAACCGCAGTTGTAGACGTGCTAAAGTGTGTTTATTCAGATTCAAGATCAAGTGTCTTAAAAACGAATGAATTTTCTTCAAAAATATGCTATATTATACAATTATATTTCGATAAAGGCACAAATGCTGCCCAGCCCGGTAAAAAAGTTCGTGCTGTTCATGACCCAAAAATGGTTTATCGCTTTTGTTCTGGAAATATCAATGTAAAAGGCTTGTCTCGTAGTGGTTGACCAATTAGGAAAAAATTTAGTACGATTATTAGCAAAGTTGACCGAGACTGAACGTGAGTAGTCAAAGAACTAAACACCCACCACAAAACAGTTTGGACAATTTAAAAAAGCTGGTTAAAAAAGCTCGGCGTTTATATGTCAAACGAAAATAATAGACGCAGTGACACCAAGCCATCTTTTGACCAAGCAGTTGATCATGTGTGATAAAAAGTGGGCTACTTACCATAATCATGTGCAAGTGCAATAAATAAACTGTGGTCTGCCTGAAAAATGACATCAACAAATATGCTGTGTGTTTGGTGGTACTGCAAAGGAATCACACACGATGAGTTGCTGCTTCGTATAAATACGATTGATTTGAACGTCTACTGCTAACAATGAACTATACAAGCCAGTGAAACAAGCGCACTGAAAGAATCGACAGGAAAAGACGTCGCTGTCCATCATTGAGACGCTAGACCATATATATCTTTAACTACGTGGCAAATATCGAAAGAATTTCGACCGAAAATTTAATGCATTCGCCGTATAGCGAGGATCTTGCGGAATTCCATTTATGCTGTTAATTTAGTTTCTATAAAGGGATGTGAAAATCACACAATTTTTTTCTCGAAAACCACAGCCAAAGATAGGATTATGGTGCTGCCAGAAAGGTGGCAGAATGTCGCCGATCAAAATCGCACAGTTTGCCGTCTGGTAATACTGTTTCAAAACATAGAAAGCATATAGTTTAGTTTTTTTATTGCTTTGCCTTGACGCTGAAGTTCATAAGGATGCTTTATATAAACATGTTTTTCATTATAAGACATAGCTTTTTAGGAGGATCATTCTCATCAGTGTATCGTCCCTAAACTAAGCGAAGATGCAAAAAAGAAGCAGAATACTTTTGAGGTACGTTTTGCATAATCAGTCTCAATCGGTTAAATATTAGGTATTGTTAGCGATAATTTTTGCTCATCTTTCAAGCAGTTCTTCAGTTACATTTTCCTAAAAATCATTATCTTTATTTGCGACTAGTCAATGCGGTTTTTCGTACTTTTTAGGGATGCATAACTTTTCACATTAAGGGAGTTCTACAAAGATCGGAAAAAAACAAGCCTGGAGCTACCAGGTAGAACATCCCAATCAAACTCGTATATATTTTGGCAAGTTACCACATGTGGCCCGACTTTGTCATGATGTAACACGGCTCCTCTCTTGTTGGCCATAGCTGGGCATTTTTCTTAGATGCATTGCTTTAAACAATAAAACTGTTCACGATAATTAACTGAGGTAACCCTTCGGTTGTTTGACAGAAGCTCATAAGAAACACGTCCACCAATAGCAGCAAATGCCACGCCACTCTCGCCTGGAGCAGACTACCATGCTTTAATCACGACCTGCCGTGAATGACATTATTCATCTTTCGCCACCCATTCCCATCCACATGAAGATAGCGTTCTCTTCTTTTAGTTTTTGCAGTTAGTCACCGGTCAAAATTAGAAACACAAGTGTCTGCTCGACTAACGCAATAGTTTCATTATAGATATTCCTGTATTTTCTATAATCTGGTAAAGGCTTATATTGGTTCTGATTGACTATAGTGAGAATTGTAGACCCTGATGGTTAAAGGACTTCAATGCTGAAGTCACTACTTTGAAAATGAGCTGATTACTTCCCGCCCAAATAATCGATTATAATATTCTATCCATGTACCCCACAAGTATCCTCACGAATTTTAATAGCTGTTAGCCCTTTCTAAAAACAAACCTTTAACACATTCTAAGATCTCCATCATTGTGAGTTTGTTCAATCTACCTGAAACATGCAATTGAATTAAACACAGCTCCGTAAAAGCAAGAAAACGACGTTACAAGTACAGTAAAGAGTTTTTTTTTCACTTGGCTAATTTTGTCTGTAAAATCAAAGTCTAAGCCGATTGAAAAGTTGCAGCGAGCTTACAAGACGAAACAATATACAATGTATCTCAAAACAATGTATATACTGTTTAGCGGGTCATAAGTTCCTGTTTTTCTTTCCTTTCAGGATGTGATTAGTCAGAAATAATAAATAGATCAAGATTAAATTTTGAAAAGAGAAAGCCTGCTTTAAAGGGTATTAGAAGTGTAAAAATGTAGCAAAAATACGAAGAAAATATCACAAGAGGCTTAAATCAGACTTATTTACGCGACTCACAATTAAATGGATTAAAAATAAATTTGGAACAAATTGAATTGTACAGGACATATACAAGGGTTTCGGAAGACTTAAAACATCAAAAGGCTTCACCAATTACGAAAGGGTATTGTAAAGCTATAGCGAAACATTCAAAAACTCTTTAGGAGGTTCAACCTGTAAACTCAGCATTAGCAGATCAAGAGTCAGTCGCATTTTAAAACGTCGTGAACGGAATGGATACATTCTGACAATTGTATGTGCTACCAATGAAGATGATCCGAGACCGCAGAAATGAATTTTTGTGAATGGTAGTTGGGAAAATATGAACCGACTGTACGAGGAACACTGCCTGATACTACACATAAATTGAATGGTACAAGTAATTGACATAACTACCCTCGCTAGAGTAGAGTCGCTATCAACTCGATGCCAGAAAATCGACGACGCTATAAGATTTAAAAGCCGCAATCGCGCAACAAATGTCACATAAAATTTTTGTTAAAGTTTGAAAGCCAATAAAGTACTCCTTTTAGCAGTGTATTGATAGAATTGCGGTAAAAGGAAACGTTAGATAAGTGCGTTTGAATTTAAATTTAATTATATGTAAACAAAAACTGAAATTTTAACCATTCTAACTGTGTATGTATTTTTGTTACATCCTGTATGTATACTTCGAATCAGCACAGAAGATTCATTTTATTTGTCTGTCTATTTGCCGTACTATAATATATATTTATCCGTTGAGTTTCGTCTTCTGAAAACGACGTCGCAGCTGCGCATATATATATATGTATGTATGTATACCCAGCGTTTTGGTAGCTTCTGGACCGTTGTAGACTTACCATCTGCTTTCCCGTATGTAATCTCTCTATTCATAGCTTCTTGAAGTGAATCGATAGTGATATCTGCTTTAACATTAACGGTTTTTTTAGAACCTAGAAAGCTCCGTAATTACACCACTGAGGTCAAGAAAAAAAAGCCAATTGAGGCTGAAGTTAGATGTTTCTTTGGTCAATCCAAATAATTGAGATTTGGCGATGAGGGTTGTCGTTGCCATCAAATAATAATACTGCCTGCTTTGTTGAATGTTGTGCAACGGTCTATGGGTCTTCTGGGGTACTTAAGGTAACATGCGACATTCATGATATCACTTTTGGCGAATAACCTTTGGTACCTGATGATCCTGATGTTGCAAGTACTACCATCACCTTACCTCCGAACTTATTCAGAACTGACCTTGATTGCTCCCCAAAGCGACCCCATTTTCTCGCCTAGTCTTTCTCTAACTGGTGATAAAGATGGTTTAATCTTTGCCTCGCCTATGGAGACCGTATACTCAAGACGGATTTTTTCTGCTGATTGAAGTTCCGCAAATTGCACGTGGAGTACACCATATGCAATTCAAACTACTCTGGGATCATCTGATAGGACACTCATGTTTTTGTTCAGTTTTCCAAATTTTTAGTATTCGGGTCATAATTCTGTAGCACGTTACATGCGAAATGCCAATTTCGGCCGAGAAAATTTTTAGTATTCGGGTCATAATTCTGTAGCACGTTACATGCGAAATGCCAATTTCGGCCGAGAAAATTTTTAGGTTTCGGGCCTAGCGTTCGTGAAAAGTCTTGCCGATTGCCGCAATGCGTTCTCACTTTTCGCGACCCGACACCTGGTTATTTCCTCACTGGCCTTCAACAATCTAATTTGTGTTCTTGAAACGTGTGCACCGTTCGCATACTGTAATTACACTCAAAGCCTCCTTGCTAAACAAATTCATTAATTTTTGATAAACTTCTGCAGCACTGTGGCTTTCGAAGAACGGAAATCTGAACCTTAATTCATGACACTAAATGTTTCTTCAAAAAACTCAAGTATTTACCGACCAAATTTCATCTGCTGGTTCAAAGCTTCTTCGAGTTTAATATCCGTCAGATTCGTTTATAACAGCCTTGTACGTTACTTTCCTCGTTACATATGAAGCTATGACTATGGTAATTATTTAATTACGAAGAACTTGCTTAATGCAAATTGTGTGTTCACTTTAGATTTATACTCATGAACGCGTTATTCCGTGTATCCAGAGCACCAGCCTTTCCACTAATGAACCAACCTGCAGTATAATCGTTTTCAGTATAACTTACATTTTTAATACAGAGACCTCTATTTCATATCTGCTCTGAGGGCTTTTTCAGAAGAATATTAGAAAAAAAGATTCTATTCTTAAATATAATGACAAAGTACACAATGTCAAATTTTTTAACTTACCGTTTAGTAGAGGGATTATAGCAGCCCATGAGGAAAATCGACATAATGCCGCCTTTATTGCCGGTACCGAAGTATGCTCCAAGAACAACAAGATCTGCGGAATCAGCCATCGTTCCACCTTGTAGATAGTCCTTCTTTACCTTCAGCCAGTGACGTTTGCCTAATGTAAAATTATTACGACAAAATAAAAGATGAACGACTCAGGTCTTAAATCTGAATATACTTAGTAACCAAATAACATCTTTTTTAATAAATGTACCTGCTTAATCTGATATGATAACACTGTATCAGCGTTCATGCTTTAAACAACAACACTTAAAGAAGACTCTCAAACAAAGTAAATTTTTCAACGAGCAAGCTCAAAAAATCGCTTACGGCATTCACGCTATTGTAATATATATATATATATATATACATTTTTGATCTAGATTCGGTACGTTTTGTTTGAAAACAGATTATTAAAAAAGGCAGCAGTACGTTAAAAACGCTGGTTCGAGCCCACCCACGTATACGCTGCATGTGTGAATAAAGCTAAGTTAGTAAATCGCAAATGTATACTTGTTACTGCTGAAACATAGTAAGTCAACTAATCATTTGTTGTAAACTACTGTTATATAACAAGCGACAGCGTCTAGTTCAAAGTTCACGCTAAAAAATGTTTATCTTTTTCGATTGCATAACCCTTACTTAATTCTGCATTCAAGTTATGTCTTGGTGAGCTCTAGCAAATACAAGCCCCTAAAAACTATTTACCAGGCTCGTATGGACTGGCGGGATCCTTCAAAACGAGACCCTCCAAGCCTTTGTTGATAGCATCTTCGATATTGGCTTTGAGCCTTGCAGGACTCCGGATTCCCTCCATCTCTGATAACTGCACATGGTGCTTTACTACTGACATATAAGCCGTTAGAATCTGTGAATATCAATTTATTCGTCAGTATTACAATTATGATCACAACTATTATTGAGTAAGCCAATAATTCCATTCAGTTTTGCCAACGTTTAATTAAAAACAACTTATCCTCCATAATAATTTATCGAGATATACATCATGCATTGTTTTAAGTCATATTTGTTTAATTTTTGGCAATTCTATAATAGGATTTCTCCATCTGACGAGGTTCCACGTTAAGATGTATTTTCATACTATATAAGAAATTCAGTATCTCTTTAGTAAGTGAATTGCGCTTCTTTAAATCCTTAAATTTTAACATTCATTTATTCCGGTAACAAAAAAACACCGATAACAAGCACTAACAAAACAAAAACGTCTGTCCAACTAGAAATTCGGAAACCAGCTTTTCATGTTTGAAGTAAAAGGTGCGTTGAATTTATGTAGGTTTCAGATATTTCGCCAATTCCTGAATAGGCGCACAGACTCTCGAGCAAATCGAAGTAGTATTTGCATCGACTCTAAAGATAAAAAAAAAAAGCAAATAGCAGTCTCGTCAACAATCCTCATCTTTCATTCTCACATTCAGTTAACTTATATGCGTATCCTCTCACGAGTCGAGGCTTCTTCTATTTCTCAATAGAGGGCATACACATCCACCATACCAGTCCACTTATTGTACGGACATTTCACAATTTAGATAATTTCGAATACTTAAAAAGCCATTTGCATGGTATTTTTTAGGCTTGATAATCACCTGGAAGTAGGTGTCTTATGATGAGCAAACTACCAAGGACCTAAATTTCATAACTGTTACCGCATTATGTTTGCTTATCGTTAACAACATTTCCTATTCACCTCTTGCTGGTCATCATGCTAAATATAATCCTAGGGTATCATATTTAACTGACCTGAGTTCGTTAAGACAAGACATTCTGCTTACAGGTGCAATGAAATCGTTACCCTCACGAAGGCAACGAGATAGAAAAACGCATGTAAATTTTCAGTAGTTTCAATATTCTGAGAGTGGCTCATTCAAGCCGCTTACTTTTAGCATGTTCAGCTTTTAAGATAATAGCAATATTGCTTTAATTCTACGATCACTCTGTAATGAACTAACGATGGTTTAGGTAAATAAAATCTGGGGGTAGCTACTGACCCTTCCTACAGGAATTCTACGGCGCAGTTCAGACGTATGAAGGATGATGCTTGATAAAGTACTTCGCATATATGAACGATTCAGGACAGTTTTAAGTAAATCAGTCATGCTGCTTTTCTCAAATCAAAATTACTTTTCTTAAATCATAAGTCAGCCTTTTTCTTAATAGTAGATATACATACGTTTACCCCCCACCCCTCCCCCCCATAAGGCTTGCGCTTTAAACGCATCTAAAAATGTTCTAATATTTGCCTAACCGCATTTCACGTGTTTCTTACGAACCTCTCTCCGCTTGCTTAGTGGTTCACTCAGAAGACTTTTCCCGTTGTAGAACATACAGTCGAACACGAAGAAGCACACGGCAGCCTCACGGAATTGAGCCTTCTTGTGAACTCCCAACGTTCCTTAAAATATAACGGTGCTCCGTTAAGTTAGTTGTTTATCAAATTATTAAGCAGAAGGCACCAGTTGCGTACGTTTCACTTTCCGTTAACATTTGTTAACCTGAAGCAAGGAAACCCTTGGAATCTCAACAGGCTTTTATCTGCGTAGAAAAAAGCAAAAGCAGTAAACCCAGTATATCTTAATAGCAAACATACACTTACCGAATGGAAGAATTTCATCAGTCTTCGTATTAACAAGAAGGATTTCTCCATCTATTATCAACGAGTCACAATATGGAAATGCTTTTGGGATATACTCTCTGAAATGGTTTACCTGGAATGGTAACGATTTGCATGTTTTTACATTAGAGTCTCTCACTGTGTCCGTATCGAAAAATATATGTGTTGAGATCCGGACCAAACTTTTTTGGGTAAGTACACCTAAATACAAAGTGACTATAGTATAATGCTTCACAAGGGATGTACGGCCCAGGATACAGACTAGTCGAACCGCCTATCCTTTTCAAACTTGCTTGTTCATGTTCCTAGTGAAGTTCGCATATTGCGATAAGTACGGAAAGAACGCTCAAAGAATTAGCAACCGTAGTTATTACGTTTATTTCTATTTACCTTATGAGCAACAACGGGTTTTAGACTCCGTGAGTAGAAAAAAAACTCGTTGCCGCGCTTATGTAACTGCACCCGCTCTCCGTCGTATTTAACTTCAGCAAACATTCCCTGCAGTAAGTCAGGTTAGATCGGAAATACATGGAATCATACTACGAAACCAGAAAACACTACGTCATTAATAAAATGCCTAAGTGCCTTTTAAAAGCAGATTATACGGGTGTTAATTTCCCTTCAAAAAGACAACAGCTTCAAAGAAATAGAAAAAGCTTTATCAAAGCAGTAAACGTGGGTGTAGGTAAAATCAGTACTTTTATACATTTGAACCCGTAATATAGTTAAAATAATTCTCATTTCCCGTAAATGTTTCGAAGTTCAAGGGCATCATCATTCAAGGGCAAGCATCATTTTAAAGCTCAGACTAATGATATATGACATCAACAAACAAAGTTTGTTGTTCTTCGAACTCCAGATAAAATGAAAAATAATTTTTTTAATGCTAACAGCCAACGATTGATTCCTCATAACCAGTTGGTAACTGCACGCTAAAATCACGTGCTAATCCTTTGAGCAACTCTGTGTACCTATCAATGTCAATCAAAAAAATCTTTACATCGCTAACGAAGCGGACACATATTTGTAAAATACTATTACAATGTACACATGATACAGAAGTTATATATAATATAAGTACTTTATTATATATAAGTACTTCGAAGCAGCCGCAATAAATATTCTTGCACTAATGCTAATATTTTTGCTCAGCTCTTTTAGGCGAACCGTCAATGCCGACGTTATATATAATGCAAGATTATCTAGGAATACGTTGTGGTAAGACTTACAAGTTCTAAAGATTGATCCGACGAGTATAGTATTTGGGTTGTGGGTACTGTTATTTTGTTCGGGCGTATATTACTTGTTAAACAATACTGATTTCTCTAAAATATTTTGGGTCGCGCTTTCATGCTGCACCGTCATATCCAATTGAATGCGTTTGAAGGAAAGCTAAGCAAAAATAAATCTTTTTCGTGGTGTTTCGAGTGAAACATAATATTAAATATTGCATTCTGTCGAACGATCTTTGGCCTCCATGTGGTGGACCAGTTTCTAGGAAATATTACGACCGGATATTGTAAGTTTTAACGTTATAATACGGGGCTTGTGCCCCATAAAGGCAATGAGACGATAAAGCAATACGACAATGGAAAAAAACTTCTGTAGCCCTTAATCTGCGCTACTTTGGGCGCTAATTTGGCTATCAAAATCAATATTTCCCAAATTAGTCAAACATCATACTACACAATGCGACGTTTAGCACTACATGTGACAGATACATGTGAGAGGTCTTGACATCCTTTTCAAAGACGATGAAATGTTACAGAAGCTCCAGTATGGCCTTGTAGCAAAGGAAATGAGACATGTATGACGTCGAAATCAAAATGAGTTTTTCTAAACGATTAAACCCGCTATAAGACAAATCTGAAGCAAGTTTTTAGCTAAGGATTTGAGATTTTTCTAGGCTTTTTTAAGTACGGTTGATTTACAGCTAGCCATACGTAAGTCATAGCTTTTTAATCATATTTCTGCAGGCAGCGAAATGAAAACTATGAGAAAAATTAAATTTACTAAAACCGAAAGTTACCCGAATTTTATTGATCTATCCTCGTACGTCAACACGTTAAATATATAAGACCACAATTGAATAGATTCGGAATTTGACCACAGATACAAGCTTTAAAACCACTTACATTAGGAAATCTTTTAAAGGCGAAATCCACAGAGCGACAAGGTTCAGCTAGCATTGGCTTCACGGGCGTACATATCTTGATGCCTACAGTTACTACACCGGAACCAAAGCCTGTCATGTAACAGCATGCAAAGTTCAAAGCGGAGATTTTATATTACCGAAAGGTACTTGACATTTATTCTCTACCTAGTAGCGCTTTACATATAAACATGTATTTGTCATAGCCAGCAACTCCGTTTGCTTGTTAACGCCGACGACCTTTTCTTGAGGTCAGGCCTTGACTATTACCAATAACAAAAATCAAATATTATTTTTTCAAAAAGTTGCAAAGGGTCTTTATACCTAAAATCAGGTTGTCTTGCCAGAAATATTGTACGACAATAGTGCTTTTCTTTTAGCGGAATAACGCACTATTTCACTTCACTGCAACTATACGTGTGTGTTTCAATCAGCGTATAGATTAACAAAGCTCAGTAAAGTGGTCTTCTCGATTGCCAGGCCTGCCTTTGATGTGCCGCATCTTTCAGATGTTACGAAAGGCGAATTCGATCGACACCCCAAAAAACTCACTTGATCTTGTTTACTCTCGAAGTCGCTCAAGACTATAGTAATTGATCATCTTTCATTCATCTCTGGCGAACTTCTCATTGTCATTGATGTAAAGAACAATCGCGAGCTTATAGGGATGAAGCTTAAGCTAATGCGGGAAAAACTCATTTTCTGACCATGTACTGAGTTTAACAATCAAAAGAGCACACCATGGCACTAAAAATGCGAAATCACCTTCAACATAGTTAATCTGCATGTTTTACAAGCCTGTGTGCAAAGTTATAGACTGATAAAGAAAATAGACTGACGAAGATGATGCCAGTTACTGATTAACACTTTATGATCAGAACATGTTTAAGAATAAATACATATAGTAGCTGTGTAACCCCGAGTCAAAAAATGTCTTTCTCAGTAAAATGGTTTTCTTCCACAATTGTATCAAGCTGCTCAAGCAGTTTCTAGCGAAAGAAAGTAAGCGTAGAAACACACTATATTCTCACCTGGAACCTTCACCTTTGGAGTCTGAACTCGACGTAAAATTCTTCCCCAACCTATATAGACATATATATATATATATAATTAAAAACCAATTATGCCGATACTAGTGCCTATGGCGGCGAAAGCTTATCGTCGAAGCCCACAAGCTAATCAATTCGGGAATGGACGAAGTGGTTGACCAAACGGAAAGCTAGGAAAGCACGAATTCAATTTAAATCGAATATCTTTGGAATTAATGAAGTTGAAGTAGCGTCTTTCGTGCTTATTTTCCCAAGGCATCCTTGTTAAAAATATTCGTGCTTTTTTTGTTATCCTTTAGTGCCTCAAATTGGAGTACAACTGCCAAAATCAAGAGAACAAACCTGTCATTCAAATCTGCTTCAGTACAGCTAACTCCTACATCTTCCAGTTCTAGAAAGCTCTGTTGTCGAGTACATTTTACGGTACTCAATGGTATCATCGTTAAAAGTGCTTTACCATGTACATTGGGACGCTTCGTTTTGCACCGAAATTAGGTAGAAGTGAACAGTTGTACGTGGGTAGCTTACCTTTTTTACTAAGCAAGCAGAACAAAAATATACTTATATATATATATATATATATATATATATATACTTACACGGGAACAAAAATATACTTATATATATATATATATATACTTACACGGGAAGAATTTTAAAAAAAAATTCTTCCCGTGTAAGTGTACGAGATGCATAAAAAATTGGTTTGACTTAGTCACTGCAGAAAACACTTACGGCTTCTATGTCACAATCACTTGCATCGGCGCCTATTGCAATCGGCTGGTCTGGCTTTAAATGTGAGAAAAAGGTCGGTGCACACTATTCGCTTCACCCTTTCAGAATATTATCGCCTTTCTTTGTCTACACGGATTATTCATTCTTTCTCAATCAATTAACCAACAGGTGGCATAATTAGTGAAATGTGTGGGGCGAGGGGTGGGGGGGGGATTCCATTAAAGTTGATGAGGCCAAGGGGATTCCATAAAAGTTGATGAGGCCAAGCCCTATAAGGCAATGATATAATAATATATAGGTGTCTTACACCGAAGCTATTAGCGTATTTTTTATAATCTTTATTTTATCTAGATCTCATTCGTAATAGTTTAAATAGGACTAAAAAATAACTTATTAAAATCGCGTTTTTTAAATTTGTTACTGTGACAGTAAGGCCGTGAATGAGCCTGTTTTCACAGCGTGTTACTGATGTCCGTAACATATAAAGAGGTCGCAAACGCAACTTTCACACAAAAAGGTAAATGATTATGTCGATACTTTTCAGTAGAAGTACAGCTTCGAAAGGTCGTCAGCTCTTATGTAAAAATATGCTTTATTTGGATCGATTTGTAAGGTAAAATGCAGCTATGTAAAAATATCGTCAGGGAAGCTCTACATGGGGTGCGGTGCTATAGTTAGAAGGTGCTGTGTAAATAAAAATTTACCTCTGTTCAAACAATAGCGATAATGATGCGTTCCAGCCTTTCCTACACATTAGGTAAACCATGGTAGGACACAGGACGGGCCTTCTTGAAAACTAAACAGATTGCAGCGAGATTCCCATTTTTGGAGAATGCTGTAGCCCTTCAAAAAGTATCTTGGAAAATAAGATTTTTTTGTGTTATTTTTGGAGAAGTTAGCCCATTTAATACAGAAGTACATAGAGCCTTTCAAAATAACTTGTCTTTCTTTACCCATTCAGCATTTACTAACGTGGAAAAGCGTCTCAGGAGTCAGTTCTTTTCCACACCTCATGATATACTCGACGTATATCGCAAATATTTATTTAGTCTTTTTTATCACGCTGCGAACAGCATCTTTTAATTTTCGGTTATTTTTAGGCATATCCTGTTTTTGTTCCAATGTATTTCTTACGTATCACACCAAACTAAACACATACGCACCTTGATGAAGGAAACATTCGAAAGTGATTCCTTATATAGACTGCACAGTGGGCGGAGTGACACAGTGCAGCATATCAACTATGTTTTGTGGAGATTTAGTATTATGCATTAACGTCTAAGGTCCTTACAAGGTTTTTCATCGCCTGCCTGCCGTTTCTATTTGTATTACGAGTTTAACGTAAGGGCAAAACCCATGGAGTCCTGAATCCCTTCGTTGTGCTCCAATTATAAAATTACAGTCTTTTGTATGTTTGCGACCCTGCGCTTCCCGTCATGTTCAGAATGTAACTCATAGAGGCATACAAAATACTTCATTTTGCCTGCAGTTATTTTGCTACTCTTGCTGCCTCATGTTTTCTATTCACTAAATGTGTAAAGTCATATAATATTGGCGTTATGACCGTGACAATCTAAATGATTAGCTGACCGTCCAAAAGGTTGTAACAACACATCTTTGGCTTTCGATAGTATTAGCTTAAAAAAGTGTTTCGGCAATATTTCGGGGAGGTTGTGCATTCGATTGTGCAACTTTGCTTAAAACTGCTGAAGCATCTTACTATAGTCACCGACAAAGCCTGCTGTCATTTTTATAAAGACATCATTGTACTACAAAAATTTGTCTCTCTTTTTCTGGTGGTAAGTGCCGCTATTAAATTCTGCGGCGTCATCCTTACCACGTTCTGCTTCTTTTAATATTTAGGCCGTAAACTTTCACTCATAGTTTTCAGCACTGAAAGATGTGCAGCATGTGCCATGTATAAAACTAGAGAAAACTTTTGTCTATTTTTAGTGAGCGCTTCTCCTAGTTTTTACATCACTGCCGCCTCGTTTGCAATTACACCGAAGAAATCTTTAGTAGCTAAGTCTTCCGAAAGTGCTATTATAGCCGCCATAAGGTTCTCCACGGTTTATTTAATTCCAATCAGTATCAAGTAGAAACAGCAAGCACAAGGATTGCGCTTTGTAAATATAAAATCAGTCTTAGAGAGTTTCTCTGACGAGACATGTATGAACTTAAAGGCATCGTCCTCAATCAAAACGCACCTGTACGGCTAATGACTTGCTGGCGATTTCACACTGACGTCCTATTATTTGCACAATAACTCTACGCACCAAAGCAACTTCCGCTCCCGCTTTCATCAGGAACCATAGCTCGGGGAGAGCAATTTTCATAAACCCGCTTTGCAAAACGCATAGTGCTGCTATATTTCCCCTTGCTGTAGTACTTCGTACTGGTGACGCAAACACACGAATCCTGGACACATTTAGTGTTTTGGACACACCCGGTTTAGCGGTGTGCTCTACACCTTTTGTCTACCTACGCCAGAACCATTGTGTGCATGTGGTAACTATGTAACTATAGCATATCCGCTTAAAGTTTTTATCTCCTACGTACCCTATGGAAATTATTTATATAATAAGCGCGGAAATTTCGAAATTCGATGCTGTTAGGCGAGAAATAGTAACATCTGGTCCAATACCGAGCAAAAAGCGGTTGCTACTGTCCTGCTCGCAAAGATTTGTGCCTGATCTCAACATACGGCCTAGAGCCACCTGCACTTTCTACTAGTTTTGGTTGATTCTTTATGCGCGCCGTGACCCTTCACTTATAGTCGTCCATGGTTTTGCTATAACGAGATCGCGCGATTATCCTCAACTCTGCGACGTCTGCTGTATATGATTAAAGCGAGATTTTTTCCTCGGCTGTTAGGATCGATTCCGCTGATACACATGCGCACCTACCTAAACATGTTCTATAGGTGTTGAGGTCAGAAACAGTGGTCTCGGTCTAACTCTTTCAACATTCGAAGGCACTTTTTGCCTTACAGCTTAGCTGACCATTTCCTCAAATTGTCTAGCCTCTCGCCTTCGACAATTTGCTCGCCTCTTATCGTCACGAATTGCAGTAACGAAAAACTACTACCGGCACAAATGGTATTTATTGGTCCGGATATAACTATACTGATGGACATACAAATATGTATACATATATGTCTACGTTTCTAACCGTACTTTATAATAATATATTATTATGTATTATATAATCATGCAAAGTACACTTTTGTGCCTTGCGTGGTGAGTACTTACGGATATTTCACTTTGTAGTTGGTACTCCATAGTTTCTGACTTTTTTTGTGGCAACCGGATATACTACCATTGAAGGATTTAATTTGGTTAATAACGGCCGAAATTTATGCCTATATAAGCAACTAAAAAGGTAACAAAATGTTCAGTGGTCTTAACTACCAACCTTCTGCGAGGCTTTGACGCACAACTTCTTCGAGATCCAACGATGCATGGAAAGCTTCATATGCGGCCGGATTAAGAGCATCTAGGATATGTTTTGGCCCGGCGTTGATTCGGATATCATGTTTAATTAACCTAATGTATCACAAGAGTGAAAAAAAACCCTATTACTTTTGATATTTTTAATGTCACTTATAAACAGACTAAAGGCGTGTCCGATTCAATAGTGATAGCCCATCTGTTTTGTCTATTAACGAGGAAGCCTTTGGTTTTTATTTTTATCAACTTTTAGGCAGGACAATGAAGCTTTATTAGGTGGCGCGTAAAAGATAATAAACATAGACAACTTTTGTAAAATGTTAAGGGAACCAATCATTAAGTAATGTCTGGTTGGTGAAAATATGGCCGATTTCAAGCTTTCGGAAACATATCGAGGTCAATTGTTATTCTGGCACACCTTTGGAGAATGATGCGGAAAAAGGTGACGAAATCCTGTCTCGACAACCGCAGATCTTTTTTGTACTACCCTGGGATTACCAAGGAGTATTTATGACTAATTTCAAGAAGATTACTTAAATGTAATAAAATTGAATAAATAAAAAAAACTGAATTAAATTAAAAAAAAGAATTCTTAGTTGTCCTAGAAAGAATTCTAAAGCTCAGACATACGAACACGAAAAAGATTAATTGCTTTAAAAGAGATATTGTCTGGTCAATTTCTCGCTTAATAGCAAATTTCGTGTCACGTTTGACTGACATAGTAGCTTCTTCTGACAACAAAACAAGTTTCTATATCGTTATGACATTTTCAAAGTCATTTTTACAACTATTTTCAGTTCCTTTTTGTGTATCTTTCTGTCGCAAAGTTTAATTATAACATTATGGTAATTAATTAGTGGAAAAATTACTTGCCTGACAATCATTTTAAGATCATTGACGGTGCAACTATGGGCGATCTCGTCGAGTAAGGCGGCTTGGTCATCTTCGCGAGTCAACCTGGACAATCTTTCAAGGTATCTGAAAGACAGTCCAAACAGTATTTCATCGTTTCATGGAATACAATCTGGCTTGACCGTTTACATAAGAAATTCACATAGTGTCTGTGCATTCTACAGGCATTTAATTGCAGCCATTTTGCTACCGCAAATTAAGTAGCACAAATGCTACATACGTTCTACAATAACTCGGTTAGCGGTAAACACAGTGATCGCAATTGAAAACAAAATAACAGATTTACTAACTAATGAGCTTGTGTGCATTCCGATTACTCGTAGAGTATCATTATCACAAATCTGCAATAGTAGTTGGTGACAATAGCTACTCCATAAACGCAAGTGGGTATGGTAATTACCTACCAAGAAACTGAAAAGTTATTACCAATTTAATTTACTGAGCTCAGTACATGTGTCATAATACATAACCCTTTAGAGCTACGATCAACTTGTCCTTTAGCCGACAGGTACACCTCACAAAATAGAGCTTGGCGACCGAATCCGATGCAAATATTAAGTAAACAAGCATCGCATTCGATCATCTCGGATGTCGACCAACAGGCTGTATTACATCATTTATATTGCTAGCAATTTCAAATATACCTAGATTTCAGAGGCTCTTTGAAGAAGAGATGTTACTTCGACTTAATGCGTGTAGATTTAGATCACCAGCTAGAGCGGCTGCCACCTAATAACATCGATGCATTAGGAGAAATCACTGCTTATTGCAAAGATATCTATGGTAGCGTTCCCTTGTTTGGACGAATGCGCATGGACTGAACCTTGTATTTGCTTTCTCAGTAAATAATAGTCCCTTGTTGCCTCAAGTGCCAACAAATAATTACAGGGCAGAGAAAACAGACGTAAATAAAAATCTCAGGCAATGAGCGTTTTTATTCCTGCTTCTAATGGAACTGTAAAGTAGCTGGGAGCCATATTGAGCGTGTTAGCTGAGTCAATAAGGGACGCGGTGGACACTCCACTATTTGTGTCCGGACACTTCAACACTGCATTTTTCCACTGGTACACAAGGCCCACAAACTACAGAAAGGAGCCTTAACTGACTTCTTACCACTTACGAGCTAGTAAGCATAACCAACGATATCACACCTACATTTACTATATGTCACACATTGATTATGACACACACATAAAACACACCAGCGGAATAACATGGCGTAAAGCTTTAGAATGGGAGGAGAATCTCAGTGATAACCACTGCATCGAGTACTCAGTTCAGATGCTGCTCAGGACAGCAACGGGACACTATGATTCCCCGGAACAGAATAATCGACACAAATCGTTGTCCGATAAATAGAGATACACGGAGAACTCCAGGATATAGCAATCCCTTAACGGTTAGTAAAGAAGTCTGCGAGGTACATATACCATACTTCTGGGGCAGGAATCGAATTCAGCCTAAATACTGATGAAAAGAAACGACCAGCCCGAACAAAATACAATAGATGTAAAAAATAATCTAAGCGTCTGACGAAACAAGGTAATGGGTAAGTCACTTTTCTGGACTTCAAGTATTAAAAGGATGCAAAACTAAAAAAAAGGAACTTTTTTTTTAGGAACTTAGGAACTTAGGTTCCTAACAAAAGTTCTAGTGCCGGGAGGAATGCATAGCGGGAACACTGAATCATTTCTGAGGCGCACCTAAAAACGGTTTGAGGCAACAATCCCAAACGAAAGAAGTCTTACACTTTTTTTACTGCGAGGTCACCTACACTAAAAGAACGAAAGAAAAAAATTTCTACCCACTTATATTTCAACGTGCGCGCTACGAAGTTCTTCTAGCAAAAATGGCCCCTTTTTCCCCCAGTCACTATTGAAGTAGTTCTTGTAACTGGTGAATTTATAATGCCATGAAAAGCAATATTTCCAAGCAGTGCTAGAGTAAACGTAGTAAACTTACGAAATAACTCCTGACAACAAAAACAAAACTACTGTCGGCAAAATTGGAACTCAGTCGGAAAGCTTGGGGAATTCGGAGTTTTCTAGCCTTCTCCAAACAGTCTATCCATTTAATTAACCGAAAAGCCGGGCTGTTCAACTGACATGCAAAAAAAGGAAAAATCTTCTTTGCCCTCTGATATACGATCAAAAAAAGACTAGAAAAGTTGTGTATTTGAGTCAGCTTTAGTGAACCATTAATACACCTATCCGTGTTTAATAAGAACGGTCTCGTTGTCTGCGGCTTATCAACTTATTATAGAATCAAACTCATTTTGCTATATGTATGTATGTCAATCGTTGCTATTTCACTTTCACGACAAAAACCTGACAACTCTCGTATATCTTTTTACTCGAGTTCTGACTGTTACCTTTGAAAATCCAATCAACCAAATGCACCTTTATCCTTCCATTACCATCACTGCCATTAACATAATGTGATTACTGGTACATAAATGCTCCAAGGTCACCCTTATTTACAGTGCTGTTGTAAGTTTAGTTAAAAATACAGCATAATAACTACCATTGGTGGCTGTATATGAAAACAAAATTTCTAAGAAGGCGATAACACAATTCATCTTTCCAACGTTTTCCATCTCATTTTAACTTAAATTCAAGTATGAAAGATGGCATGCCTTCCAAAATTCGATAAAAATAGCTCAAAATATAGTTTATATAATCATTTCTGTCGTAGATAAAAAGAAGAATTATTTTTTTACTACCTGTCGACTTGTTGCAACGAGAGATTAGCTTTCGGAGTTGGAGGACATTTAATGGCCTCCTCGTGAAACTTTGCGACAGTCTCCGCGACATCACCTTGCTCCAAGTCTTCCACCATGGAGTCGTATATGGGACCGCCAAATACCCTGAAATAGGATATTAATCGTTATACAGTAAACCAAGAAAGTGACCCTTCTTTGTATCAACATACAAAAGCGGCAGTTGCCTCCAGGAACAGAAACTGATAGCCATATGAGACAAATTACGTTTAGGTGAGATAAGCTCACTTATTTTTTCATTAAGTGAGCATTTACGTTCTCGAGTGTATTCTTTTTCCCATAGATCTATTGACCTCGCCTAACTTTTGCCAAATAATGACTTCCCACACTCATCATACTTCACTAACCTGGCAAACAATTTGCAAAGTTGCTTGCTCTGTAAATTATAGATGCGTTTGTTAACCGAAGGCAGAAGAAACTTTACCCAGAGGTAGGTATCACCTTCGAATCCTTTTCCACATGTTCCTTTTTCGAAAAAGTTTCGAACGATAGCAGTTTTGGCCGTGTACGCCGATTCGTCGTACAACTGACAAAACAAAAAAAGGCCAACAACAAAAGTTTTCGTTAACTTGTAATGTTCATCAGCACCAACCTTGTCCGCCGCTTGGCACTTCTTGCTTTCCTATTTAGTTTGCTTCGGAGAAAAGATTAATCTCTTTACTCTCGGTCTTTACTTACGGCACCGCAAGATTCTACCTGACGTGCTGGCCTGCTTCCTTTTAAATCATCTCTTGACATATATATAAAGATGCATTATTAGCAGTTCAAAAGCACAGAACTTTACAAGTAAAGTTTGTGGTTCGTGTGTTGTTTTTGAATATATAGATTATTCACTTGTTTCACTATATAAAACGTTTACTCTTAAACGAAAAATTGTTGGGAAATGGTACACATTTGATAACAGAATTTTTCTAAAAAACTGTAGGATGTAAATAACTGGTGGATGAACGGAGGCGGGTGGAGAAATGGGTGAAGAAAAAGAATTAAGCGATAATTACACGGGCAAAATTGAAACAGGAAACATAAATGGGTACAGTGAAGGAAGAATCAATGTGAATGGACGAAAAAGTGATATAAATTAAGAAACAATCAGATGGTTCGACAAATTATTAAGCAACTGCTATATAAGAACCGACATTGCATCAGCTATATAATACTGTTTTTATATAGCCATTTTTGTGTGAGAATAAAGCTTGTATGAGCAATGGCTGTGTAAGCATAATAATACAATATATTGGCAATTAAATAAAGTTTATTTCATTACAATCATCGGTTATGTTGTTTCATTGATTTCACGCTATGCAGAGTAATTTCATAGTTATCTACGAAATAAGCGGCACTGCAACTACTTCTTCACTGTGTTTAAATTAAGTACATCGTAACGAGGCGGCAAATTTAACCTTGTTCTTATTGGCTTCTCTTTCTTGTTAAAGGTACCTTTAGTAAAGTTCAGATTGTGACAAGGAGGCGTGTAATTTTACCTTAGGATACAAGTGAAAACTAATAATTATGCGTATTTTCTCCTTTCTTACGTTCAAACGCTACTAAGATACTACTCAGATTGATATTTTAAATTACGCCGTAACGGCAATTCTTTCATTGCGCAGGGAAAAACTTTGACGTATTAAGGTTAGTATGAACATTTCCAACCATAATAGTTAGGCGAAAAACATTTTAGCGCAAATAATGCTAAACTTATTACCTTAGCGCACAGTTTTCTAAATTCCTTAAAGGAATTATCCTTGCTGGATTCGTCTGTTCTTGATACTTGTATGTCTGCTCTATTTTGATCCAACTTCTTACGTTTTGCCTGGAAAAATGCATAGCCTTAATGCTTTTTGAGCTTGCAAATTTATTAAAAATAATGTAGAACTTCGTAGGAAAAGTGTGAGTTCAACACATTCTTGTCAACTGTAGATTCTAAGTAAATCATACGGCTCAGATACCATGTAGCGTACTTAAGTAGCGATTGAACTAAAGTACCATCGTGTCATCGCCTGGCATCAAACTCGCCGTGCCATTGAGTGAATGGCATCTAATGGCATTCACCGAAAATGATAAATGTTCTACTTTCTTTTTCGTTAATTTCGAGTCGTACACTACGACAAAAAATAATACGTTTTCTATTCTCATATATATTTATTTACTCATACAAGGTTGATTCAGATACAAACATTTTTTGGTGTAAATATTTGTCTTGCAATTATATTGTATAAAAGATGGCCTTACTGGATGTGCCAGTTAAACCTGAAACGGCTTTAATTAGGGTTCGATAATAATGCAACCCAAATCATCACAGCTGAGTCAAGAAAGTCACAGTCTGTAGGTAACCCGAAACAAGCCAAAGTCGAACGTCGTCGAAGTAACAAAAGGAATGCAGTGTTTTACGGGAAGACGGCCCAGCCGTACGTGCTGGTCAGTTAGTTAAGAACATTCTTTGCTTTTGTTTTTTAAAGGAAACCATAAATAAAGTAGTTTGTCAGAGCCCCTCTACCAAATTACTCTACAAAATGTTATGATTGTAACTTATTAAATTAATACCACTGGAACGTAACTATGTATTTTTCCAGTTTGTCTGGTGCGTTTTCTGCTTTTTAAAGATTGAACTTTATGTAAAAAAGCAGTATCGAAAATTATGGTCGGCAGAAAAATGTCACGCATATAATATAATATCATTATTATCGTCATCACATCTATAATGTCTATATGTTATTGTCACTTATGACTTTCAGAGCATTACGGTATTTCTCCAACTGATCCAGTCAAACAATAAAGCGAGGACAACTCTATGTATTTACAAAAAATTATTTATTTAGCATCTTAGCAACATTGAAATATTGATAGAAATTGGTTTTACTTGCGGGAATAGCAGACTTTTCTGTCTACCGTTTAACTACTTTGAAGACCTGCCCAACTTATAAATTTAATGTGTAGTCTAACGTACGTATCAGACTACGGATTCAATATGGAAATCTGATAAACACGAATTTGTATTAGATACGCTCTATTATCTCTATACATAATTTAGCAAAACGAAAAAAGCGTCACAAAGTTTTTACTCATGTCCCTTTTTTCTGCTTCTAACCGGACATAGTTACAACGACGATTTTCATTTCAAAGTATCGGTTTCAATATTCGGTTTGTCAGTGATCTAAATTTACTTCATTACAAATTTGGGCAAAACGCAACTTAAGCTAATTTCCACCAGGTGCTATTGAGATTAAGAAAATCACAGTGTTCCATTTGTAGTAAGTGCTGGTACATGTGGTGGTGCGCTATAAGCCGTCCCACGGTTACGACTAAAGCTCACATGTTCGGCAATACCTCATTTAAAATTGGCTCTTACATGAGTTTTCAAAATAAAGAAGCGCATCTAAAAACTAAGGTAGCATTCTAGTTTTTAAACATTTCTTTGAAACTGAGTTAATTGACCCACGTGTGTTTTTCTTCTGCAGTGCTAAAAACATCGTGTTTTTTTGAGTCGTTTTTGTATACGAATATATGATTGACTTGAAACTACTTTTTTTTTTTAAGTTTAAGGTTCATCTATACAATAAGTAATGATCTAAAAAATTACGCTACGGCATACTTTTAGGGTCATTCCCATACCTATTGAAGTTATTGTTGATCTCGACTCAAACTAAGTGCTCATATCGACAGCTTGATATCTCCCCACTGACTGTAAGCTTACTGTTAAAATTAAGTAAGGACGTCGGATGACTTACTCTATCAAAGGAATCCGAAAACATCGAGGCGCACAGATAAGGTTTCTCATACCTGGTCATTTTGTCCGGCTGTGTAATTGTTAACCTTTTAAAGAATACAACCGAACGCCGCTGTCAAATTTTTCGCGACAGCTCTTGAGAACTACAATGAATAAATTGGGCTTTAGCTGTTAACTTACCTCACTAATATGTAATGAGTTAACATTGGCTCCAATCGGCTCCTCGGAATCTCTTTTGGCTGGCAACTTTTTTGCGGTTGTTTTCGTCTTCGCTTTCATTGTCAATGATTCCTAGGCCATAATCATAATGACAAAAGTTCACTAATTAATTGTTAATTTTACATCGAACATGCACCGTATAGGATATTGTGTAGGTTAACACGAGGATATATTCGAAGGAAACACCCAACGGAAACTACCTACTACTACTATCATTAAGGTAATGGCTTGATTTCTGGATGTTACTTTTTTGTTTTTAAGACCACCTAGACGAATGTTTTTCTATGTGATAAAAGTGTCAGTCTTAAACGCCATACTTATTCGATACAACCTCTCTTCCCCAGAAGTTCAGCTTTCATCCGGAACCTAAATTCAACATAAACTCGTTCGTTTGAGTTTGTGTGAACGTCTTCTTGGTGGCACAAATAATCACGCTGTGGCCATGATGGGCTTGCATTATCGGAAGCGAACATTTTTAAGAAAATTGAGGAACAAACGACATCAAATACATTTCGAGGTTTTTACGGTCTCGGACCTTATCTATCCAATTTAGTCTGTGATATAAAATATGTTATGCATCATAAGTTTTCGTTAGCACTCGATATAAAGTAGCCAAGCAGATATGAAATTTCTTCATTAACGACTTTATCAAGGCAAAATTATCATCAAGAATTGACTGTCGGACGGTATCCGTTAACGTTGAGGAATTGATTGACTTTTTGTCTTTCGTGAATACTTTACTATGCTGAAAGTTGATTCGTACGCACTTTCATTGGTTAGTAAATAATCCTCACTTAAATTCCGATAACAAATCGCCGTTCTCCGCTATGGCTTTAGGTATATTCGCATCCTTCTCAAAACAAACGTTTATCCAGTAGAACTGGCTGTGAAACGGGCATAGCTTTTCAAATCTAAACTGATCACTCTGGATAAAACCGTTTCTGTATTGCTTTTTTCATATATGTATAATTTCATATCCGGAACAACATAGGTATTATATGAGTTGATTCCGTTGACCCTTCACCAAATGACATGTGTTTGCAATCGGATTCGAAGTCACACCATTCCACAATTTGCTCTGACTAATGTACCATTGAGCCCCCATAAAGGCCTAATATTCGGCCTGAAAGACAAAGTTTTCCTGAACCTAAATGGCTTTTCCAGTGTGTGAAGTGGATCGATCGGCACGATCCATCGCATACAATTTCTAATTTCGCAGAGATTTGACTAGTATGTTTTAATAGAACACAATTTATTACACGGCAGGCTCTCGCCTCGTTTATTTAAAATATATATATATATATATACATATATATATATATAGATATATATAAATGATATTATGAAGGGAGCCAAAATAAAAGTTCTGCATGTCTGCTAGGTGCATTTAGTGACTTGAAACGCAGTTTGAAACTTGTTGAAAGCTTTTTCTATGGGCGCATATTATGTCGCGTAAAACATGCATGGCTGAAAATTAAAAGGTATAGGTCACCACTATTTTATTTAAAAAAGAAGAACTCAAGTTTATTAATTTGAAATTGTGGTGCTCTATTAAATAGCAAAATATCACATTTAAAGATGAAGTAAAATTTGTTTAGACCGCTCTAACGCCTTCAACTACAATCGGGTTCGACAAATTTATTTTTTTTAGAAATATACAAGTGGGAGCCAATTCTATCCTGATAGGAATCATCGTCTTCCTGTAGCGTAGCAAGGTCAAGTAATATCAAAACAAACGTCGATGCAGGACGAGAGGCAAAAGAAGCATGACCTTAATGGGTTGGTTTTGCAGCTAAAAAACGATACCTAAAGCTCCGTTCAATCTAAACTTTATATCCTAACGATTATAAACATGATAACACTTGCTTGTTAGTCCCAGAGATCGACTCTTTCAGACTCGTATTCACGCAGTTTATCATCATCATACTGGCAGTAATTGCCATGACACCACCGACATCGTTAACAGATTTCGGTGTCGCAGAGCCGTTGCAATTGATCTAGGCTCCAAAAAGATGATGGAATTTAAGCTGTTCGTGCCTTTTAACCTGAGTGTCCTAGCGTTATAAGAAAAAAGGAAAATAGCGACTTGATGATTGAAGCACAAAGCACGAATATCGGTAACTAGACAGTTTTTTTGCCTGCTTTCCAGAATGTTTCCCTGAGGACCTGATATTATGCTTTATTATTTAAGGGATGCATTAGAAGCTGGCAATCACAAGCAACAACACTAAAGAGGAATTTGATACTTTCCCTATAACCATGACGGAAACACATCCTTAGGAAATGTCTTAAAGAAGCTAAATGAAGTTAAAGAAGCTTTCGCGAAATGTGGATCCGGTGGAACACAAAGTTAAGGTTATGGAGACTAAGGTTCTACAGAACAGTCACGTTAGGAACAATGTAAAAGAAGTATGCGGCACGACATTTTGTATAGGATTTTGAGAAAAAAGGGACTGTCGGCATCAATCGATGTTACCATCAACAAGCACCTACTAATTAAGAATCGTGTGGAAAGAACCTTTACGTAAGCAGTCGTTAAGACCATAAAGGTCACTGAAGTAAACAAAAATGGTTTCGTTGCCAATGAACCAATGAAAAGTACCATTAGCTGCCGGTCGGCTACGATCCGGTTTACAAATACAGAATCCTAGCGCAAGGCAAACTGCACATAGGATAGATTGCTCCCCAGGTAAGAAAATGAGTCATGGTACCATGTCTCGTGCAGCGTCAAAAGATGGGGCACTAAGTTTTTGAGTACCTCGACCAAGTTGTCACGGCGAATAGATGCTACCGGTGCGGATTATTAGAAAATGTTGTAAAGGACTGCACGGATGAACCCTATAAGAGTGGTAGAGCGGACTACTCTACGAATTGTGCACGAAAGAAAAACTAAAATACAGAGAAAATGTCACAGAGGAAACATGCAGATGAATGGCAGGTAAATAGACCACTTGCTAGAAAAGTCTTTATATCGACAAACAATATAGTTGAATTGGCTGCAGCGCCTCTTCCCTCAAGGTAGGCTGCTGAAAGCGATAATTTTGTGACAGTAATAAATGCCGAAGACAAAGGAAAACAACGGAAGCGACACAATAGCTTCCCTCCCCAAAAAGAGCGACGGGAAAGAAGGTCTTAAAGCAAATGAGTAATGATCAGAGTCCTCTAGCCAAGCTGTAACAAAAGGAACCTCTCATCATGTGATCGAAAAACTTGCTGGGAAAAGAACCGGTACTAGCGGGCCTAACACCGTTCTACGGAACAATCGGCAAGTCATATGGACTCTCATAGAGCGTATACAAAAAAAAACAAAAGAGAGATAGGAAAAAGTGGTGAGGCAGGAAAAGAGTTTCTTGGGTGCAGATCAGAGACTTATCTCGCATCTACTTTTGTTACATAAATTTTAATGGAACTGCCAAAGACTTGAATAGAATTTGAAACGGCGTAGCAAAATCGATAACTAAAGCAGGAGACGCTCTAATGGTTACTGCTGGGGACTTAACACGGCATCAAGAATATGCGGAGCTGTTAAGACAGACAAGAGCGGTAAGCAGCTGCTAAAGTGGGTTACATGGAACCTGGCATCGTTAAACAGCGGGCGGCGTGCCGACTTTTCTAGGGCCAAATGAGTTCCTTTTGTATAGATCTCACGATATGCGCGTTGGATCAGGTGGGCCGGCTTGGTGGATGGAAAGTACTTCAAGAGGAAGAAGTACTAGAGGATCGCAGTGCTATAAAATCCTTTGAACATCATTCAGGAATATGGAGACCAGCAGAGTGGGACAGATTTAGAACGGCTAGAGAGGCTTTGTATGAGTTAAAGATGAAAATCAAACTACTAGTGGAATGAGGAATCTGCTCAAAATCGAGCAGTAAATTACTGAACTAGTAGAAAACGTACGAGTCAGGGCCCGCAGCGATATAGATGTGCTTCAAAAAGCTAATAAAATTTTAGGCGAAGAATAGCAGCACTTAAGATATAAAACAAGCGCTGAATAAGAATCCTGCGAAAAACACAGGAAGACTCACATTCGTAAGTAATACACGGAAGTATATTCCGCCAGAAAAAGAGGAAATAAGGGTATTAAGATTCTTGCTGCCATCTCATCAGCCTCTTGATCGAGCCGAATCTTGCGACCTGAATCCTGAGAAAGAGATCTCATCTGTTACGAGATTTCAGACGTCTAAAAGGCAAAATAACGTATTAAAATGGGTAAAGCGCCAAATCCGGAGGGGATCCTAGCCGTAGTTACAGGGGCTGTTTTTAATAACTTCCCTGACATGGTCGCTACAGTTACCACTTGAAATTTCTTAGCTCTGCCCATTGCGCATTAGACTTAAAATAAAGTGAAGTCGTACTTATTCCCAATGGTAAGAGTTCTCACAGATCTTTATGACTGCTAAGAGGGCACTGAAGCTATAACTGAGCAAAGATTTAGAGAGTTTGCCTCAGAAAAGTGATGGGGTTTCTATTTAAAAGTAAGTATGGCTTGACAACAAAGAGGAGGTACTTACACCGATCGAGAGGTCCACAGGAAGGCTGAGAAGATCAAGGGAAGTTCGATTAAGGCAAAAAAAAACCCTTTTCGCACAATACTCCTCTATGTTAAAAATGCTTCAGTAGCCTGCTATGACGGACAGTACTTGCATGTTTAGTGGAATAAAAAAATTTCTTCAGTACCTAGCCTTTCTGATCTCAGACCACCTGTGGGACAGATTTATAGCCACTGCTTTTTTTTTACTTAAACTTTACTTAAAGAGAAATTACTTAAACTTGTGTTCAGCGAATATTACGCCGAGAGATTAAGGGGCATGCCTTAGCGTAATTCAATGATGCAGAAGGGAAAGTCTTGAAATGTGGTAAGAACAGTAGAACGCAATATCTAATTTTGCAACGGGAGCAGAAGCAAGGGACATCATCCGTAATATGCAGACCTGGATTGCACGTCTTGGTAGAGAACTTTGTCACTATATTGCAAATATCCTCACCAGTCACAAAACCTTTTAAAGCTACCTGCACAAGATCTGTAAAATCCCATCGGATATCTGTATCTACTGTATGGCGGGCCTAAAAAGTACGGCACACCATACGCTGGTGATATGTAGGACGCTTTTCATCACTCGACCACAAAAGTGTTAAGACTCTAGCGAAGATTTTGAAGGAAAAAAACAGCTTAACTATCTTTTCCGCAACATTTATTTCTTCAGAGCGTTGGTTAGAGAGTTCCATAACAGCAACCCGAAAAGTGTAGTACCCTCAAGTCGTCTTCATTTTTCTAGACGAAATATTTACAGAACACTTAAGAAGTGTGTTCTTATAGTCGCTGCTATATATTATATATATAATACACTCTGAAACCTAGTATGGTCTAAAAGAGGCAAATCAATATAGATTCAAAGTACAATACAGTGCTCTGAAAAGAATTTCCTTAATACCGTGATGATTGCTGCTTTGGCATGTATTAATGAATTGCCATATCACAGTCACAGCTTAATATATTAAGTACGTATGTGTAAAGGATGTGAAAAAAAAATTAATAACCTTAATTATGACAGTCCTTCACTAAAAAAGTACCTGAAGTTGATGAATCTTTGTTAGGATTTTCTTTCGATCATCCTGTTCAAGCTCTTGAAACCCCTCAAGGTCTTCAGCATCCTCAATTTTCTTAGTAGTCGCTCGCGCTCTTTGGAACGATTCAAACATACAATCTGTATGATACCTGTTGAATCAAATTATTTGTGCAAGTGTATATAATCTTTTTTATTTTTTTACTTATGTATTAGTAATCTCAACTCACATAAATTACTATAGACTATAGAAAGTGTTATATAACACTTCATACACTTAAAAGTTTTATACTTTGAGACGGTGACTTAATGTGATGCCGTGTGGAGAATCCCAGATAACTACTCTTAACTTTATCGGACATGGCATGAGCCACTCGCAGTGCACACCTATAAATATATGTAAATATTTTCTTATATATATACATGTGAAAGAAAAGCCGAGCTAAAGATAGCTATGCCGGTAAATATGCATGCAAAAAATTACTATTAGAATGTATCTAACATTTTACAATGACAGCATAACACTACTTATTATTCATTGCAACTTTATATTTAAGCGACTGTTGCTACTATTGAATTTTTAACAATGACTCATTGTATTTTATGGCATTAAATACTAACATCACTTTTTTCATTTTACTATGTGCCAACTAAAACTGATGAGACTAAAACGCTTGGCACCTAAACTTCGAAAATCGTAAGTGGTTACTCGAGCGCTTGCTCAGACATTAGGGGCGCAAAACGTGTTTGAGGAAATTAACTTCCTAAAGTTTAGACGCTTCTGTTATCCAGGTTGACTATTTTCACTAACTGAAATAACTTTCAAGGCCACATTTATGGCGGAATAAAGGATAAATATTTTTGTGCAAATACGAGGGGATTTATCGAGAAGGTGAACGAGCACATTTGGAACGCACTCGAAGAAAAATAATAAGGTACTTTAAGCCAATACATGTCTGAATATTACAAAATAACTTGAAATACTTTCTAATTAGCAAAAGCGGCCACTGCGAGCATTTATGTACTTAAGTAGTTAGAACTCAGACTCCATTATTGCATAATAATTAAGACACTCAATAATATTAATCTTTATCTTTGTATTTCTTTTTCATAAATAATTATTAGTATGCTCGCTTCTACTTTCGCCTCAGCTGTAAGGCTGCTTTTGCGCTCCCCATGAATCTGTATACAGAATGTCTTAAAATAATATATATACAGTTTTGAATAAATACAACTTCGGTTTTCACTTACATATAATTAATACTTGCATTGCAAAAAAAACCTACATGAAATGCATAACTTTTGTTTAACTCAGGTGTTTAAAACTATTACCATTTTAATCAATACAACGCTGATAATATGCACCGGTATTCTACGGAATTTTCTTGCCCAACCCATCTGTTTAGAAGGTTCTCATCGAGACGTGAGCTTACAAGATGACGATAGCGCAGACATTTCGTCCAGCTGGAACTAAAATTCGCCGTTGTTAACAAAGGTCTTCCAAATGTGTAGTAAGACAGATTCTTGACGTAAATTCGAGTAATGGGCACTAGTCATCGTACTGCCAAAAAGCATGGTTTTATCAAATTACAGTGTAGACTTTTTTTGTGTTTATATATATATATATATATATATATATATAAACTCTACTCACTTTACATACATGAAAGTAAAAACCAAACCCTAAAAAACCTTTCTTTAGAGGCTGGTATGCGTATCTTAAACGACTTCTAGTAATTACAGTGAAGAAGTCAGAATAAACAATACTTATGCGCGTGCCATACAACTTCTATACAATTTTCGCTTTATAATACTTTATGACTCCTGCCTATCATAAAAGTATGTTTGCATTAAAAACGTTTCCACTTTTACATTATATATATAATGATGTCTGCCTAACTATAAGATGTATTTTTGAATTCCGTTATATGGACGTTTAAAGATAAAAAATCAAATATACAGAGTGGTCAAAAAATGCACACGTTGTGATTAAATTAGACTTTTTTTTTTAACAAGACTTTAACTAGTGCCACTTACTGGAAATTATTGCAAGAACATGCTTCATTCCATATTCGGGAGGATTTAGATAAAGATAACAATTTCTATTTCGAACAGGTCTGACAAAGCACCTGCGCACATCTTTATTATAAAGATGTGCACAGTTCCCAAGCAGGTATTTGCCCAAGCAGGGCAAGTCCTGTACCTTGCCCGTTCATCAAACCTGACGCCAATGAACTTTTTTACAGAGACATTTTAAAGATAAGTCTACGCCCGAATACCGGCAACACTGAAAAGTCTGAACGTTTGTTGAAATCTGTGAATCAACAGTCTATCGTTATCAGCAGTGTATTAACCAAAATAGTAATAATTTTTGTGTAGTGGGAATAAAAGTTAAATACTTTACGTAGGCTCTTTTGTAATTTAATTATACGTAAATTAAAACAGAGATCAGCATCATTCAAGCTATGTATAAGTTTTTATGTCACCTTTAAAAAAACGTTTGAAGAAACCGTAAATATTACAAGAATTCATTCACGATTTGAGTGGTATTATAGAGGGGCGACGATATTTTTGAGTTAAATATAGCCTCCATATGTTAATGCACCAGCCTTCAGGACATCCTATTCGTAAATCGGGTGAGGCTCGGTGCTATGCCTCAGTTCTGCCAAACACATGCAGTGACTGTCGGTAAAAGCAACTTGACGATCTGCTACCATAAACTACAGGATAAATGTGCCGAATTTGTGTGGAAAAGTGTCTAATTTGACGGGACCAAAACCATCAAAACTACAAGCATAGTAGTACACAAATTTTTACTTATCACATTGATAAAAAAAAAATTATTAATTATCAGTTGTCAGTCCTGGCCTGCTAAAACACAGTTGTCAGGATTTTGACATAAACAGAAAGAAAGCTGTATAATCTGATAAACATGGCACTGTTATATGTTGTTTTATAGGAATTAGGGCTGAGCAGTCGAGAAAAATCGCAAACTGAAAAAGTTGCCTTCTGCTGACGAATGCACATGTTTAGGTTGAATTTCGAGGCAATGCAATTATTAGATAATTATCAGTTCGCTTTAAATAGGGTGTAAGATTTAAGTAAACATGCTTAAAATTCCTTGGATTTGTAGTTCTTTTTGAAATTTGTACAAGACTAAAGTTATCAACAGAAAAATAGAATGACCCATTAAACCTTTATCTAAACCTAAATCTTTATGTCACTAAAAATTATATGACCATTTAGGAACCGGTAGCAACGGCGCTCGGAAATGAAACGTGCGGAATTTTTCCTCACCGTAACGCTGTCAAATCTAACTCAAATGTCAGTCTGGTTTACGTACTAAGAGAATCATATACGGAAACGAAAAAGAAGTTCTCAAAATGGTTAACTAATTTACTGCAGGTATTTAGGAACATAGGCTATACTTGTAAAATTATAACTGATATTAGTTAACAATCAGTTAGATACGCTTCACCAATGTGAAAAAAACAGATATGGTATTTTTTTTACATCACACGAAATATAATAATGATATAGTTGAAATTTTTCTGCTGATCCTTACCATTCTTTCATCTCACTTCCGCCGTCAGTAAAGGGATTGGGTACAATCTTGGCAATCCTAAGAAGTCCCTTGTCTATTTTCACTTTGCACTTTTTGCAGGCCGCTGCTCCTCGCTTTGCATATTCCACGCAAAACTTTTTACCGCTTTCTGACATACCCTCGAACCGGTTGTTGCCGATTTGCACAATCTTGTCCCTAACGTAATATATATTTACAAATATACCGTTATATTTAGTAATGGACCCGTAGAGTTCGCTCTATGTCCGCTTTACCATTGATTAATATATGCCTTTACACTATGGCAAACTCGAAACTTAAAAGCTCGTAACACGATGTAACTTGAATCCGAACCCCCCATAGGCTTTACCTTGCGCATGCTTTGCCGTTGATTATTCTAAGCTATCTGATTCCTTGATATTGTATACCTAGCCTGACATGAATTTAAAACCGAACGCAATAGTTGCCCCTTCCACAAAGCCTAATAGCTCGCAACATAGTATACTTTAAACATAGGCATCTATGTCGTCTTCGGCATCGTACACCTGGTTGCATTACAAATTTGATGCGAATAAAACTTTTTACGTGTAAGATCTTATAAGCTTTCACGTGATTTCTCTATTTATTTCTATTTAATTCAACAGATACGTTACCAATAGATACGCGATACCCTGTTTTGCCATGTCTTTGTTTTATGTTAACGGATATGTTTGACTTTGCTTCGGATGGAAAGCTCCAGTCAAGTCAATCTTACTCACAGATCACCCGAGGACACAATCCTACCAGTTCAGGAAAGATTAACTCAAAGCGATTACTTAACGTAAATGATTTGGATCGGACTAACAAGTACCAAATTTTAATAGTTTATATAGATAAGTACAATAGAATAGATTAACAGAATTCCTGTCTTTTCATAAAAAGGGACAAAAAGTTTTGGTACTGAGAAAAAAGATGTATAACCTAGATATTTCCACTTATTTATTGATACATTTGTGCACAATTAATATTCAGTAGTATACATTATAGTTGTAAAAAGCAAACAATCCTTGTCGGGAGCGTCAGGCTTAACTTTAAGGATATATTCTTAGTAACATTAAAGCTGGACTAGTGTCACAACCATCTATTCGATCAAAATTTTATTCCAGAATAAGTCAAGAACCCTTATTTTTATGTAAATAAATAAGGTACTAAAGCTGAAAATCTTTTTAAGACTATCCAGTTTTACCAAAATTGAAAAATATAGTGCAACTTTCCATTGACGTTCGTAGCATGTAAAGTATGGATTTTTAAGCTGTTAGCTTGCGCATTTAGTAATCAAGTTTCCCTAAGTTTTTTTCTTCTGTATTTGTATTATAGGGTGATTTTTCATCTATAAATATAAAGCCTTCTAAGTTATTTTCCTCCAACAATAATCATCTAGCAAAGGAAAAGGCACATCGTTACAGGTAAGATTATACCAATCTGCTATAAAAAAAACTTCTAAGCAAAAATGTTAAACAAATAGTGGATAACTACAGACAGATCATTCAAGGCTTTGTTGCTTACACATTTAATTTTCGTACTTTAAGTCAAAAAATGATAGGCAATGTCTAACACACTTTATAAAAAGCCAATTGAATTGAGAAACTATCAGAATTAAGCTTTGCTAATTGGTTCGATTTTTTTAACCAAATTTTTTTTAGGACCAAATACATTATTTTGATTTCGGTTACTATGAGGTTTTTCTACGTATTTAAAAACGAATCAAAGTGTTCGTAGGTAAAAAACAGAATCTGAGGAAATGAAACAGAGAGTGAATGGCCTACTGTTTGCCCATGTTGTTACGAATTTTTGGCATCTTAAAACAATTACCAAATACTAACAAAATGGCCCACAGTATAAAAATTTGTTTTATCATGAGGGCAGATGCTAAGTTGCTGTGTCAATGTAAATTCTACCCTTTAGTGAGGCTATTATCGTATCCAGCAGGCGTCGAACGACACAGAAGCAGATCTGTCCACATTATGGTCTTTATGTTTTAGATTATATACATTCGTTAAATCATTCATTATAATTATGTTATAACTCGGACTCTATTATGATGCAATAAATGAATCATCATACTCTGAACCTTTAAACAAACTCAAGATTGAATCAGCGTCTCTTCATTTGCTAAACTCTGTCGACTGCCCGAAATGTTAAATATAATAATGAAATTTCAGCTGCTAAAAAAATTATCCTTATAATATGGGTAGGTCACATTCTAAGTTACGTCATAAGGTATGCAAATAGTTCAGCGGTTTCTAAAAATAGCAATACTGACATCTTCTGTCCTCGCTGTGGACCGTTTTGCCTATGATACTGGTTTTTATTAACAACAACCTAGAAAGCTGTCTGAGCTTTTGATTGAATTGTGTCTAGGCCCATCTTCTCAACTCCCTTCAGGAGAATGATTTTAAAAGACTTACGAATTCTTGTTACGTACTACTACACACTTGTACAACACCGTTTAGAATTGCACCGTACTTAAACAGAATGTTTTGAGTAATATAAAGGAAATACTTTGCGTAAGCTATAAGCGCGCCGCGTTCGTCAATACTTTATTTTATTGGGAAAATCATAATATTTTGTCCAGTAAGCAGACAGCTTGCGGCTAAACCAGCTGATTCTACCAATAACATCAGCCACCAGGATTCTAATATACTAGCAGTAGAAAAACCTTGATGTTCATGATCATATAATGTTTTAAACTCTTGACACACACGATCTTTCTTTATAAACAGTACCAAATAAAGCCTGCTAGAATACTCCGTGTAGTGATGCTTCTACTTGTTGTGTTACAGTATCTAATTTTTAATCGTTAAACACATTAAATTTGTGTTTCTTTGTTCTTCTTTGCTAAAGTTTTTTTGTTATTGCACAAGCTGAATGAGTCCATCATGTTTGAATAGTTAGCCACCCGTTTTGAATAATATTTACTTCGGCAGATTAAAAAATTACCTATCCACCATTTACCTTCTCAAATTTCATTTTGTTTTTATTCGTTGTTTCTTCACCGAAGTTTTTATACACCGTATTTACGTACCTACAGTAAAGAGCATGAATAAGGTAGTCGAAGCTCACACATGGAGGGGACCTTCGTTTAGCGACTTGTTTATTCACTCATTTCATATGTAACCTTTGACCATTGTAAAATAAGGTCCCGTCTCGGTTGATCTGCAAAAACATAATTTTTTCACTGATACAGGTTTAAAGAAACTATTGTAACTCATTTTCTCTTTGTCCAGGTTATCGCTAGTAAGTTAATAATAATACTCATACATCAATAGCATACCTATTTCAATGATCTTGCTCCTTGAGAAGCATATTTTTCATAGAAAAGATATTTTGACCCAAGAAAGCGATTTCTCAAAACAGGTCTCATTTTTAAAGAAAATTATGGCAAAAACTATATGGAAAATTCGGCAATTTATTAACTAAAGCGAACATGATTTTGAATAATTTCTTATTAAACTGACCTGCAAAGTGTAAACTTTGTTGAACGGAGTGCATTAGGCACGCTTTTTTGCAAATTGTAAATTTAGTTCCTTCTTTGACAATAGTAAAATGTCTCTGTAAAAAATGTAGTGAACTTTCATTTGAGCTTTACATCCCGTTATATACAACGCTTATTACAAAACAATTGCACCCCACCACCCCTCTCCTAAAAATATCTATAAAATGTCATAGGTGATAATATTAAGTTGGTATATCCAGTTAATAGACACGTATAACAGATGGTCTTGACTTTAACCTTACATTTTTTGTCTCACTTAAAATATGTATACATTGCACAACCTGTAATCCGCAAACAGCCAGTTTCAAGCGCAGGGAGCCTATGACGCAATTTGAAATAACCGCGAGGAACTAGAGCCGAAGAATTCGCACACTACTTGGTATTCTCTGGTAAACACAGATTCATTCATTCATATCACTGAAAACAGTCACGCTTGGATATCGGTTGTGCAAATATTCTTTTTTTTTTTCCGAAGACAAGTGAGTTACGTTGTTATTAATTCTAAAGGTGTTTTTTGGGTATCATAAACCTTTTTTTTCAAAAACTCAAGTTGTTTTCAAATTTCACCGTAACCAGCTGAAAGCCGTAAGCAATTAATATAGGAATTTTGAGTCATATATTATAGCAGCTTTCGTGTTTAATGGATTCAAGTTCTCTTGGCTTCACATTACGATTACAAATCTCATTCATTAAATACTGTTGTTGCCTTGCTTTACAAGCGAGCATGGCCTATCTCAATTGTTCTATATTTTCAACAAACATTTTGTTTTGTTGTTGGCAACTAAAAATTCATTTTCAAAAATTAATAAATATTTAGTCCTATATCTGTTGTCGTAGAGTTAATGGTTGTTATAATTAAATGCTTATGTTCATTTCTGATAGAAGGTTACCTGTTTTGCTTGGAAGTGTATCGTTGAAACAGAGGCAAATGCTCTTCGGTAACACAAAATCTTGAAAAATAGCTCTTCCTTCACGGCTGGCGCTTTAATTTAGGCTGCAGCAAAGCAGTCTACCTTTGTATAAAATTCAAAAAGCGCAGAAATGATCCAATATATTTTAAGCAAAGCAAATCTTATTTTGTTTATTAGATTAAAAAAAGAAATACTGCGTCACGTGTCCAGAATTTTCGCACTTTGTCTATAATAGTATAGCAATGCACGTACGTAAATAAAAAAAAATGTTTATTTGAATTTATAACTTGTTGCAGGCTAACGTCGTTCATCGATAGCCATGCCAGGACTGTTACAGCAGTCACAACTGAACAAGAGTGACTCGTTCAATTCTGAATTTCGGACGAGTATGTTGAAAAGACTCAATTCTCTCCGATCGCCAGTACGTCCAAAATTCGTTTTTAGTCTCTTTCTTTCGTTTAAACACCATAGTGACCAACACAATTGTCAAAATGTCGTCATTAAGGCATTCATGTAGTAAGCTGCTTGTTTTACTTAAGCTCCTCAAGGCGTATAAGTCAAACGCAAAGTAGTGATCTTTCTTTCGACCTAGATAACAGAATACATCAGCCATTTCGCTAATAAGATATTCAACTCGTGATATGACCCTTTATATGCTTTTAAGTAAAACAGGTTAAGCTTCATTAACATTCTGTATTTCTAGGGTTTTGACTGTTATGTGTCGTCTTCTACCTTGTTATGCAATTCGCACTCAAATGTATCAAATTCAACGACGTCCTTAAGTCGCCGTCGGCGTTTCTATCAAAGTCCTGGTTTGATGGATGCGCTATCGCCTTCAGTCTCAAGAACAAGCAGCCTCCGTTCTCAAGTAAAAACCCTCGGTTCTGTGCTCGAGGAACGAGCCAAATTGGTGAAAAGAACCTTGACTGGGCATTCACATGTGGGGAGGACGTGCTCCACGCCAACGAGATCATCACTCGCTGCGTGTAAATTTCTGAAAGATACAACAACAAGCGTGGAGACTTGTATGCAAGGTAAGTGTATTTGCAGAGTAATTGTATATTTTCTTCTAGATAGTTTTCAAGTCAAAAGCAGTTTGGTTAGACTTGTTCACACATAGGATTTGTTTTGAGGAGGTAACAAGGATTTTGAGGGCATCTTTTCGAGTGCGTTGCCACATAGATGCGGCCATCGTTGGTTCAAGTTTCAGCTTTGGCAAATGGTTACTATAACATGTTGTTACCAAACACGCGATGGAAGGAAACGTAGCATATAGCATTTTATATTGGGGCCGAGACAAAGATTTGATTTTTGCGGGTTTGGCTTACTTACACCACGGACTCCCTCCTGGATGACCCCCGTAGTGGTATTTGACGGTTCATATGTGGACTAATTTAATATATATGGAGTAGAAGCTAAAAATCAGCCGTTAGTCAAAGGAACAAAAAAGGACTGGACCTAGTGTGCATTTCTCTTTATTCAATATACAGATTCATTTAATATATTTTTTAATTATCTTCTGTTATTCTAGATGTTCTAACAGACCTGTCTAACATAGCTGCCCCAGGTAGCAACTTAGTGAGCTGTTCTAACCAAATAACGGTCTCAGATTCAGCACCTGTTACACTGGTTACACCGAAGCCAAAGAGGCAAAAGTACCATTCACTGGCCGTCTTAGGGCACAGAAAGCAGAAGGGATCTCCGGTTAAGCTGCGATCACAAATCAAGCCTTATAAACCCGCGACATCTCCTGTTCTTGACAATCGTTCCAGCTTCGCACTTGAAAGTGTGAAGCTGGAACGATTGTCATTTAAACGTGGCAAAGGCCGAGCAAGTCGTGATATACTTTGGATGCAGTTAACGTGTGCACTTATTAAAAACCTCGTTAATAGAGAGCCTTTACAGTCTGATGACCTTTTTAAGTGTCGGTGTCTACAAATGGCACTTCGAGCCACTAAAATTATTGACCCAATTGCTGCAAGCCAATGGTAAGTTTGCGACTATTTGCTTTTATTAATACCTAATGCATTTCGGCGAACTTACCGATTGAGTCGAACAACCATCCGTTCAAGTTAAAGTTGCGCTATTAGCCGTTATTTTGTAGTTTAATATAATTGTTTTTCGATTAAGTACCTGACCTGGAATCATACCTAGCTGAATTTGAACTAGAAAGAGGAAGCATATTAACATCGTGGCAGTTACTCTGGTATACTGTTACAATTATGCATTAATCTTCCGCTCTGAATTACTTCTTCTACGACTTTTGTCTTCTCACGCTGTAATACCATACATAAAGTATTTAAGAAGTTCCCCACAATGTGTGAAATACAGGCTAAACACAGCAGGCTTTCATGTGAAATTGCATGGGAAGAGGCAGAATCTTTCATTTTGTTGCTCTTTTATAGAAATCGTTTTTTAATTTATTTTATAGTACATGAAATTTTAGCTTGAAATAGTTTGTTTCTTATATGGCTAGGGATATTTGGACCTTCTTTGTCAACAAAAAGCCTACCAATCGGTTTGATGATCTAATAACCAGTTTAATATTTTAGGCTTTTGCTGTTCTCAGATCGGGTAATCGAGTTGGTTCAGGACGTCGAACAGTGCCCTTTTCACACCCGGCTTGCCAAACCACATTATCGGATCAGGAAACTTGATGTGGAGACAGCCGCAGCGTATGCACAGTTTTCTTTAACGAAATTCACGTGATGCAATATTTGCGGGGAAAATCTGGCATTATTAGTGAAAGCAGCAATAAATGCCACTGTATGCACACTGACTTATGACCTCGGATATTTCCCTATGTGCTACATCTATTGTTTGCAATCTATCTAAAGCTTACTCCTTTTTGCGCATTGAAGTTTATATCGCAGTTCTTTATCGTGCTTGCAAACACTTATTTTTAAGAATATTCAGATTTCTTACTTAATAAAGTCATCGTCATAATTCTTGTTAATTATCGATTGCAGGAACTTCTCTGACGACCTGTGGTCCGGATTGTTAAATTGGTTACGAAGTGCGAGGCCGTACCTCCTTGAAAGGCTCACAAAAAACATACAATTGTATGCCTAAATCATCTTCTTTGTCAAAGACAAGTGATTCCTCATTAACGGTGAATACCTGAATTTCATTATGGTGTTGATAATTATGAGTAAAAAATCAGCTTACGTATGTGGCTTTTAGTGTAAAATTGACAATGTTCGATGAAGTTGCCTGCTTGAATGGTGATGCAGTATGCAGACTGTGGATCATTTCAGCTGTACTTATTTTTCTCCATGCTTGTATGTTCGTATTATACAACCACTCTGTATTATACTGTACATATTATTGTCTGTCTATATAGTAGATTAATATAGTCTACTATATATTAATCTACCCATTATATATTTGTGTTTTTCAATAAATCAGTGTGTTCAATATTTAGTATATCCATTCTTACGATTGTAGTTACAAAGAGCTAGCGCCGCCACTCTATTTATTCACGTGACGCCTCGTTTTTGCAACAAGAATGCCCTAAGTTAGATATATTATTCGTGGTATTCACGTGGTAATGCGCTGGCGCACTACTCACGTGTATTCCGACATATAAGAGACAACAGTTTCTTCTAGTGGTAATGAAAACATAGTTATTTACATTGTTACAACTATTGTGTGTAACATAAAAAATTTGATGATTATTGGTCACCCCTTTTGCGAGCCAACCTAGAGCGAGGGGATATAAACTAGAAATGAATGGACCTAAGTACTGTAATAAGTAATGAAGGACCAAGGGTAGTGTTTGTCGCATTCACATGTCCGACAGAATGTAACCTATAGTTATTTTTGATCTGTTCTGTTTCATTCTATTGTATATTAGTTACAATTGGGATGTATGGCGATGTAGTGTTGCTAGACAATTTCTTTTTATTTCATCAGTTTTGGCTACTTCTCCTTTGCCAACGACTTGCATAAGTTGTGATTGCAAATCATACCATCAACCTAAGCAACAGTTAAAGCAAAATTATAGGTCACTCATTTCAGTTAATGACTATATTGAGGTCTTCCTTGATTTTATGACATAAATATCCTTTCTTTATATAAACATGATATTACTTCAACCAGAACCATTACTGGAAAAACTGACTTGTTGTCAGTAGCAGCGATTGTAGCTCGCATTCTATCGTTTCGTCCCCTTATAGAAAAATACGGTTGTAAGCTAATCCTTTTTCATACACTAGGGCACACGGTAAGCACGGCAACCTCGCAGATTACATATACAATAATAATATGCAACACCCAAAAAAAGGCAGACGCATGCCGTAAACCTCATAGTAGCAGAGAGATTGTATGATAACTGTAAACTCAAAAGTGGAACCAAAAATGTAAAGGTTTGCCAATGCAAATATTTTAATAAGCACACGTAAGATATTCTTACAACGAATTTCAAAAACGCGCTGCAAGACTTTGGTCATAAATTACTTTTTGTACAAAAGCCTGGTCTGCCAGATCGGTAAATAATGTGCAATTTCTTACCGCTCTTGAGTTAATCATTTCGTTCGGCATTAATTAGTTAACTTAATGTATTATACCATACGTCTGCCATACGTACAATACTTATACATATGACAGCTTTACGAGTTTAGCTAAAGCTCAAGTTACTTGACGGTTTCTAGAATCGTTGATCTAGAGTTCAGCGAATTATTCAGCATCTACCACTGACTGCATTGTTAACCCGGTTTCTGCCATTCTTCAGTTTGTTATCAAGCCCAACTGCGCTGGGATTAAACTTTTTATTAACTCAATTTTAGCGGAGCTCGGTTAGCCTGGCAACGAGAAACATGATTTATATTGCAAGGTTACATCAACTCGTTTCTGATTCCTGCTACGCTAAAAATTGTTCCGTTTTTGCCTCTGAGCCTAAGCCGACTGAGGCAAGTAATCGTGTATAGTAACGATAGCTATGGAAACGGTAGCAAACGCTTTTATAACTGAAAAAAGTTGTTTGAAAAAAGCTAAGATAATCGATACTGCATTCCTGTAATCGATGTTTCAGTGAATGTGGTCTCAGATTTAGTACAATATTTTTTATTCAAGTCTATTCGTCTTATTTAACCAAAATACACCGTGGAAGATTCTCTACGGCGCTCCGGAATATTTTTTCCTTGATGGCCTGTTCAGTATGCTTAAAACAAATTTTTCTCTAGTGCTATAGCCACACATGGTTATACCCGCACCCGAAATACCCTGCAACCAATCGCCTTTCTAGGAATTGGTTCAAACGAATGGAAGCAGATGTCGATATACACGCCTTCGGCTATTTAGGCTGCGTACACCAGCACCTAGTTATTACATCCCTAACCTATGGCTATGGACCGAGGTCGTCATGAAAGCTTTAGTACGTGCTGCGAAGTTCTACATATCCGACGGTTTTTCAGAAGTAATAACATTTGATCAGGGCTTCCGGCTGACCTTGCGCAAGCAGCGCTCCCTTTGATTCAAAACAAGAGTTCGTTCACCAAATACATATACTTTAGGCCATATATTTCTCTTCAGTTAAGTTCCAAAGCTTTCCACGCCGGACCACCTAACTCAGGAATTCTGCACATTACAGCAAACATTCATTTTAAAGTTGTACATAATATTTCAAACCCGCGCGCAGTATTTTAACCCGCGCGTAATATTCAAACAGGCGTATAATATTTTGAGCCTGCGCATAATATTTTGAACCTGCGCATAATATTCCGACCCTACGGATAACAATCGGTAAATGCTCATAACTACCTTCAACACACTAATTCATTGCATGGGCCACCAGTAATAAAGAAACAGACTTTGTGGCAATGCGACTTTCCCCATTTTATCAAACCCTTTACCACGGACCTCATTCCAAATAAATTCAATTGCTTAGTCGAGGACTTCATCAATTATTCCAAAGAATTATGTTATTCAATTATCTTAAATAATTTGGCTTTTTTTAAAGAAACCTTTTTTACCGTAAATTTCGGCTTTAAGTAAGGCAGGCCTTAAGATATTCGCTTAATTTGTTGTAGTTTATCAAAGCCTTTTTATTCTCTGATGATACAGAAATAAGTCACTCCAATCCAGAGTTGATGGGTACCAGGATGTAGTGTATCGGTACAAAGAAAAAGATCAGTATCAGCAATAAAAGTAAAGGCTGACGCACCTTTTTCACGAAATATTCATGACGCTACTACATAGACATGTGATTTATTACATCAATCAATCAATCAAGTAATATTTTTCGGATTTTCTGGGAATATATTTTACTGACCGAACAAGAATATGGTATTAATAATCACATTTTTTTTCCTACGTTTTCCTTGGCTAAAGTTATGAGAGTCCCGCCCATAATGGGAGTCAACCTCAGTGGTCCAGACTATCTCTGAACCGTCTAGATTTTTAAAAACCAAATCTCTTACAATAGATTGTTTTACATTACTTAAAATCATTTTATAAGCATAATTAAATAAGGACAACTTGATTTTCTATTTCAGTCCTTAAAAAATCATGTCCGATATAAATTTAAAGCACAAATTACGCTGCGGAATTTAGCCAAATTCGTTGTGAAGGAACTAAAACCAAATCGAAACGTACCCAAAATGTAGTTTGGCAGTGAAATAGAAATTCTGAAGAAGATATTCATTTTCTCTTTCATCTGAAATTTTTGTAGTAACCCGTGCACACACGTATTATCAAAACTTACCCTATATATATGTAGTGCTTATATTTAATGTTTTGTGATGATTGTGATGAAAGTTGAATGAATTCAAAACCTTTCAAAACCTCAGACATCTTTTAACGCTTCGCTTCTGCGAATCATTTGTAAATGCCGCGGTTTGCGAAATAGGCGAGGCAAATCAATGGCCCTCTCCTACAGAGTGCGGCTGTTTGTATACAAAGACAGACAAGTGTAATTTTTGTGACGTTTTTTCCAAGAGTGATAAAAAATGGTTGGATCCTGAAGTCAGTTCGCTCCGATATCAGTATAAACTATAATGAAAAACTTCGGAACTTTTACAGTGTTAGCTTATTTCTATTCAGGCCAAACGTAATACTAAGCGACCGTAAACCTTTTGCGCTAGTCTGTGATATCAGGCACACGCATGTTCGTTCGATACATGAAACATCCTTCCGTGATAATGAAATTTTGCTGTAACTTTACAAATGATTGATAAGCTTGACACTGACGTCAGTTCTGTGTCTCCTGTGTTATTAAAACAGATTAACTATTGCCAACTAACGTGTGCATTGCTAAGACGATCAAAGTGGCGGCGACATCTAATAGTTCTAAGTCGTCTTCGACGGCGCCTTTTGTACAGCTAGGAGGGCGGTACCTGACGGTCGAGGAGCGCGCGCTTCTCTATCAGGTGGATTGCGATGTCACCTCGTTCGTGAGCAAGAAAGCCAAGTTGACATCAATATCTGATACCCGTTTATGCGAAACCGCCGAGTCAAACAAGTTGGTTAATTGGCTTACAATATTTTTGACTACATACTAATATTGCCTTCCTTGTTAAGGATAATGTAACTAGTGCACAGTTGTCTTGCCTGTTGCTTTGTAATAGTAGAAGTTGGGTTGAATTTGAGCGCGATGCAGTAATCCTTCTTAGAATACTGAAGACTTAAGTGACCCATTTTGGTAGTAGGTTTAGTTCAAATCCGCGTGTTGTCAAAGGAAGCTTGTGTGAATAAAGAAAGTTTTTTTTTATCAAAGTAAAAATTAAATGCCATGGCAACTAAAATGATTAAATTAGGCAAGAATAATGTCATTGAGTATTTTGTGCAGTTCAAAAGGAGTTTTAATAGCTCTAAAAACTTATGCAAGCGTATTCACTTATTAACTAATAACTGAATTAAGTGAAAACATTGAAGTTAGGAAATAAGATCTGAAACAGTACACCGGCGTAACATATAAGCTAAAGATGCCTTAAGGGCCGATATCAAAGATCAGCTTCGCATATTACAGTTAGAAAAGTAATTTTTCTTCAATGATTTACGTCCATTTTTCACCAACTCAGGTTTACAAATCCTGTACCGAAACAAATCATTTATACTTACATACATAATAATCATACGAGTATTATATAGTCCTAGTGTGAAACATATTTGAAGTATCTACCCAATATTTTCAATAATACTTTTTAACACGTATGAGTATATCGTGCAACTGGACTCATTTATTCATATAATAATTAGCACTGATGGGTCAACTAGTTTTTAAATTTCACTGCTGAAAATCAGCTAAATTGGCATTTACTCAAGCTAATCTCATACACGTGCTTGTACTATATTTTTTTCAGCCCCTGCGAAGATGAAGTATTACTGTTGCCTTCGTTGTCGCCTCGCCGTCGTTTTTTAGTTCATAGTTTAATTCAGAAACAGTATTGGAGGTTGGTTACTTTCTCGATCGGAGAAGGTAATAGCAGGGCTACAGTTATTTGCTTTCGAGAAACCCTGATCCGGTACGTCGTAACCCCGTGCTTGTTGATTAATTGCCTATTATATTTTCACCTACTTTCAAATTTTTTTAGCAAAGAGAATAACCATTTCAGGCAAGTTTTGTGGCATTTTTGCAGAGAAAATGATGCGATAATTAACGTAGTTGTTCATAAATTCCTCCTACATCTTTGAAAATAAACTTACGTCCAGTGTTTCAAATCACAGTATGAATGATGTCACGTACTTCATTATAGGGTAGTGTATGATATTTCTTACGACTTATGTGATAAAAGACGATGATACCAGGAGTCTGAAATCCGTTGTTTTAACTAACATATGTTCAAGAAAGGTTGTGCGGAAACTGATTAACGTATTAAAATCAGAATTACTTTTAATATGTCAATTATAAAAATTGTTGAATTATTGTATTTATTAATAATTTCTTTTCCTTGGCGCAGTTTAAATGATAAAATGATTTAATGGCTGAGGAAATCTTCAGAAAAAAACTTGTTTGGATTTTGACTTTTGCGGCGGTGAGTGGGCAAATGCATCAGGCACTTAAACTGAGATATTGGTTTTAATTCCTCAACTAAGATTTAGTATCTTTTTGAATTAGTTGTTCTTAATCTAAGCTCACCGCTCACTTACGTTTGGGCAACATGAATATCATTAAATCCTTACTATAATATATTCGAAATTCGTCATCACGGCACAGACCTTATTGCCAATTCCGAAGTGTCAACATTGAGATATCTCAACCCGTCAATAAATAGCTAGAATGGTTTGACATTAGCAGTCTTTTTTTGCTGCACCTAATTAGTTGGACTAATTAGAACTGGTCACGACTTCTGCTATGGCCAAGTAATCGTGTTAAGTATTAGAGCATATTTGATAAGCGCTGTTGCAATATTAGAGTCATCCGCTACGAGAACAGCTTTTAAACGTGTAAAGCACTGAGATATAATGCTCAATATTAATACCTGCAGCCAACCCAAGCGTCTTTGAGTCCTTAAGCGTCTTATCTAATAATAAGAATAATCTATTTTTCTTATGATTTAGAGCGATCCAGAACGGACAGTGCCAACACGCGAAGGTTTTGGAAAACTTTTCTGATCTCACCTGTTTGACTAAAAAGCCGACAGGAAATCACGAGATAGTGCAATTTCCCGAGCAAAACGAATGTCGAAGTATTGCACTAAAAGATTCGTCACCAGAAACGCGCTCTAAACTTACCACAAAGGAGGCCGGCAACGGGTTAGTTTGAAGGGTACACATTTTGTTAATCAATAATAGGGTTTTTATTACTAAGAGATTAATCTAAAAACCTGATTGATGTACGTCCTAATATGATACAGCTTATCCCTCAGACAATCGTCTGCTTATGAAAAGAAATCTGAAAAGGTATTAGTAATTTAGTTAGCTATACCGAGTCGCAGTTAAAGATTGAACTCGCAATATTACACATGTGAGGCTCACGCAAATAAAAATAGCGTTGGTTAAACTATCATGAAGACCCGGCTTCGATTTCCCGCATATCAAAGGCCTTTTTAAATTACTAAATTTTCAATACCAGCTCATTCTTCATTTTTATTTCCATTTGATCATTATGAACATACCCTTTGCATTAGTAACACATTCATTTAAATGATCTCCGCCGCGCCTAAATTTCTTCGCAAGGTGTAGTTGTTGAAAGATTTCTGCCTTTGCAAAAATAATCCAGCGTACTATCTACCTTAATTAATGTTAATGGCGCATCAGCTAAATCTAATAAGAATTTTTAAATTATACAGCCAGGAAGCATCTCATTTTAGATATCATATAGGTTGTCATTTGTTTTGTGGCCTTCGAAGAATTCAAGAAAAGCTTCTACATATATACGCAAATAATCCACGATCGAACAAGGATTTAAAAGACTAAAAAAGTAACGTAGAAAAATAAAAAATGCATGCCTGATAATACATTTCGATAGGGAGTTTCGCCGCTCTTTTTTTCAAAGGCTTGTCGTACGTTTACGAAATTTTCAAGTACAAGAAAAATAGCCCAAGGATCTGAGTTGATTTTTAGAAGATGCTTTATTATCATAAAGGTGAATCTTTATGATAATAAAGCCAAAGCGCCTTTCTAGCAACTTCGTTGCCAAAAACACTTCTAGGCGAGAAAATATATATCATTGCTGCAGAAATCTCGTTTAAAATGAGATAACCCAGCAAGTATGATGACAGCCGCGCTTCCTTTAAATAAATGAGACAGTCACAGAACCAACATAGTGAAATGTTTTTTCGAACTGTGAACAACTGGTGATCAACGCAGTGTTGAACTAAAGACCATATGAGAAGATAGGGCATAAAGTCACAACAGCCACTTAATCAAAAACAAGCTTTCTATTTTTTGAGTCCTTATGAGAACTTTTGAGATTAGATTATACATACGCTCATAGCTAGTGTTATATTGGACAGGAGAAATTGACATGTGTGTCCGCCAACACATTAAGGGAGCACATAAGCTGATCATTTCTGAGTGTAATATATGAATTTAAAAATTGACGTCGGTTATTTTAGATGTAGTGGACGCATCCTCTATATTTATCATCCCGTTGAGACAGACTTTGGTGATTTGAGCTCATTCGAGTCATGCCGCTTGTTTATATTACAGAAGCTTTGTAAGATCTGAATTTTTTTTTGGCAATTTGTCTCGGCTGGACAGTGTCTATTAAGTTAAAAAAAATAGTAACAAGGCTTCACAGAAAGTTTTTTATTTTTCTTCTAATGTGCCTATCTTCTGTATGCCTTTCTACATATTACAATTTTTATTGTTTGCAGAAGTCGGTGTACAGATGCTTCTAGAGGAAGTTTTGATTCTTAATTGTTTGACTCTTTGTTTGTCTTAGATATCACCAGTCAACTATATTAGCCATTGAAGATAGCAAGGCTTTTTTTTATTTCAACCTAATTTTTTTAAACCGGAATGTGTGGAAAAAGAGTGGGTCTGGATAAGTCTGATCGAATGTTATTGTACCATTGTAAATTTCAATGTGACCGTTTATTTTCAAACAGGTTTACAGTTATAAAAACTATATATATATGTAAAAAATGTATATAAATACATGTATGTTTTGGTTCAGGTAAACCGTGCATACATCTATTACCGTTGCATTGTGAAGCAGCGAATACGAAACAGCTTAGTATTTGTCTGTGGATTAGCGTCTCTTTGGCGGAGGTATTACATTCTGAATTCACAATTCTTCGATCTCTTTCTGATTCACTGTAACAGCTTCTAAATAGCGTATAGTTCCTTCACAGCTTTTGAGCCTTTTGGAAAGGTAGAAGTTTTATTGACAGATTATAATATTACTTATGTTGTATGTGTTTATTACACCATTATTGTAATCATAAATATTCTACCTATAATACACTAAGAATATATTCCTACATTAATTAATTTCACAAGTAATTTGTTTTCTGTTAGTTTGCACGTTTCTATTCTCTATTATTCGTGTAATATAATGTAGTGAAATTATGGTTGCGATAACTTAAATCAGACACTAATTCACACAGACATATAGGATAAGGAATGCTAACTTTAGCTTACGAATCCTAATTTGTCGAAAAGCCTTTACCATTTAAAAAAGAAGATAACGTTGCGTCATGATAATGAATAGAAATTGGAAAAAGGAACAATGTATAGTTATGTTGTTAGTGAACTTGACCATTTAATTTTGTGTTCGGTTAATAGTTACTTAAGCGATAAGTGTAACCTACTTCAGTCTTTGTATTAAATGCATAAATTGGTCCATGTACAAAAATACTTAGTACAGTCTAATTATGAAATGTCTCTTGCTTAACTATCTCAACTATTGTAAATAAGGAAATTGTGATGATTGGCAATAGATATTTCGTCACGATTCCATTTACTATAGTTTACTCTATTTTGTCTTGACTTAAAAGGAACGGTGGTGCAAGACGTGAGTTTCCTCAGAAGCAACTGTACGTGCCCCCAAAGGCACGTATGAAAACTAAAAGGACGCATTGCGAGCACAAACCTACCATAGATGAGAATACAGTTAGTTGTGAAATGGCCGAAGCAAAAGATAATTATGGAAATATTCAAAAGGAGCTAGAAGATCATGTAACCCTTACTGACGATCTGTAAGTATCCTTAGCTTAAGGTATAAACAACGCAGAAAGCAAGTATGTGTGAACGACTTTAGCTTAGATTCTCTTTTGATCGCGTAGAGATACAACCCTGACGCTTATAAAAGCGCTAGAACCTTGCGTAAGTAATATCTGCTTTTATTTACTGCTTACAGACATTTTTTTTTATAAAAGTAGTCCACCGCAGCATTTATAGGTGTGTGTATTTTCTAGTACATATGCATGACAATAAGCATGGGAAAAAAGACGCGTTTACAAACAAGATTAACTATGTTTTTGGAATCATATTAAGTTGGAAATCGCCAGCGAGCTTAGATTACAGAATTGTATCTTTAAGGCACCTTTAATATTTAGATACGACGCCAATCAAACGACTTAATATTTTTTTAGCACCTGTGATGGCGATGTAGCATTACCCGCAGAGGAGGATTCTTGGGAAACAAAATTCAATGATGCCGGCGAACCCACATGTCCCGAAGCTATGCGGGAACTCGAGTTGGCATTAGGAAAGGTGAAAGTATCTCGACCAAAGATTATTAACTATCTGGAGTTTACACCAGCTGATGCAGATAAACGGCGATTCGATGATGTGAAGGATGGTGCAGGTAAGACTTAATTTTATTCTGAGCCGGTTTCATCTGGCCGTTTGTTGATTTCTTAGGTTGGGCAGAAGATATATTCTTTCGTTGTGGTCTGCTTTTCTCCATGTTTATTCAACGATCTACGAATTAAACTTAGTGACGTACCCGACAAAAATACTACCTTTTCACTTTGACTTCCTTCAGAAATGGGTCACGTACTCGAACTGTATGGGTTCCCTGCCGAGTTCCGAACCCGCGAGCTAGTGGCATTTTTAAAGGGTGTCGGCGGATCTCCTGAAATTCGATGGGTCGACGACGAACATGCTTTGGCAGTATTTAGCACAACTGCAGCAGCACGAAACGCACTTAATCAGACAAAGGTAGTGTATGTAGTTTGCTGTTGTCTGTTCTGATTTTGATTGATTATTCCTTAAATACCCCAGTTTATTGTCCGATTATTCCTTAAATACCCCAGTTTATTGCCCTACATAAGTTTATATATTTCAATGAATCTGGCGTTTGACTCGACTTTTCTCGTTGTAAATCCCTTGTAAGTATTCCTGTAATGTTTTTAGGGGCAAGGTGTTAGAAGCACATACGATTCTGTCCATTAAGGCTTCTATTAACAAATTATGTCAGGTATCCGTTCAATAACATAGTGCAGCGTAAACTATGTTACTGTGCTAGGCTAATCCAGTTATTTTGCAACAACGTTCTTCGTATTACCGTGATATGAGAAGCTAAAGTATTCATAAGCAAAGCATTATTTTGTTCGTCAGTTTTACGAAATACATGATAATGGTCGTGAAGATAGCGCATTTTTAAATGTGTCTTTTTTTCCTGCTGAAAAATGTCTAGATATTATTTAGATCACCTATATGCCTGTATATGTAAACGTAAAGGTATATTAGTGAACTTAAACTACATTTTAATTGTTTTGAAAGTGTAACTATTGTTCCGTAAAAACAACGCATGTAGCGCCACGTACACCGACAGTGTTGTCCTCGTGATGCTTAGTGGTAACGTTTTTGTTAACTAAGGACATACGGGGTGGTCTATGTTCAAAACCGAGATTTTACTTCGTGGTGAAAAGGAGCCAGCTTAATAATGCCGAACGTAAATACTTGAGACATTTACTTTTCTTACCAGCAATATTAGTTTTACAGCATAGGACAATTTAATAAAGATCTGTTAATAAGATTGTTCTCTAAAGACACCATTTGTTGACGGGTTCGGAGGCATATGCACAACAATAGCTACAGCACGACATGTTAGCTTTGTAGACTAAACAGTGACTTAACAAAGCTGGGATTTGGTTCGATTGCACTTTGTAACATTAACATATTTGAGTTAGCAGTAACATTACATTTTTTAAACCTAAATATCTTTAGTGTTATCGGCTTATTAAGTTTGTTTACTCGAATCATATTGTATTTTCATGTATGATGAAATATTAGTGGTTGATAACTAATACAAGTATACATGAGGGTGCATGAACTCGGTACATGCTTTGATACATGCTTTAAAAAGGCCATTGTTACTGCTAAGTAAAGCGCGCAAAATTATTTCTGTTCTAAAGTATTTCTAATACCGCGCGATGAAATTGGCGCGGGAAGTCATCCGTGGGCTCTTCAGTGACGCCACTGAATTAGTGCTTGGCGTACGCTTCTTTCGATACATGAAGCAAAAGATTTGGTAGATAGCTATATTAGACATTGGTCGACGGTATATACAATATTTTCTTAGAAGCTATAAGTTATCTATTTTGTGTAGATTGGTAAACTCTTATTAATAGTATTAAGTCCTAAAATTTTTCTGTGATTTTTGGTTTTCGATCCTGCGCTAATGAAAGAAGTACAAGGTTTTTAGTAAAGATCAGCAACATGGATGGGTAACTATTTAGAAGACAGATAATGTTGTTCTTAGTGTCCTTAGCCCCACTGGAAAGTCGCAATAGTTTTTCGTAGGAGCGATCTGAAGTCTCATATTACTATGTGTTATACACATTGTATGCGGACGATCCAGATGTCTCGAGACGGACGATAGCTATCAACATTATCATATAATGGCGCAAGCTGTGAGTATTGCAATGGCGTATCTGTGCCTTAAATGTGTCGTCGCAAAACACGCATTCGAAAACTAACACGAGCTCTATAAAAGTGCGTCTTGACTATCGGCAAGAAATATAGCACACACTGTTTATTTCGATCTCTGTATGGGAAATTAATGTCGTTTAACGATGTCAACTGATGGTACGTCAAGCTAGTCAGTAGTGTACGTAGCATTTTTCGTTGGTACTTTCTTGCGCGGGGCTAACTCGATCAAAGTTCATTTAACCCTCATAACGAACTCAAGGAATCCTTCCCATGTAAATGCACATGCTTGCATTCGTCTAGCAACTGTGTTTAAATAACCGCTTGGTGCTGTTGTTTTCTATATTGATTATTGTGAAGAAGTTGTTATATGGTTAATACGCTATTACGATATTTTTTTAAATAACAGGTTTCTAAGATTTTAACGTCAGATGTTTTCATATAATTTTTGAGATGTATAAGTATGAGGCATAATCTTATATCCTGATGGTGCATATCGTTATGCCTTTCGATAATTCTTATCGTTATGTACAGCTTATATATTTCGTCTGTTTTACAGGATGGGATTGCTTATATATTTCGTCTGTTTTACAGGATGGGATTATTAAACGGCGATCATTAAACGAAGCTTCGGAATCTTCGAAGGCAAAAGCAAGGGAAGCAGGCCTAGAACTACCACACAAGCCTCGTCCTAAAACCAGCTCTCTCATTGCTAAACGACTTGTATCTGGTGCATTAGGTATTCCGGTTTCTATGAGCCGCGAGGAAAGAGAGAAAGAAAAACTCCTGCACAAAGAAGCTAGAGGTTGGTAAACCTAAAAGATTCTTATATAAAAATTCTGACATTAAATGCTTAAAGGTTGGTAAAGCTGTTTCATGTATAAACCTGAAACCTTTGTCACAGTAGCGTAATTTCAATTTCATTACGATCAAACCATAGCTTTTGTCGTTATGAGCAAAATGTGAAATTCATCGCGGCCAAAGCCGCGAGTTACTATTTAATAATTAGATAATAATTAACACAATAAGACAATAAGTTGAAAAAATGTTCATATATATTATCATATGTATATATATTTGTACATGAGGCGCGTGTAATCACTGGGTCTGAATTAACATCGACACAAGTAAGACACATTAATAGTATACAGAAATTAAACTTAAATAAATATATTGTTTTTTTTCTTGCAGAACGGCGCCGGCAAGCAAAACAGCAAGAGCAGCAGAAAAAAGATACTTGGGATGACGACTGAAAGAACACAACAAGGACCGCGAGCAACAAATACATATGATTGCATAACAGTGTACTATGAGTTGAAGATATCGTGGTGCATGAATTTTGAGTACTTTGAGTGAATGAATTAATAATGTGTGTCTAAAATCTCAGAAAACGTTAGTAATCCCGGCTCAATCTTTCCAAGCTGAAAACTGAACACAAACACGGGTGGCAGTTGCTTTCTCCTTTGATATGTACAGCAATAACTACGGCTTGTCAGGAGTTGTCCGTTGATAGTTTTGCACAACTAGCGGGCGTACGTCCAACAAACAGAAGGTTGAACTGAAACAGTCGAAGTAGGAAATCGTTAACGTTTTATAAGGGTCGGCGGTAACGTACAAGCCACTGCATTATCGCACAGTTATCAATGCAAATTCATCCCCTTAGATTAACCAAAATAATAAATGTTTATAAGAAATTATGTTTATAAAAAAAATAATAATTATGCCGTGATGCTTAACTTGAATATACTTTGAATTTTCTAATATTTTAATTTTGATTCTAGTGTATTATAAAATAAACCTAATTTGGTTTGCTGCCTAATTGGGCGATTGGCTGGTCGACCCTGATTCCTTCTTGATCTCTTTTTGCGTTCTTCAAAGGTTTAGCATCAGGGTACAATGAAATCCCGGCCGTTACTGTTAAATCTACGCTACTTACGATACATTCATTCGTTTATGATAGACAATTTTAGCTATATGCTGTTTGCTGAGATTGTGACAACTCTAGGGTATTAGCGTTAAGCTTTATAACCCAATTTAGTAACTTTCGGGGGTTTTGATAATATCTGCGAATAGCACGTATTCAAAATTTTCTATAGAAGTTATACTATAAAGCAGAAATTGACATAAATTGTAATTGGAAGAAAAATATCAGCAAACATTCTAATATAATATTATTATTTTATAAAATATAATTACTCTTTTATTTTATTATTTTTTCAACTAACTATCTTGGGGTGGGGGTGGGAGGGAGGGTATTTAGTTATTTACGCTAATTAAGAGTAAACATGTCCTTATCACATGCATAAATTAAAGTAGCTATCTTCATAATAAAATGTGTATGGGACGAAATACGTATGGTGTACTCTCTGAGGATTAGCTAAATGGATGTATTGTAAAATCACTTTTTGATTGAAGTGAGGTTCAGCACTTGCTAGGATACTTCACTCTACACCTGTAGCATTTTTCGATCAACCTTAGTCATTGACCACCAATTATTTCAGAGGATGAAAGGTTTCCGCTTTATTGAAATCGACCATATGTGCCATTATAAATAATTCAGTACTATGTATATTACGAATTCCTTATTAGTTATGAAGAACACTTACCGACAATTTGGGCATGGACATTTTCCCATGAGCCATGTATGGGGTTGGTCTTGATTTTGTCTAGCAACGAACCATCGAGCTAAACAGGACGAACACCATAGAGGCCGGCAGAGACAGCCTACGCAAGCAGAACGTGTTGAACTACCCGGCGCGAAGACACCTATTAAAATACGTGACAGCGCTTTAATATATGGTGTGCTGATTCAGAAGGCACGATACCCATAAACATGTATTTAATCGTACCTGATTCCCCTTGTTGCTCTGGATTTAAAATTCCTTCACAAGATCGACGTAGGGTAACATCTGCTACATCTTGCATGCATCCAATACAAAACTCTGGTTCCTACACAATCCAAATGATGTAAAACGTTCCGTTAGGGCCATACAGACAGACTGTGGTAGAAAATAACACTAACAAATCAACTAAAAAATTGAACGGGCCACGAGGCTTGATTTATGGTTCAACAATTGTAAAATTCATATATTTAGCATGGAATTATGAAAAATCGGCTCTCCGGGCAATCATCAATCTATTTAAAACTGACTCGTAATCGTTTTTCAAGCGCAACTTTAAGATTACTTGTTTAAGATTTGTAACAATAATTGGTCGCCGTGTCTTCAGGTAATGCATTTATAAAAAAAAACAGTACTATCACTACAAGGATGCTAATCTTTTGAGAAAGCATTGAAAAAGCTATGAAGTTCCTTAATATTACAGGTTAGATCTATCAGATACTTTTGACAAGATTTATCTGCTTTAAACAGTACTAATAAATTGATTTTACAGGTAAGGGTTGTTTTTGCTATAACATTGCTTTCTAATCTACAAGTTTCATTTAGTTGGAATTTCATTTCAGTTGGATTCGTACTGGTTGCATTTTCGCGAAATCGTTTGCTAAAGAGTAAATCCAGTATTATACGGTATTGGTTATCTACGTTCCTCTTATTTTCTTGGAAGTTTTCCGCTAAACGTGATTTCAACTAACGAAGATTGTGACTGGTTAGCTGTAACTCGCAAGTAATGAGCTATTCTTTTAATTACTAATAATTCCGTAAGTAGCCAATTTACTTCAAAAGACAAAAAAAATTCTTATCAAATATTTTTCAGGACCTCTATGACATTCCATGACAATCGGTTTTTTAAAGCTTGCTCGAAACCCTTAATAATTTCTAGGCATATGTGACTAAGTATACAGTACGTGTACGCGTCAATCACAATGCTTCGGCAATTATTGTTTTCAATCCTCAATTAATGTTTATTCCTTAGTCATGAAAATATTGTTCATGTCTAATTCGCATTTTACTTGCCGTACCTCGTTCACCTCAAGGGGTGGGTTTTGTGAAATAACAGTTTTAAAGGCGTCTATGAAACGGTCTCCGAGGTTGCGATGGATCGGTATGTTTTTAACATTCTCAAGAGGCAAACGTGCGCGAAGCTGATCGTAGTCGCCAGAATTCACTCGAATTGTGAATGAAGGAACCCCGGGTCGCTGACTTTGCACGGAAATATCTAAGCATTGCACTCCTAGAACAACCGAACAAAGTCGAAAGTGAAAACAGTACTAATAGCAATATCTCAATTTCAATGGTGAGTTTTATGCTACGAACAGCGACAGCAGAAAGCAAGTTACATACCGGTGGAATTTATATGTGACACCCGGTGCTCGGCACTTGAAACGACACGAAGTTTTGCATCGGCATTTTGAATCAGTTTGATGTCGTCAGGTCCCACACGTAATAGCCAGGTTCGAAGTACGATAGTCCGCGTTATGCCACCTTGCGAGATGAACTTATCAGCCTAATGAGGTCACACAACATAAACGGACTGTGTCGATCGCAAACATAAAACATTGTTTGTGAAATTCATTGGTTTCGGACACTCGCTTTACAAAGAAAATCAGAACACCAAAGCTCGAACGTGGCAATACTTAGAAGAAATACTCAAACTGTCAACAAATGTACTGGTCTTTTACGATCTCACACATTTTTAACAAAACTTGGCCTTTTTTACGATAAATTGAAAAAGCGATTAAACGCACAGATTGTTTTTTTTCGGCCTCCGGTGCTTTAGTCAACAGTAAGCAGGCCTTATGTATTTCAGTTTAAAATACCTGTCTGAATTCCGCGTTAATCCTCGCGGCAATTTCAAGCCAATTTCCTTCAATTTCTGCTGCATAGATATGTAGCACCTGCAAAACATTTTTTTTTTTTGGTTGGAAAAACTTACAATAGGTTTAGAAAGCTATTGGTATACGTACCGAATAATTAAGTTATGGAAACCGCTGAAATGTTTTACTTTTTCCTTTTTTTACTTTATTGACCCCTTTTTTGGTTCTCATTTGTAACCGTATTGTAAAGGCTGAATTAAATGTTTGAAAAGCCCTCGAGTTTCTTAAAAAACGTTTTTTTCTTTACATTTCTATTTCAAATTTTACATGCGATACAACCGCAAACGAACTATAATTTTCTCTTAATGGTCATTTATTGTACATGCACGAGTTATTACTTCGGCGCCGGTGTATATCGTCATACAACAAGTAAATGCACACATACCTTGACTACGGGATGTTCCTTCCATTCCGAAAAATGCCAGCGGAGAACTCGATGCATAGTAGACGCAAGAAATAACAACGAGACTACAAACAGAGCCGTCCATACATTTCTAGATTGCGCCATATACGTACCCTCAGGCCCATCTTTAGCAGCCGGTTCTAACTCAAAGACACATAACCCTATAGCGTAACCTGTAATAATACAGATTTGTTAATGCAACCGAAATGGAAAATTGGAGATATTTGTCGGGATATTAGAGCTTGGAAATTTAAGCTATGTGTCTGCGCAAAATTTCAAAAACACAAGTAAAAATGCACTTACCAAGAGGAAGTGCCGAATGTATAAGTGTAGTAAGGGCTGCTCGTCTGAGGTGATATTGCATAAAGTCTGTGGTTTCATCTCCCAGTAAATCTTTGAAAAGCTGAGAAATCGTGAGTCCCGCTTGAACAAATTCACTAGGAGGGGCTATTACACATAGACAAAAAACGGCGTAAACTACGGAGAACCACACGCCTTCCGAGGCTATCATGATTTTTGAGCCCTGAAAGTAGCACGCAACGTAGCTGATATAGGTATCATATTCCTAATGGCCAAAAGTCTTCATACATTTATTGGCCAACAGAAACGTGATACATGTCTGTCACCTTTATGTTAACACAAAGTTGGCGAATTGTTCATAAGAAAATAACGTACGACACTGTTGTACATTGCTCTTTATCAATATATATATATATATATATATATATATATATATATATATATATATTTTTTTTTTTTTTCTTTTTCTTTTTAAATTAAAGCATTTTATTATGCAGCAAACTATTTTTCCATGAGGTATTTCGTGTGACACTTATATACGGGTACACAATATTGATTTTCCTATTTGGTCTATATCAAGGCGCCTGACTCGCAGTTGCAAGTGAACTTTCACTTTGTTAGATAACATGCCGAAAGGATAACGATCTGGAAAAACGACTAATTGTGTTAAGTGCCGTTATAGAAGGGGTAAACATGTGTACGTGTAAATCTCAGCAAATGTAATATGGCTCTTCTCGCAACAACAAGACAACCTAATAAAATACTCACGATAGGTAGTCGAAAAAGGCGTGAAACGAAGTACGCAATCAATTTATAAAAAAAATCATCAAGTTACTATCAGCTGTCTCTCTATCTAACTGTCCCTAGTCGCCGAAAAGAAATTTCTTAAGTGTTATGTGTCACGAGCAGAAGAGCTCGCGAGAGTGAGAGAGAGGAAACGAATGATACGAGTGATCTGTAATGGTGTTGGTCATCTGACTATCATGGCCCAACCCATTGCTTTTGTGTTTATACGAATTTTTATAACATTTTTCCATAATTTGTATTTGCTTACGACTTGAAAATTTGCATGCTTGTTATCTTCATCATGTACTATTAATCGGCCTTCATCCCAATTTTGAGCCGCTTGCGTTTTTATTTGATAATTAGAGAAATTGCTGAAACGGAAATAATATCTGAACGTGTTTACCTACTAAATTTAGGCACACATGGTAGTTTAGATTAGAAGAAAACGCTTTGTTTCGTGCTGGAAAGCAGTCATTTGAAGTGCGTAACGACTTAAATACCGAGCGTAAAATTCGAGTTATTCCATGCCAGTTTCGGGGTAAGTCCAAAAATGTGTGGTGCAAAATTTTGCAAACGAGAGTCACACAGTAGTAAACCACAATTTTAGTAATAAAGTCTGGTGTAAAGAAAAATGTATATTTAATTAGGTACCAGCAATGATTGAAGCAGTAGCGAGGCGGGTATCATAAGCCAATTTGGGAAAGTCGCTCGTTCAAACCTGTGTATTTGCGTCTTTTTGGAAATTTCTCTCACAAGGTAGGGTTTATCTATACGGCGAGAATGACGGTCATGATCCTAGACATGTAATCCTTCAATACAAAGTTGGAAGGAAAAAATGCCTTTTATGAAAACAGGAATTCTAGTATACGCCAACCATGATAGAGGGAGACGTATTTAGGTGCTATATGTGCCCGCAACTACCAAAGGCTGAGCCAGAGATTTGTAGATATACATATATATTCTGCAGAAATTTTCAACTATACCTTGAAAAATACAATATATTCGATTTTATAGATAATATATTTATTTTTTTTTGGAAAATCGAATTTCTATGCTTATTTGGTAGAACTAAAACGAAGTAACATTTACATTCCAATATTTCGAAAATTCTCAATTATTAGTTAAGTATCTATTCAAAAGTGTGCCGTGTGTGCTGGTTGCGTGAGTTTTTTTGAGAGAAGCTCTTTGGCATCTTTATGAAGTTCGCGCTATCGGTTTCTTTACTGGCTTTCTAAAGTCTGGTAGGATCCTGTTGCAATTTCTTCACTATTAGACAAATTTTAAATTTCGCTAATGAGCTAGGGCTGCTACTCTGGCATAGTCGCAAGCCACTAATTTTTACGTATTCGGGGTTATATTGACATTATTTTCAAATCGTTTGGACGCGCGTTTCAATATAAATATGTATGTGTAAATCATATATAGAAAATATTTTCAGGCAGTCAGTAAGAAGAAAGCCTTCAGATTAGTTCACTCAATCCCTGAAAATTAATTCCTTTGGTGGTACTAGTAATTTTATAAGATGAGATCTTATGTGAACGAATGTATGGAGTTTCTATGATAGTGTTGCCCAACTTTTGTTGACAGCATGTGTAGTTCAAGAAAACAAGTGGTGTGCGGACGACACGCTAACGTCAGTGCAATAATTAGTCTGAGACTCGATCCCCAGTTGTGCATATTTAATGTGATCAATGGTAGCTAGATAGAGTGTAGTACACTTCCGTGCAAACAAACAAGCAGGTGTTTTCTACCTCTTTTCTAGTGCGAAATATATTTCCCGTATATACTGTGTATACTTTGTAGTAGTTAAATGCAGATTCAAAATTATTGACTATAATTAATTATTAACTTGTGCCGTGAATCCCAAGGCTGCTTTAACGGAAAAAAATAATTTCTCTTGACATCGGAAAATGATATTTATGTTAATAAATATTCTTGCGCAATTAAAGGAAGATCACCGTTACGTGTTAGGTGAAGTTGCAATCAATCAATTATTGAGATTGCATCCTGTTTAGGTACTAATTAAATTACAGTACAAATAGTTGAATATTAGAGTATTCTAATTATTTTGAAAAACACATTTAACTTTCAATGCATGCAAATTATAGACAATAAAAAGCACCAAACAAATAATGCAATGGGCCATTAGCCCAAAAAAAGCGGACGTCGGCAGCACATGTCGGATTTTCCTTGAAAGGCATGCACTGAGTGAGAATGCTTGCAGCGAAACCTCATAAAACGCAAGAAAGTCTATAATTCCTATAACAGTTGTTTTGTTAATATACTTACTTAAATTTTGGGTTCGCCAAGGAATCTTTCCTAATGATTTCATAGTACCTAAGGTAACATTTCTATGCATGGGTAAGGACGATCGTTTTAAGTCAAGCAGTTATCAATCCATACGTCTCACAAGGTTTACGTTACATCTTTTCGAACAATGTTTTAAAAATCAGGCTTCTACTTCCGTATAAAGGTCTACTTTCTCTGCAGTCACTAAGTACCGTGGATTCTAGTTTATTAATCTAGCTTCCAGTGACATAACGGATTTGATTCGTCGAAGGCTCTATGACATCATAATTTACATCAAAGCCTTTTATTAATTGCAGCAATATATTGTAAACAATACTTTTTCTTCTTAGAGTAGGCGATAGTTCTTGCAAACGATTTTTTAATCTATATCATAGAACGATACAATTACGAATAAAGATTGTTTTTTGACAAAGTTATGCTGTGCGCAGGCATCCTTCAAAGCTTTATGCTGGGTCCTTTTGACTTTATATTTTATATACTAGCGTTATTTTAGTTACCGTCAAGGATGATTCTCCCATTTCAGGATAATCTCGTTTGCAGGTGGTACAATTGGCGCTATGATCGAATGGACTTATACACAGATAGTAAAAAGCTTTGTAAGATTTGTTCATGCTAAAATTATACTTTTTTTTTTCATCCATTTTTTTTATAAGATTGGTTTATCCGATGCCTTTCAATGCATTGGTGGTAAAAATTATAAGAATTCGTTAGAATCCTTTTTGCAATGACGCTTAGCATTATGTACTACTTGTTCCAGCTGATGCACATCGCTATATAATTAAAGAAACATCTGTATACGTATTCAACTTAAGGAAAAAATCGTTTCGCAAGTATGTCCTTCTATTATTTACACTTTATCACATATTTTGAGTACAATAGAACTCTAGGGTATCCTCTCAATTGGCTAAATCGGCATGTTTACTTCGAACTGATCGTGTTTTTATAAAAAGGTTAGTACAGTATCGAAGTTAACCTAGAACATTAAAGCATTTTAGCTTGGACCTTCATCAAGGCTTCTCTATATCCTCCATGACGTGGTTTACTTTTTTTTTCACAGTTTATAGTAGACACAGGATAAAATTGGTAAGCATATACTCATTTCAGGATCCTGATTTTGGCGATGCCAAAAAGAATTCAGGCCGTACCGTAAACATTATCTCTCGCGATAGATTAGTGAATATCGCATTTGTCCGCTAATCTTAAAAACACTTCGAGGTTTGGGTTGGAGCCCGGGCTTAGACATATTCCGTTGCATGCTGGGAGTGAACTGTATGATTGAATGCCTGATGACGATACAGAACGTAGGACTTTTTATCATTGCTTCGTCGTCGAAGATCAGTGTCTTGCCTTAAATATTTATTTTCGTTAAAGTTAGACGTGAATTTGTACGTTCATGTTTCGAATAAATTGGTTTTTGTCCCATAGTACTTTTGATTTGTTTACTTTTTACTGTGCTTGTTCTAAATAATAATACATTTTCGTGTCATTTATCCTTTAACCTATTTACTTTGATTTTTTATTTTTTACATAGTTTATATTGGGCAAAGCATCCACGATCAGTAGAGCAAGCACCTACTTAACTTAAACTTTTAGTGGTTAGCGGTGTCAAAAAAAGTTGTGGCCATAGGGCTAGTTAATATTACTTCTTCGCTGGTGATAAGCTTTAGCTAGGTTCACGTAGCTTCTTTGCTTGTACACCTAACTGATGCCGCTTTTGTGCCGGTGGTAATATCTATCTAGTCGGATGCAGCTCCTTCATTTTAGTTCCTAACTAATGGTAGTTTTGCTCCGGTAATAGGTTCTACCTAATCTGATGTACTTATTTTATTCTGGGTTGTAGTTAATTTTGGTTCGTAGTCGATGTTAAACTCTAGCTAGTCTAGCGTGCCTTTTTTTTTTATTTAAACAGTTAATTGATGCTGCTTTATGTAGGTGATAACGTCTGGCTTGTCTGACATAATTCTCTTTTTCTTATCCCTAATTCATGTTAATTTTTCATTTGTGGTAGGCCCTACTTAATTTGGAGTAGTTTTTTTATTCTAGTCTTCTAGTTGATGCTAGTTCTTCGCTAACGGTAATCCTTAGCTTGTCTGACGTAGTTCTTTTACTTCAAATTTTTCGATGATGGTAAGGCTTATTTAATCGAACTCATTTTTATTTGAGTCCTTAGTTGATGTTGCTTTTGTCGGCTTTAAGTTCTACCTAATCTAATTCATTTTATTCTAATGTTAGTTTATTTCAGGTCGTGTGCTCTACCTTTTTTTACCGTGATTTTTTTTTTATTTCAGTCTCTAGTTGATACTGGTTCTTTTTCGGCGGTAAGCACTATTTTATTCAATGGAGTTCTTCTTTTTAAATAAGGTTGGATTGGTTTTAGACTGGATTTATGTCTTTCAAATTGGTTTGTTAGGCCGAATTTAGAGTTACACTAGGTTGGGTTTGATTAGGTTCAAACCTGCTAATTTTAGCGACACGTTGTTGTCTAAGTCCGACGCCTGGACATAGACACACGCCGGTTTGTACCGGAGTCAGCTGGCCATCTGATGGAATGTTTAATGGCGATACCGAACGTAAGGCTCGAAGCACAAAGGTTCAAAATTAAATTAAGATTAGGTTAGGTTTAGATAGGTTAGGTTAGATTCCCAGAAGGGTATCCACGAGCTCATGGAGATCCTCATGATAGCTTAGTGGGTAACGTATGTACGTGCTAATCTTGGGGACACATCGTGGTCTAAGCTCGAACCGGCGCACAGACAGATTCCGTTTTGTGCTGGGAGCCAGCCATCTGATAGAATGTCTAACG